ATATGTGCGTGTGAAAATTATTTTATGCAATTATTTTTGAAAAAACATCATCTTACGCAAACATGTTTGTGCGGGGTAGAAGGCTCGAAACAACCCGCTACGTCATTGTCGTCCAATAACGGGGCTTGGTCGAACACAAGATAAACTAATACAGTGTAGTGCTATTTAAACGATGCTACTAAACACTAATTAAGGGTCATTATTATTTAGCCGCTTATGCATATAGGATGCTTCCCTTTTATTAGGGAAAGCTTCTAGGTACGAACTTTTTTACACACTAGAATGCTAATGTTTCCTCTAAGTGCACCAGCGTTATTCATCGTTGAGTAACAAAATTAGTAAAAGATTAGTAATAATTCGTTGTTGCTGCTGTTACTTTGTTTGTTGGCTGGCCCAGTTACCAAATCATGTTTAAATATACGCAGTTGTACAGTCAATACGTAATGAATCCATATTTCTTACGTATTAACTTGACTGAAAAATGGAATAACCGAAAAAAAAAATACTAGCACGTATGTGCCATTTTTTTGCGGCCATTGTAGAGCTTTAAAATTTTTATCAAAAGATGTGTTTAATGACTACTGATAAGATGATTTTTATTCTTTAGTTGCATTACCACTTACACGGAACTGCCTGAAACTAAAGGGTGTTGGAATACATGATATACAAAACAGAAAATAAAAGGACCGAATTTTATAAAGTATATATTACTTTTCCCTATAGATCTAATCATTGGCTGCACATTGAGCAAATAACAGCATTTACACTTCACTGAGCTTGATTTTTATAACAAAGATATAAGGGACGTTGCTAGGTTATTCATCATAAAATTAACAATCTCTTTTTCAGTACTTATTCTTTGTGTACACTTGCGCATGTATAAAATTGGATTGTACAGAAAATTCTCCAAAAAACATATTCGTTCCGTTATTATGGCATTTAACGACGCGACTACTACAAGGAAAATGCCATTTCAATCTTTTTCCCAATTTCGCTAGTGTATTGAGTTATTTATTTACTAAATTTCAATAACGTTACCAGTGACTATTGAAGAAAAAAATATTATTTTTATTTTTTTACAAGCATATTATTTTTATTTTTTACAAGCGCGACTATATATATACTGACAGCACCACATAGTTTTTCGTATTTTACGCCTGTTTAATAAGGCTTTAAAACAATGGCTTATTAGTTTATAATTTTTTACTCCATAGTTACACGTGATTTAAAAACCGATCGCATCACAGAGATATCCAAGTCTACTAGTTACGATAAAAAATGATCTCCCAGCGTCAGCTGCGCCTTGACCAACACTACTACCGCTGCTAATGATATCTGTTATCCCTGACAGCTGTCAGATAGGCACACTTATAGTGCCAACGCTTAGAGTCGCGTGCACAAAGCCTTTATTTGATATATTTAGATCGATACCTATTAATTTTATTTATTACAGACACAGTATTTCATAATTAGAAGTGGTAATGGGCCGTGCATGTTTATATAATGATGCCAACTCCAGCGATAACTAATTTCACCGCGATCAACGGCATTGGCTGCCGCAAAATGGTTCAGGGTTCACATTGACATACAACCGTACCCACCTTCTAGATACTGTAGTGGTACAGAGGTCTTGTTGAGTACAGCTGATCCAATTTGTATTTCCCAGTTTGCTACCTTTTTGTGCAACAACCGTCCAGTAGAAACAGCGTGAACGTAGTAACGAACTGCAGTTAGATACACCCTCAAAATCACACTGAAGGGTCCTACTAGAGCACCAGTTCAAACGTCAAGAAACACCGTCCGTTCATTTAGACAATCTTACCTCTTCCTCCTCCCGCTCTTTCGGAGTTGATCATAATAGCTTTCACCGTTGCAGACGATTTCAGTCAGTCAGCTAGTCTATCTTTTTGTCATCTCCTCACCGAGTTAGCCACATCTGTACCATCTGTACAAAGAACAACAAACGCAGTATTCCCACAGCGAAGTTGTCGATTTTGGCGTATCCCCCAGAGGCAAAGCGGTGGCTGGAATCCGCTATACGTTTTACGGCAACGCTTGTGTACAAATTCCCGTTTTGTAGTTTTATTTGAGTCACCGATTCTCACCATAGGAAATTCAACAGGGTGTGTTTAACCCTAACAGCATTAGCCTGTCACGATGAGCTCACTTGATCTCAGTGCATACCGCGATCAGCATTTTAAGGTAAGTAACAAACAACTAACGGAAGTACTTGGGGATTTCTGATTTTAATTGATAGGTAGAAAAGCGCCTTCATATCTTTACATTCTAAATATGTGTAGTAGGTTCAAACGCTTAAAAGCTTATAAACCTCAGGCTACAAACTATTACCACCATTATTATGAGGCGGTAGTGGCTGAAGCTTCTTCTCATCGGACCTCTCTCGGTCTGCTGCTGAGCAGAAAGAGCTGCTTTCCCGGGTTATGCATAGATCAAAATATAAAGTAACTTTCTGATTATGTCTAGCCTGATAAAGTGATATAAATATTAGAATATGTCTTCGAAATAGTTATTTGCGTATATTGTGTAATGATGACGGCTTTTCAAAGCTGAGATAGTTAAAAAAAATAATGCTTTACTAAGTATACGTATTTAAAATATTGATGTGTAATGCAATATGTAAGTTGTAGCCGGAGACTTTGCCTGTTGCTGCTATTTGTTTACTTATAGTACAATATTAACATATTGATACCAGAAATATAGAACTACTTCTATTATGAGATAGCTAATTTCCAATATTCTCACGTGAAAGTGGACATTGAAAATTGCGAGTCCTTATTTGCAGCATTATTACAATGCTTATGACACGTAAACCTTGATTTGACATCGAATCTTGAACGTCTGGTATCTGACACTATAAAATAGAATAAATCGAAATACTACATGAAAGGTGTAACTAAATATAAAACAATAATACAGAATAAGGAAACACCAGTATATACTTTTTTTATCGTAAATTCTAAGCCTTTCAGAATTATGTTCTCTGGTGAAGACCAGTTTCGAAAAGGTTGCGGAATGAACGTGAAATGACATACTAAGTTGATATCCAGAACTCATTTCATTATCAAAAATTCTGCAAAGCAATTAGATGTAGTATTACAATTAATACCATTAAACAACAAGGTGGTAAATTTGGATTGTTATGGTTTTTCTCCTGTATCACTTTTCGAACTTTATAGGAACTTTACAGTCTTGCCTTGGTCCAATAAAATCCTTTTTACGAATTAACAAAATCTAAATTCCAAAGCGCGAAATATTGGAACCTAAACTCGCTATATAAAGATAGTCTGTATAGATGATGGTTCCAGACGACGATATCCAATTTTGTACATCTATTTGATGCTTTAGTTATGATGCTTTAATGTAAAACGTTCAACTTTCTTATTATATAAGGGGCTTAAAATACTGCACGTTTATACTGTACTGTGCCTCTTTTGTTTGTTATAAAAAAACGATATGAATGCAACCTAGAATTGTTATTTAGCAAAGCATCAATCGCTAATCAATAAGAGAAATTTGTAACTCATAAGAAATTTGATGTAAGTTATTTTTTTACTCCGTGTCATTAAGAGTTTATTCCAATGTACATCTCAAGCATAGGCCAGCTTCTTATATTCCTAATTCTGATACCACGTAAATTTTCTCAGTGACATTAAAGAGCATAAGCCTTTGGTCAATATTTATTCTAATCGTTTATTGCTATTGCACATATTTTGGTGACATTTCCGCGCATAGCTGCGTCGTTCAGACAAGAAATTCAAATCAACTTAACTTGAATGTATTTTAATTCAAAAATTGTATTTAACGTAAAATTATAACTCTTGATTCTAGCAATTGATTTAGTGTACTCGAATAAATATTGTTGAATTCTATCTGTTTATGAAGGGTTCCCGAGCCGAACAAGAGCGTTTACTAAGGGGCAGTACAACTCTTTATGTTGGCAATCTTTCCTTCTACACAACGGAGGAGCAGATATACGAACTATTCGAAAGGTGGGTTATCTACCGTTGTATTAGGCCTTTTATACATTTACATGTATTGATGACGCTGGTACCGGTATAGATGCGAACTATATGCTCTACACCTCGTCTTTATGTAGCGGTTATATATGGCTTTACATAGGTACGCGTCGTAACAGTTTAGTCACGTATGTGTCTTAACATACGGTCTATTCATGCTTTGGGCTAGTTCTTTCCTGAAAGTCTGTTCTGTGCGCTCAGATTGAAAGTTGGTTGACGCTTGGGCGTACGCACTTTGCGTTGTCTACAACCGATCACTTTTATGAGCGCAGGTCCTCTTGAATGGGGCAAAAATCGGAGTATGCACGTTCAGCCCCTTAGGATTTTTTTGTTGGGCTAATGATAATATCGTAGTATTAGTGATAATTTTTGCCATTAGAGAGATTTGTATTAAAATGACAGCAAGCTTGTTAGTTATGTCTGCCATGGCAACGGATTCAAAGAGATGCGCATTAACTGCCCAGAACACGTTTTTCCCTTCTTAGCACAAGTTTACCTCCCGTGCTGAAGTCTGTATGGAAGTACTTCAGTTATCACAGAAAATGATCACGGCTTCAGCCTGGGATTACCTGATCTGCACTGTGTTTCTTTTGATACGATACAGGACCTATGGACAAGCATGAAACATCTATCCCTGCGTCGAGTCTAACAATAATGTCATTCAAACAGAGGTCCGTCCGTTACATTTTCCTTCAGTCGAATACTTCAAGGCCTTCTGATTCCATAGGGGGCACATGAAGGCGTTACATCAAGCACGCGAAACCATTCGAGTGCAAAACTGCGAGAGGGCAGCCGTACGGTAAATACGCGGATGCCATGTTGACGCAGTATAGCCTTTGAGTTACCGAATGTTGCGGTCACGAATGCAAATAATAAATATGCTGTTAGGGTATAAAAACCTTGACCGTTGGCCGATATAATCAGTCGGATCCCGACCAATAACCTAATCTTAGACAACATATATAATGCCAATAGATGCTGCTTATATTCAAAATACTTTTCATAATGTCTCACACAGTAAGAAGAGTGCACGAAACCTAAGACGTTTTGATTGACGGGTTTAGTAACGTGGTCCTCCAAGGATTGATAAATGAGCAAGGTTGTGCGTGGTCCAGTGCACGAAAATAATTGTAGGTTTGCTTTTTACTCTATCGAGCAGATGTGGGGATGTGAAACGTGTAATTATGGGTTTGGATCGCTTCAAGAAAACACCTTGCGGATTTTGTTTCGTAGAGTATTACGAACGACTCGATGCTGAGCATTCCATGGCCTGGGTAAATGGAACAAAGTTAGACGACCGCATTATTCGAACAGATTGGGATGCAGGTAAATTTTGCTAATAAATAATAAACTGAGGCATACCAACGATTTCGTTTTATATAGTGCATGTGCGTAACTAACTGTTCACAACGCATGACATCAAGTACTGATTAATCGAAGCCATGAGTTATTAGCGTATCGCTGCCACCATTATCATATACTACGGGTGCATTTGAGAGCCCTTTTCTTTCAAACCGTGCTGTTTTTGCGTGCGTTCCAATGAGTATTTGGGTCACCTTAAGGGCACTTAAATTTTTGAGATTATAGTAAAGCATTTACTACTGAACTACGCTTGATATACAGAGATGATCTTTACTACTGAGTTAATCAAGATGTTGTGATGTGAGTTGCATATGCTTTTACATAGACTTTTTCTTATAAAAGAAAGAAGTGAAGCATGACTCCATGGCAATTGAACTACAAACCATGAGAGAGACAGGTGCTGGGGGAGACTTCTTTGTATGACCATGAGAAAATGTATCATGTAATAGAACAAAATGATGTCCCGCGACAGGCCGTTTGAGATATTTTCTTTCGTGTAGTGTGGATATTGTGGGAATTGAATTTCAAGTCCTACCAGGATAAATGGATTGAGGTTAATTGATTCTCTGAAGCTGTAAGTGGCGAATATATCGACCACATAGCAGTTATCTAATCCTTCGAATGTTGATTTTGAAGTATTATTTTTCTGTTTTCTGTTAGTTTTATCCACAAAAAATCCCTCGGCGCCAATAAAAGAGGTATGCTGTTTTTTTTAACTAAGATCTTCTATTGTTCCCAGGGTTTGTCGAGGGCCGTCAATACGGGCGTGGCAAGTCTGGCGGACAAGTGCGAGATGAGTACCGAAACGACTACGATTTAGGCCGAGGCGGCTATGGAAAATTGATGCAGCAGCGTGTTGAAGGAAGCTCCTGAGATGAGAAATTAATCTTTTCAGGGGGTCGATCGTGCACTAAACAGCAGGTGTTTCTGTAGAGGGTTTGACATGTGTGAGTGACGTATCTAAATTGATCACTCTACTTACTCTTAAAGAAACCGCGTATTTACCACATGCCAACTGATGTGCTCAAGTCAACGACGTTTTAGCCATTTGAGTACCCGCGATAAGTATATCTTTATACATATACACTGAATGCATTGTGTTGAACGTCAATAAATAGATGTGAATCTGTATTTATCTGATGGTTATAATATGCGAACTCATTTGAATTGATTTTGGAAATCGCTTTTTTAGCTATCTAAATCCCTGTTGCGTCTGATGAATGAGCTTTTGTAAAGGTGTTTGTCGTGTTTTCTTGTTTATTTAATAGCATATATGGGGATCAAGAGGTTCTTGCCACAGTTACAGGTAGTAGCGGGTAGTTCATCCGTACTATGTATGCATAACACGGACGTCGGACGCTGTTTAATTTAACGCGAGTTCGGACCAGCTTGACCTGAACTGACTTCGTTGCAATTCTTGTGTTATCCTACGTTGCAATTCTTGTGTTACCCTACGGCATTCCCCTATTGTTCTCGTTATCTCAGGAAAAAAATAGTTTTGTGCTGAAAAATACAGGCTGTGAATGCAAATATAGGAAAGAATTACCTTTTTGTGCAGTTATTGCAATGGATGAGAAAATCTCTAGACGTAGCACTTGCTTAGTTTTCTGACCCTTACACAACATGCACATAATCGGGTTTTCAAAAGAAAATGTTCGTTGCTCCTCGATGCATTCGAACAGGAATAAAATAAAAAAAAACCCTATGTTTTGCCATTGCTTATTTTTTTGGAAAAATCAGTTTAATCTTGAAGTAGTTGAACAACCTATATAGGTAACGGCTAGGCGGTAGCGTGCCGACCATTCGCTTGCTAGATCAGAAGTTGTGTCTCTACCATGCTTGACTTCTTTTAAGGACGATTGACTTTGGAGCGTTGTATTGGAAGACTGCATTGTACTTGTCTTTTGTGTCTCTGTAAAAAAAATACCTTACCTTGGCTTCTAACGGAGAATCGTGGACATATTCTTTTGAGTCGACTTACTGTTTTCTAGCGTATCTTGTAAACAGTCACTGCTCGCAATTACGACTCCGGTCTCTATAATAGCAGAATTCGGGTAGCTGTGATTATTGCTAGTATCAGCGATCATGAATCTGCGGTAAAAATTAGTCGTATATTTCTGTAACGGGTTGTTACTGAGTGAAGCATGCACTGTTACTTTCTGCTCTCTCATACCCAATGTTATCTTTTGAAAAAGTGCAAGTAGTACTCAATGATCGCTGAAGTCTCTGCAATTCAACCAGCTTTAGTTTGTTGCTGCCGCCTGGAAGAGTATTTTATAGATCACTTGCTCATTTTCTGCAAGCCGAACTGACTTCTGAGCTAAACTAGTCTATTCTAAGCCTACTAAACTATTTCATTGACGTTGCTGAAACAATGTACTTATAACTAGTGGATTTAGGTATGTATTGTTGCCAACGATACAAAGGTGTTCCCTGCTTTCTTAAGCAAGCCTTTCAGTTTTTCATATGCAACTTCTTAATAGGGATGTGAATTTCTTATTAAGCCATTGTTACCAAATACGCCGACAAGTCCACACCCGAAGTCCTGAACAAATTGTGGTACGTAATGGATTTTTACTCAGCTTTTTTTACTCAACGTTTGACGTATGGCCTACTATCGGGCAGAGAGCGACACACTACAATGTTTTGAAGAACATGCTCATTAAAAATTATGGTATACCCTAGTGGTGTTTAACTCTCTACAAGAGACTCTCTTAAGATTCTACAGATAGTTACCTCAAAGAAATCAAGCTTTGGTTAGTTCTCCTTGGATTTGTGTCTCTTTTTGAGCATTTTGCGCAGCAGAAGATACCCCGGTTGCCTCAGGTAGTTTCTATATGTGCTTACAGTATCCGTGTTCTTACTGCAGGCTATAAACGAGGTGTAAAAATAAAAATCAATTATTCATGTTCAAATTACCCCAGAGGCCTTAAGAGTTCTTTGAAAGATTTTTCCATGCTTAATCACTTATCATAAAAAACAAAACTATGTTTTTTTAATTCGAGGTGAATTTTTTAATTCTAATGCCTCTTTAATGAACTCGTATCGGGATCAAGTGACTAGCACAACTCGGCCTCTATAGTAACGATGCGTCAAGGCTTAAACAATCGCTAACTTCTTTCACAATCTTGCTTCGATTATTCAGTTATCTTGATTCTAACATTTCAATTTGATTACCGCGTCAAACAATTGCCCTATTGATCATTATGCCATTTCTCCGTGTTAATTATCCCTTGCCTTTCCACAAATAGCTCTTCACCATACAATCGGTAATCCTTTTCCGCTGAAAATGATCCGTTTTTCTTAATGATATACCACATGCGACTTCATGGTAGTATGAATAACCTATTGCATATTGTGTAGAGCTAGAAAACGAGGTAACTTTTACATTCGGGTTTTTTTTTATTAATTATGCCCGAAGAGGCATTTGTTTTCATAGCTGCTATCAAAATTTATAGAATAGTTTTTTATATTTCTTAACACAAAAACCGATTTTTAGCAGATCAATCGTTTTCACTATGCTCTTTCATAAAACCTAACCTACTCACTAAACAATGACAAAAACTGCTAGGGTCATATGATAGATGACTGTCATATACACACGAACAAAAACAGAAAAGTTTTTTACTAGATGTAAAATATTTTTTATACGTCTTGTTTCAAATTCTACACTTGAAACTGAACAATTTTCATATGATGACAGGTGGATGCAATGAGATTTTTCGATATTTCATAGTTAGTCAAAAGCGTGATACTTTGTTGAAACAGCACACGGAACTACATGTGGCTATAACACGCACAGCATTTAAAAACTATTGATAACAGAGTGCAGCTTGTCTGGCATTTGAAAACGATTCAAGCTTTACAATTTATTACACCAATTTTACTTATTATTAGCCATAATAAACCATGTGGACACGACGTTCGGAAAGTACGCAATCTTATAGAAGGCTGATGGTTTTGGAGGAAGGCTCGAGAGTATTTTTATGTTGTTTTTTTGCACTACAAATATAGTACAAAAATACGTGTATTTTGAAGCAAAAAACGGAACGAAAAATCTGCAAAAAGTACCTTGAAAGTAATTTATTTTTGGTTAAATATCTACTACTCCTTTAAATATTTTCAGGAATTTCGACGCTTTTGCCTTCCTTTTTCATTCTGAAATATACCCTCCTATCCGAATATATATTAAGTTTTCTAGTGTGTCATAAAATTAAGTGAGTAACTTAGTGTGATGATCTATGGGGAGTCGCTGTTTACACATATTCCGTGACATAGTTCTGGTTCACTATTAGGGGCACACAAAATTTTGGATTGAGCTCAACCTGAGGATCACTATATTATGTAAAAAAAAATACACACGTACCTGACGAAAATTAGAAATCTTGGAAAAATTAATTTGGAAAAATATTTTGTGTAAGGAGACATCTTGCCTTCCTTTGTTTTGATTAAGAAATACTTAGGAATACATATTTATTGACAGTTATGAAAGCGGAAATTATCCTATTGAACTACTTCAGTTATGAGCGATTTATAGTAATTGCCACAAAATGAATGTACCCAATATAACTAAGCATTTTACTTCTGCAAATGTCACATTGACTACTCGCTCGTTTCCTAAAACAAAAAATATTTTTTAAACACGAGATCTCCATTAAAACGAGAGTGTCTTTTTTTTTATTTTTATAAGTGCCAAAGTTTGACGAGGTAAAGTGAAGTTCTTACTACTTTGCCTTGAATAACTTGGAAAGCAAACTGGGCTTATTGACGCTGATTGTGGACCCGCTCGTTTAAGCGATGGGATTTCGCTGATAGCCGGCTCTATAGCTGTATTAAACTAGGCAAATCGTCCGCGCATAGCGTATGACAAATCTAAGTTTGTCTGATACACAGCAACCATTTACATAATCTCTGTGGTTCATAGAAAAGTCAAACATTGCTTGCGAGATACGATAAGAACTACGCCTCGTTTGAGACCTAAGTATAGTTTGATCCTAAAGAAGCTCGAATCTCGGAGACATGGCTCGAAATATATACATGCGCATATAAATAACTATATATGTGCAGATGAATGTATGTATATACATGACTACGTACATAATATGTATGTACATAACTACTCATATGAATGCATAAATATGGAGGATGGAGCTCAAAGATAACTTTAACACGTATTTTGAATGTGCCGCCATTTTCCCGCACTTTTCTCGTTGACGTATATTACGACAAGCAGCAGAAGCACAGCACGGCAGCACGAGAAGCACCATCTACTGGGTTCGGTCACAAGGCGGTGGATCGCATCACCCTCTTTGTTTGTAGCCTATGTAGCGGCTGTTGACGGCGACAAGCTACTGATGTGTTGCTGTCTTAGGGTCCTGTTCGTGTCGCGGTGCGATTGTGGAGCGATTGTGTTAAGCGTGTTGTGGCGTCTTTTCTATAGGAACCTTTTGGTTAATAATAAAAACCAAATATAGTAGTTGTTAGAACACCTAGTGAAGAAAGTGTACAGGATTAGAAATGACAGCGGGCGAGCAGCAAAAGGCAAATGGGCATGTTGAACCGAAAGTTCGTGTTCTAAAGCTTCAGGTGAGCAGGCCAAAAGAGACATTTATCTATAATTGCTGTTGGTTCTATTTGAAGACCCTTCTATAATGTATTTGTGATGGCAGGCCGGGTCAGCATAGAAGCAGCAGCAGGCTGTTGGTTAATTGCTTTGCTTGGCTGCCTCCTTAATTTTGTCTAACCGAGCAATTTAGAATCTTTCCAAAAATATTTCCCAAGCTGTGGCCAAGTGATGTAACGAGGCAAAGATCAATTTGATTTATTGATAGTTAAGCTGAGGACGGTATACGAGGAAAATTGTTTACAGTTTAATTTCTTTCGATTAGGAGACAAGCAGAAATATGACTTCTGGAAAACTGCTTAAAAGAATAGCAACGCCTTGATGCGCATCTTCCATATTATTAGTAATGTATCTTTTCCATTCAGATTAGATAGCCCTTAACGTCGATACTCCATTTACAGTTACACTTAAAACAACTCAAAAATGGAATAATTTAAGCTGCTATAGGTAGTGTTTATTTTCCATTTTCTCCGCATCATTTGTCAAACTAATCGAGTACACAACGGCTTTCGTGCGATTAAAGAAGCCCGGTTGTAGAGTATTTAAGATGAATCGACTGCTGCCCGTGCTGTTCTTGGTACATCAATAGGAACCATATATTAATTTTCGTTTTTAAAATCAAATGAGATTCTACGACGTTCTTAGTATATGTACGCTTCTAAATAGGGCTTCTCGGTGAACGAAAACGATTAGAGATACCATGTCGCGCGTTGAAGGCTGTCATATATCATTTCCATTTAACTTAATGATGATAAACAAATTAATAGATGCAGACAGAGCTATGAGGGCTTAGGCGATTTAGAAATCACCAGAATCCTAAATAGCTAACAGGTAACTGATAACTTTTAGGCATATCTTTTGAACTTACTTTGTTCTTGTTTCTTACCACCTGCATAAACTGAGTTTTAATTTGTGCAAAACCCACACCTAAATTTCCTTTTAAGTTCTAACTATGTATGAAGTGTCTTTCGTATTTGACACTAATAACCAAAGGTTTCTGGGCCAAGTGCCGCGATGTAATATATTCACGACACGGATATGTTTGTCGGAATATTTGAATAAACAAGATCAAGCAATAAGCGTTTCGGTATCGTATGTTACATCCAAAACCTGTACATTTTCTGGTATTTCGATTGTGTTTTTAATGCGAATAATTAAAATTAATAGGACGATTTCTTAGTGAGATTAATTTGTCGCCTGTTATAAATATCAGTGCAGAGTTGATTTTATTTCACCTTTTTTTTGTTGATTCATCGACTATCATTTCCTTGTCTATGATCTCGCACATAGCTATCTATTTTTGCTCAGTAAATATTCTCAATCTAATGAAATCGCTATGAACATATTTCTATAGTTTAAGCAGGAAACATAAGCTACGACTGAACATCGAAACATGAAGTGGAATAACTAAACTATGATTTTCAATTCATAGATTAGTAATTTCAAAATGAAAACGGGTCGATTCACACAGAACGCGTAATATACTGTATTTGTTTAACGACTGTCTTTGCGTAAAGTTAGCATACAAGATAAGTTCGTGTGAGGGTTAATGGTGTTTGATTCTTAATTCTAACCTATAGACTCGCTAATTTAGCCGGCTGATTAAACATCATGTCGATGTTTGAATTTTCTTGAGTAAAAACCTTAACCGACTACTACTATCCTTTTCTAAATATTTTTTCCGGTCCATTTAAGACGTCGTTGATCCAACCATATATATTCTAACCATATAGCTTAAAAGTTCGCTGAATGTTTACCGACGAAGCTGTATGGTGTGGCAGCGTTAGTGACAGTTTCTGAATGTGTAGCAATTATTGTAGAAATATTGTGATTCCAAAAGAGAGATGCTGCTCTGGTGAATTTTAGAGATGTCGATATTGTATCCTCATCCTTATTTGACAGATATCGCCTACGACTGTGAATAGACGGACGAGGAGCCAAGTCCATTCTGTTTTGCTTATAGAAAAGCCAAGAAATTATTTGAGGGGTCCACTTCTATTGTACAACGGAAAACGGTGTTTGTTTACACTCTTCTTTTATCTTCTGACATAAGTGACTTATAAAGGAAAGACAGAGGCTAGTGTTCCTCAATAAGAAGCAAGGCACCTACGTTACCGTTAGTACCCCCCGACGGAACAACTCTGCACTCAGTCATAAATTTTTTTGTTAACTCTCTTTGGGTTCATGTAAGGAAGTTCAAGATTTGAATGTTTACTTATATTTTTGTCAAATATCCGTTTTCTTAATGGAATGTCTGAATGGAACTCGTATAATTAGAATTTGTTAGCCGGAGGGCTTTATTGGTTTTGGTGTAATTCTAGCAGCTTATCCTGCATCACTAACTGTTGTAATTAATTGTTTGTAAAAGTAAACGAATAAAGTTTATTTTAGAAAAGACAAGTGCGTGTGGTGGGTTGAATCAAACATTTTCAGCCAAATGGGGGGTTTATACTTTTTGCTCTATTAAGCAATGACGTCAACATTCTGATCTATTAAAACGGTTAATGTACCAACTGTAGCTACTAGAATTTGTTGGACTATTGCATACATAATGTGATATTTGTTTGGTTTTCAGGATGACGTAGGTTTCCGGACTCTCCCCGACCAGAGTGTAAGACGCCATTTTCAACATGGGTTTGCGTTCAACATACTTTGCATCGGGGAAACCGGAATCGGAAAAAGCACCCTCATGGATTCTTTGTTTAATTTCTGTGAGTGACGTAAACCGCTTCTCTCACAATTAAAACTTTTATTATTACTGTTTTTTAATATTACTTTTGTTCATCAACATGTAGTGAGTCCTAGTCACTCGACAAACATCATCTTATTACGCTTCAAAAATCACATAATTTTCTTATGAACTTTTTGCGGAAAAACAAACCTATAAATTCGCACATAATTTAGTCCCACTTTGACTATGACAAGGCCGATGTTTTCTTTTTAAACTAGTATCAAAGCGGTATATCGCGTTGCTTAACGTTTTCTCAAAATTCGGTATAATAACGTATTTTATATGTAATGCAACAATTTGTATGCATGTTCAATTTCTGTTTATGTATAACGAGAGCGCTTCACCCATGCATTCGTACAGTCTCTTTTAATATACGACACTAGTGGAATGCAACGACCCAGTCCAGAGCGCTGTTGTACAGTTATAGAAAAACACTGGAGAATAGAATATCTTATTTCGATTTTAATTCAAATTTTAACAAACTAACATGTTGTTGTGATAAATATATATCATCAGGGTGCTATCACATTGGGCTCTCGCGAAACTATGGTTTCGCGAGAGCCCAATGTATACAATTGTATACTATGTGTAGGAGGTCCGCATACCTATTGCAGTACGTATGCATTAACAGCTTGTGACTGAGGTCGGCCAAAACGCATTTTTACTCCTTGATCGTGAAATAGGAGAGCTGGGAGAAAGATGTACTACTTAGCGGTAAATATCAAACTACTCATAAAAAATCCAGACAGTTTCTCCACCAACAGGCTGAGTGTGTATCTCATTACAGTACACTTTATCTGATCGGGAATTACTGTTTTAGCACAATAACGAGAAAGGACATAATAAGGAAATCTTGGTGCTTCGCGGTTATGCGCAAACAGTGGACAAAGGACGTAGCAATAGGTCGTCTTTTCATTTTTATTGCACGCCGTTGCACGCAAAAATAATAATAAGAAGAAGAAGAAGAAAGAGATGAAGAAGAGGAAGGGGCAAAAGAAATGCTGTATTTCATCTTCTAGTCGATCGCAGCAGTGCCCTAACCGGCTATCCGAAGTACCTATAATAACGGCCTATAGCTGTTTGGAATTCGTTTAGTTAAAGCGCTAGTTGACGCTTATATATACATTTATATCGTTTGCCGTATGCTAGCCCGACCTAGCTCACGCTTTGCTTGCTCCGCAGTTGCTGCTCGATCCGACTTTCGTACGAAAACATCATACAATATGGCCAACGTGACTGTGGTCGCGTAAAAGCGCAAGGACGAAAATGGCGTTTTCGAAGCTCCGCTTTGGCAACATGGTTGCGCCAGCAGCTTCACCAACGACAACTCCATTCTCGATAGTAATATCAACATTAACACTACTTAGTACTGCTTTAACGAAGCCTGTCTTCATCGTCTTGTGAAAATATTCGTAAAGCGTTACCTTGGTCCTACTGCTTCAAGGAGTCTAAACTCGCTCTTCCTAAGCAAAACATAAGCACCCGCTTTAGTAGCAGCAGCAACAGCAGCGGTAGCAAAAGCACTTCAGCCTGCTTACATATTTACAGGGTAGCGTATTCATTTTCTTATGCTTTGCTAATTATACTAACAAACAGAGACAGACATTTTTTGCATACGCTAAAAGTGTCACTACTGAAAATTGGGTCTGTTCAATATAATCTTCATTCACCGAAATTACACCTTCAACACGGCATCTGAACCACTCACTAGTCATTTTCATTACATTCCTTCCTTAATCTGTAAATAAGTTTTTATTAGCAATAATTTGTCAAGCGATATTATTATGTGTACACTTTTCAAAGTGTCGCTCAAATATGTCGCTTAAAAAATTTCAGCGGAATTAAATTTTGGGCTAATAGCAGGTAAAGGGGTTTCAAAATGTAAGCGCTCAAGACAGTAAAAAATGAAAAAGTGCAAAAAATCTTAAAAGGACTAACCGCCACAGCTTACCTAAGCGACCGTATGGTAAACTGATATTATCCTCGCAAAAAAAGTTGCTAATTTCTGTGGAAAAATTCTAGATATATCGAAAATGGCTTCTTGTTCTTTTGTAAATTTTCGAGCCTTTTAAATCTAAACCCTATTAAGAATCTTTCTAATTTTTTTTAAAGCGGCATGAATACTGGTGATATCGTAGGCCATCGGTTCAACGTAAACAAAGTTTTTAACCTTGGTGGACATTTGTTCAGCTCGGAAGGATAAGATAAAAGATGGTATTTGCTCAAATTCAGAAAACGACGTGCTATTATTTGCCATGACGGGTTTATTTGGTTCTAGAGAAAACTGGTACCAGAAGTAATAGAGCCGGATTATTCGTGTATTATTTCTATTTTGCTCTATGTATCCACGTATCTATGTTGTACTCGCTGGCGCAATACATTATTTGTCATTCCGGTGGTGCCCAAACAACACTAAGAAGCGACGAAGAAAAAGTAGTATAACATTTTGCGAAAATAGGGCCATATATTTTTGCATATGAAAATGTATGGTAATAAAATTATTTGAAAGGAATGAATCACTCACCACTAATGCAAACACATGCCTTATTTATCATTCCTAATTATGATTATTTTAAATAAATTCTGTACATTATTTAACAGCTAAAAGCTTGAGTTGAGTTTTTTTATATTAAGAATGTGCAGTACTGTGTGTTACGAGTTTTTCGCAGGTTATATATCAAATAAGGTCACATTCTTTTAATTGGGATTAAAACCAGGTGGGCAGGATTGTTTAAAAACAGCAATCAACGAAAAAATATTAACGTTTTCTTTATATACTTCGAATTTTAATATCTGGATGCTCAGATGATCTCTTAATTTAATGCAGGATCCTCCCCATCTATTGAGCACTAGGTCTCCTCTCCTCGCTCCAATATAGGCTCGAGATTTCAAGGTCACACTCAGGATGCAGTACTTAATTTCAGGATAAAATAATCTCTGCATAAAATCTGCAACATATATTAACCACATAATGCGACATTACGTTTATGTTCTATGGTTATATTAGTGTATATATATATAATCTATGATTGCGTTAGGTGAAATTTCGATAGAGTATTACAGATAATTTTCACTTTTTCAAGTACTTGCTTAGCTCGCAAACAGATTCCAATGATACTTGGTAGCTCTAGTAGATTATCGAATGCAAAGTTATTTCGAGCATTACTAACCAGCAAGAGCATAGTACAAAATAATTTATTATTATAAATTATTATTATTATTAAAAAAATGCCATACACTTTTAATTGAAATGCAGTGGTGCATTAGCCAATAATGATTATAGTGAGGAGTAATGTTGAATTAGAAGCATTGTTTTCAAGTGTTTAGAGATGTATATTTAAATGAGTTAGGATTTAAATGAAATAGGATTGACTATTTGCATAATAGTTCCAGGTTATAGTGCTCTTCAATTATTTTACCTGAAGATCTAGATATTATCTAAGTTAAACAAGACATGAAATTCTTAAGTTGTATCTATTAGTCGTTAGTTGATTTTTATCGCTTTCGATTGTAGCTTTTGACCTGCCGACATCAACGCACGACCATCCCGATGTGAAGATTATGTCAAAATCATTCGAACTAATGGAAAACAATGTTAAGCTAAACGTTGGAATTGTTGAAACTATCGGCTACGGAGACCAGATCAACAAACAGAAGAGCTGTCAGGCCATCATCGACTACATCGACGCCAAGTTTGAGGGATATCTCCAGGTAAAAGCAGCATGACTTCCACTACATTTTCGAGTATTTCTCCGCAAAGCTCAGGCAATCTCCTTGTCGAGTTCTATCTAAAATCACTAACGTCAAAAGGATATATATATATATATATATATATATATATAATCGTAATAAATAAAAAGTGTTTGCAAAAGCCTTAGTCCCTGGCTAAAACAATAGTAACGCAGGGATCGAAATTTAAGAAGCGCTATTTAAGTGGCTTCATACTCAGAGCTCTGTCTTAAATTCAATGACATCCTTCAGCAAAGAGAGAAAATGTTTTCCAACTGTAAATAATAGTCATGACATGGGCCCTATACAAGCATAAACACTAGGTTCTAGCCATAGAATTGGCTCTTATTACTAGAGACATACTAATTTTTAGTAAAGATTTTAAATATTTAACCGTAACCGTTTTCGAAACAATCGCGAAAAATAAACTTCACACATTCAACATAAATATCTGTAAAATTAGTCATTAATTAGCCAAATCAGAATGTTTGAGTTGTCCGGGTCTCTTTGTTAGGATAACCACGACAAGCTCCAAAACACATTATTAGAACATTGATCTCGAGCTGATATATTTTTGATACCCGCCTCCGTGTACTAGATCATAGACTTTACAGCGCAAAAACAAATCTGGCATCATTGATTAATACATCGTGGTGTAGACATTTCCTTAAAACTGTTATTGAGAGACTTAAAGATCAGTTTTACATGCACCCACATATTTGACAGGAAGAGCTTCAGATTAGCCGCAAGTTGAACACTTTTCGTGACGGCCGCATTCACGTCTGTTTGTACTTCATTACGCCAACGGGACATGGACTAAAGGCGTTGGACCTTATATGCATGAAGCAACTCGACTCTAAGGTATAATTCGCTCCCTCGAGCTGAAACAAATACCTTTATAAAACAACTGTTTAACCTAACAAATTGGAACCGCTTTGTATACAACCCTTTCTCACAGCGCTTTTGCTTGACGTTCATAAGTTTAATCTGCAGTTAACAAATCCTGAACTTTATGCATATGCTTAACAAAAATCAATACTTCTTGTCGTGTCCTTGTAATTTAGAGAAAACGGTGAAACTACTATCGCTTTTTATGAGAAGTTTTGAATTATGACAAATGGCAACACGTTTCACATTAATTTATTATTCCTGAATTCGTCAGTGTTAAAAGAGCCTATTTTAACAGTTATTTTACATTTCTAGGTGAATTTGATTCCAGTGATAGCGAAAAGCGATATCATCTCAAAGCAAGACCTCATTGCGTTTAAGCGCCGTGTGCAAAGTGAGCTGACTAATAGCGGTGTGCAAATCTATCAGTTTCCCGTTGATGATCCCATGTCGCCGCAGGATGCCAACCGTCAGTACAACGCATTAATGCCGTTCGCCGTCATTGGTTCCCGGGATCTCGTCCGTGTTGGTACCAAAATGGTGCGGGCGCGACAATATCCCTGGGGGGTTGTCCAAGTAGGTACCGCAGGATGTATGGTAAATAATAAGTAATGAAGCGTAATAAAACAGAGTAAAACTTGTATGACATTGCCTAGTGATCACAGGTTAGGTTATTAAAAGTTTACCAAATTACATACAGATAATTAACGAAAACTTACTCCTCTAATGTTGGTGAAAAAGGTTCTAATAATATTAAAACACGCTTTTTTCGCTCTTTTGGTTCCACTAAATTCAGATCGAGAATGAGGCGCATTGCGATTTCACACGGTTGCGTGACGCTGTTTTGCGGTATAATTTAGCCGACCTGGTCGAGTCCACTCATGTGAAGCACTATGAGCTCTACAGACGTATGCGGCTCATCGCCATGGGTTTCGGAGATGCCGGCATCGGAGATTCGTCGACGTTTGAACGAAAGTGGGCAGAGCACCGGGCTTCGCTACAAAAGCGTGAAGACGACATGCGGCAAACGTTTGTCGACAAAGTAAGTGCGACCTCTCCGGCCAATTCGTTGTCGGGTGCAAATTTCAACCACTCGCTGCGTGATGATAGCCTCGAAAAAAGAGATGAGGGCCATCGAGGCAACTATATCAAAGACGAAGCTGAAACAAACTACTCGAATCACTCCAGCTACAACCAACATTGTATTGAGCAAATGGATTTGAGCATGGTCGAAAACAATGGATGCTCATTAAGTTTGATCTTCGATGAAGCAGGAGATGAGGAATCGTTGATCTGGGACGACTATTTTGACGAGTTGCGATATTCGTGTGTTGATCAGGTGTGGGGACAAAGTGCGGACGACCAGTCATTTGAAGGATTGAGAACTTACGAGGGTTCTAAGCCAGCCTTTACGGCGGGCCATTGTAATAGTCCCGAAAGAATCCGAGAAACGTTGAGGAATGACCAGAGAGAGACAAAAAGCATGTCGTTTAGAGCTACTACGACTCCCAAGCGATTCAACTTGGCTGGACAGAACATGTTTAAAATTAGCAAAGAGGGATCAACTCAAGCTCAAATTGACATTAACAGACCAATGACAAATGCCCTAAAGACATCACGGCTATCCGACAATTTAGAATATTCAATGACATCGGAATACACTGGTCGAGTAAGAATGCTTGCCTCTAAGTTCGACAATTCATTTCAATGATAATAATTTGTAGCGTTGGCCTTCTGGAGGCCATTGTAACTCAGTTGCCTTTTTGGAAGTAAGTGACATTCCAAACAATGTATATATTAAAAAAACTTCCCCTAAGTCTGTAATATTCTATTGACTCCACAATTTGTTTCCCAGATTATTTTACGAGGCTCACAAATAAAATGATGGGGCAATTTAACCAACGACGAAGTATACACATGGAATGAAGTGACGATGAAGGATGTTTGCTCGTTCGAGCGAGCTTCAAACATGATGGTCATAAATCACAGTCGAATTGATTAAATATATATGCTGTGCAATCGAATCTTTAGTGGCAAACAGCTATTGTAATAATTATTCTAACGTATAATAAAGATTAACCAAGATTATAGTAATAATAATAATTATTTTCGTTATCGCTTGTATATTCCAGTAACACGTTCCACATGTAATTTGCCCAAAACACTTGAAGTCGTCCTACTTATAAATACTAGCCACACCCACGTGATTCAGAATACAATATTTCCTAAAAATTAGCGGAAGTTGAAATTAAAATAGCTTTTTCAGCGTATATATATGTCGTCCCCATTCAATAGCGGCAGATGTTCTGATGCGAGAATCCTGAGCTTGAACACAACTGCACTAGGAGATTAACCATATGATAAAATATATATATATAAGATTTGATTATTTATAGAGTTTCAAAGATAAAGCGCAGCTGCGTTATGCCCTATTCAGTTTCTTAACAGGCAAACTAGCTACTGTAACTGTTGCCATTTATGTATGTCGACATGTGTCCATTATTGAGACGAAATATTCAGTTCTTCCTCCTTCTCATTTGTTGGAAATCTCGCACGGCTTTTGTCACTCGCCTCTTTCAGGTGCATTTTGTGTGAACCTGTTTTTGCCACCCGTCATCGTTATTGATGTTGCCTTTTACCTAAACTATCTTCTCTAATATTTGATTCCATCATTGTATTGCACAGACACGCCATTCAAGGTTAATGTTACCACTATGAGCTTAAATAGACCACATATATAAGTATATTATTAAATTTCTATTGGCCTGTAAAAGCTTTAGTGTAAGCTCGCTTCGTAGATTATTAATTAGATGTTTGAGGGCATACCGTACACAGGGACAGGAGCGCCTGTCACAATACTACAAGGTTCCAGTGCTTGATTGGGCAAAAACAAATCACATGTATTAAGCTTGGTTCTGTATTTGAAGGAAACATCTTCGTAACAGTAAAAAATATATGTAAGTTCGCGTAGTCAAGCAAGAGGCTCCTATGCTAATTCGTTTCAGGTGTAGTTCAAAAATGACTGAATCAATGCAATATATATTATGGCCTTTACACGAACTCAGTTATTTAAAAACGACAACTAAGGTGTTAAGTTAAAATCTAATGGCAAATAGTTGTAATCAAATGAGAATTTCGTACCACAAGTATTCAATAAAATGAGCAAATCACAGATTTGCCCCAACGCCGTAACACGCAGATTTCTTTTAAATGAAAGTGCTCTTGTGTACTTTTGAGGAAACTGCAGCGCGTTACATATGTTCCGCAGATTTTTCGTATAGATATGGAAGTTTGATACATAATCTTGTGCTAGGCTTTTGTAGATGTTTGTAGTGAAAATAAAATGTCTTATAACACTACTCATAAAAGGTACTCGGTAATAGCTTTGCTGCTGTCTCAATACTGTGCAGTGATAATAATCTCAATAATTTCGCTTTTAGGTGAAGGACAAGGAGACCCAGCTGAAAGATAAGGAACGCGAAATGAACTTGCGATTCGATTCTTTGCATAAGGAGGTTAGTTGGGCCTGATTGTTTAGGCCAATATTGGTGCTAATCTAAGACGCTTTTTCCCTAGCTGGTTGTGAAAGCATTTTCAGACTACGTTTTTGTAAAATAGAATTTTGTGCGCTTGTGTTAATAGTTAGGGGTACAAAGGATTTTCTAAGCTAGAGCTAAGATTTCAAGGTGCAGTAAAATATTTTTCGCAAGTTATAAGCCAACATAGGTAATATTGGAGAACATCATTCATTGGGAATATTAACATAATCATTTATGCGTTTATCCTTAGGTTTTAATGCACCAGAAAAGACTCGATGAAGATAAACGAATCCTCGAAGAAAAGATAAACGAGTTGCAAAGAAAGCGCCAGCTTGTTCAGCAACACAATACTATGACTCTTGGCAAGAGCAAACGACGATAGATGAAAGACGCGAGGTGACATAAAAAGTGTCCCAGCTTTTCAAACTATTGACCAGTTGGGACCACCATGGGAAGAAGCCGCGAATCATCAAACCACTATCACGAATCAGCTCCGTAGTAACATAATTTAAAATCTGCCACCTGTATCGAACCAGGTTAAGTAATGTATCACCATCATAAAGTACAGAAACAGGAACAATTTCATCCAAAACGCTGAATAAGCGCAATTAACTGAACCAGCCGTTTGATCAAAAACTCAGAAGAACACAAAAGTTTTTTGTATGGGAAAGGTATGGCGTTACTGGCCCGACGTGCTCAAGATTTAGCTGTCTGTCGGTCGGTTTCCACTGTCCGAGGGCAGAATAGCGGTCGAAATCAACCTCAACTCCTGTATACTTAAAAATTAGAAATTAACAGAGAGTTACCGGTAGCTAATGTGAAATCAAGTAAAAGCTGTATTTCATAAAGCTATAAGTTCGTGCGTGATCAATAAACAGTGTAATAATACGCGTAATGAGATGCAAGGCTTAACGTGTGTCGTCGTCCGAAGATCGCTAAATCGATTTTTATGTGGTAACTAATTAGCAACAGTAAAACAAAGAAACGACTCATGAGACCTGACGTCACCCCTGTTCCTCTTAACCTGATAAAGCTTTGCTGAAACTAAGGAGGCTTATTATAGTATTCCTGATCGATCATGCAAACGACGAGAACGAACATCAGTAGTTTGATCAGTAGAAAAGTGTGAATGGAACAAGATTTTTTGCTCAGTGTTTGCCTATTCCAACTCCAGATCTAACAACTGATAACAGGGCTGACGGCAGATGTTTTCCTGTATTGAGTTTGCATGGTAGAGACTGCTTTGGTTTTCCTTAAGAGGAAATCGTGTAGTGGGCTTGAAACTTAAGGACATACGGACATTTTTTATTAAAGAACAATCGCCTTTGCATAAAGCTAAAGGCGAATTGTGTTCGATTTCGACGAAGCAAAAAAGGAAACGAAGAATACTTTACGAAGAACCTTTGCATACTAAATAGACAAATACCTATCATATCTGCACGTGGATGTATAAGTGAATAGAAATTTCGCTTTTGAACAATCTGAACGGCGATCAATTGATTGCAATTGATAATGATGCCAACTTAGATACTGAATGAAACGCTTGCTTTAAAGTAGTTGAACATTACTCTAACAACGCCCTTTCTATATGACTTTTTGTGTTCTCGTCAAGCGTTCATTTTAAGAGCCGGACAATAAATATATACATATATATATATGAAGTATTAAAGGAAGGCTAGTTATTTAATTGTAAGTAACAAATACTTTGGTTTTTACCGTCCTTGCCTTCTGTAGACAAATTTGGATATGCTTCATATAGTGAAAATATTACGCTGCGTTTTGTTTAGGTTTTTTTTTATACTAATATATTATCAGGTTGAATTCAAGACAGTAGTTTGTGCTAGTTAAGCAGGCTACCGATGCTTTTAACGTGAAAGCGGTGTGGCATACCTTAGACTACAAGCAATTTTGACAAGCCACATGAACGTGACTACATTGTACTATAGTTTACTATGAACAATCATTGCGTCACGTTAAGAAGATTTGTTACAAAAATTGTGAAAAGCATTTTGCTTTTCAGTGTGATTGAAGCTTAGGGGTAACAAGGACCGAACAAGTTTGTGCTTACCAACTACAACGGTCATGTAAAGTGATATGGGATAAAAAACGATGAACCATATCGTCCTTATATTGACAACTAGTTAACTTGATTAGCCAAATAAGGGTACAGAGACCCGCACTCACATTATAGAGCTTTTCAAGAAAAGGCTCGAGTTTTTGTCGGTGCCTCGACGTTCCTTGTTTTAGGGTCACTTCTTTTATAAGTTTTTGAGATAATCCTACATATCAATATTAAAATCTATAGTAGGAAAAATGACTGTTTAGAATCAGCAATTGAATGACGATTAAAGTCGTACATACGACCCATTTTTAATAATAAGTGTCCTGACCCATTGAAACGTACTTGCCTTTTGAATGTCGAGGCAAACTAATACAGTTAAATGTTTCTTGTTTTCTTTCCTTTTTAATGTCTAAAGTAACGTTTGTCGCGTCTCACAGAGGCTAAAATAATATCTGGGTCTGAAAGAGGCTATGCCATTAAACGAAATGAAGTGTGCACATATGAAAACATCCAAAAGTATCGTTGGTAAAAGTCAACGATAAACCTAGTCTAGTAATATATATATATATATATATATATATATATATATATATATATTATAATATCTATATGTATACTATAGCCTGAGATTTAGTCAGTTCTAAGTCGTTCGGAATCCGGGAGATTTTTAAAAAGCAGAGCATGGACGAAATTAAGTAATCGTGCTTTCCAACTGTTTGTTTTCTCTTGTACGGTCCTACGGTCACTAAAGTAGAACAGGACAGCATTTCCCCGGAATCTAAAATGCCGAAGGAAATGCATTGGAGTGACAGGGACAATAGTCGTGCCTTGACACTGATTTCGATATCAAAATTTCAACCAGTGAATCTTTGAACTGGTTTGAACCCTGATCGATATAAATGCAATTAAATAGGAGAAAAATTATTTGGTCTATTGAATTCAATAATTCTACTAGGTACTATCCCTATAAAAATAGCTTGCGCGTGTTTAGGGAAGACTGTAAGCCGATTTAAAATATAAATTAAGTATTATGATTCTTGTGTAACATTCTAGTCTCTTTTGTGGCTTTATACCACACTAGACGCTTTGTCAAATTTAAAGCGGTAACGAAGCCATTTACATGGACTCAAAATATTCCTTGTTATCAAGCCTTCATTAGTTCTACGTCCTGTGTGTGTGTTTCATCTTCGAAACATCTTCCAGTAGACGGTTTTTAGCAATACTGCATAGTTGTACTCGAAATGTATATATAAGTGGCAATGGCTATGTAGAACCGCTCCACTCATGGCGGCTTTCGACTTACCAGCAACTAACTCCGTATTGGCTTGTAGTAAGTTCTCTTCCACAAAATCGTTTTCTTCAAAGGGTTTTTCAAATTGGTAGTTTAGCCCCCGGGTCAAAGTTAGTGTGATATTATGCCCATTCTGCCAAATATTCATATATTTGAGCCTCTTGCTTCGAAAAGTACCTATCGAGAAATTCTGATGCAACGGAATGGCTGATACTCATAAAACCTGCCTGGTGGCTAAAGCCCTTTGGAGCATCTTTCTAATAGTTTTTGTCATTGTGATCATTATGTTTTAATACGTAACCTGGATGCCACAAAGACCAGTGCGTTTTAAAAATCTCAAGTCTGCTATATGGTTACAACGGTCCTACGTGAAGCTATTTGAGCTCATTTGCCTATAGTTCAGCCTATATGGGCTTCAGTCCAAGCATTAATTTTTGAAATAAATATAGTGAATATTTCGTCAACCGTGTTTGCCTATGGATGTCATGATTTTGTCAGACCTTTTGATCAAATCTGTATTTTTTGACGAATGAATAGAGTGTCATCTCTACTTATCTACTAAACAATAGATTATTCAATTTCTTTGATCTTCAGGAAATATATACAATCCATGGTATATTGCACAGATGTAAGTGAGGCTCTGCATAACGGTTTTCAAATGGTTTTATAAAGGTAAATTCTCTATTTTTATGTAACCCTAAATAATAACACTCTCATCGGTCCATCACTTTGAGACACACCATCCTAGACTCTTAACCAAAAAATTGACTAGAGGTCTTACTGTTCTTCATGAATTGCCTTGTTTCGATAAACATTAGAGTGGTAATGACTGCAAAACTCCGGATCAATTTGCAGCTACCTCAGCTCTACCATTACTGAATTCATACTTGTGCCATTCAACCGCGTGCTCCTACTCAGCTAGTCGATTAACAACAAGCATAAGTTTTGCTAAGTCAAGTTAACAAAACAGAAAACAGTCAACAAAAAGGGCCCTGTGCAAGGAGAACGTGAAGATCACGTCAGAACAGTTAGCTATTAGCGAATCGCTTTGCCTGAAAGAGTTCTCGTCGCAATTCCAGCACAGCTACTGCTAAGTCTGTTGAATTAACTCTAACAGCATTAAAGTAAGAAGAATAGAAGAATTATTTTCAAAGTTAATTTTTGTAACCCCGTAGCGTCCTGCTTCTTCGCCAGCCACTATAAATTCTGGCCTTCCGAAAAAGGAACGCAAGCACTTTTTTAGGACTGTTCTTAAATAATTTTGCCTTTTCATTGTGTAACATAATGCAATACGCTGTGCATACAGGGAGACACAATATAAGTCACGTTCTGATTGTGAATCAATTTTTTCTTACTTTTGAGTTGTAGTCAACAACATCTATGATCTACGCTACAGCAACTGATTTATTGACTATTTACAAACCTTGGTAATATCTGCTTTTATATATACGCCATAGAAGCAAGTTTTGTTCTACCAATGTTTGCCGTCTCGATCACTGACAGCGACATAGAGATGCAGAGGACCACTTATAGCTAGCTACAAAGCTACAAATTGCTAGATGCGTCGAACAGCAGACATAAAGGTAAAGCTTAGGGTTAATATTAATGTCATATTTAAATTGATACGCTGGCTTGAAGCGAAACAGACATGCCGAACATTTGAATAGTGTTAAAATTACAATTGTGTATTTCTATTCGCGTGCCATTCGTACACATTGGGTATGAATTTGGCTTTTTCGTCTGCTAGTCAGAAAACTGCCGTGAACCGAAGCTTTCGCGTGATAACTGAAATGTCGCCGTACTCATACAGATAGCCATACTAATAATAACAATATTAAAAAAATTCACAAAGAGAGCTACGGGCAAAAATTGGGAACTACAAACCAATTAAAAAAGAGTGTTTAGTTCATTGCGCATTGTCTTAAATGTTGTTTGAAACTGTATTTATTGTCCTCTACTAAACTGAACCGCCTGGCTTTAAATTTTCCTCCTCACTATAGAAGTACAGTTATTTGAGTAAGCAGAGCAACTTTACGAGAAGTTTAGTTTATTCAAGTTCAAATGATGCAGCAATTTGGAGAGACTGAGGTGCCAAGCATCATATGATAGTTTCATGTGACATTTCTAACGTAGGAACAACAACAAAACTGCACCAACTCACCTACTGAACACAGTAGTTAAATATGGACAAAATATTTCGCAATGGATTAAGAGTGGTAAGGAGTTCAAGGTCCCGCCAACGAACATACTATACAAACGGAAGGAGGTTGTCATTGATTGAACGCTTGTCAATTTTCGTACTTGCCGCTAATCATACAACCAAAATTACGGAACCAATTAAATTCCTAGCAGTTTTTATCAAAACTAAAAAAAAATGTGTCCCTAATGGCGCCAAATGTGTAGACATTTGACTAGAAAAACTAACGTACCCAAATAAGACTATTGATTTTCAATATGGATAGTAATAATCTCATTGTTACTGACAAATGCCTTATTGAAGTAAGAATATAAGGAAATAAATCTAAACATTTTTTTATATAACAAGCAAAAATAGGTTAATAAATAAAAAAAATTAAAGACTTATCTATTTTGGAAAAATAAATAATATTTTTAATAATATTGATAATTTCTTTATTAATTTCTCTATTAATATTCCTAATCAATACAAAATTCGAGATTTTATTTTTCAAAATAAAAAAAAATAAATGAATTAATTAATCTCATAGATTGCCAATTTCGAGTTGATGCAGAAGTCGTTCTTAAGTCGAAATTTGAAAATTAGATATCATTAATTATACCATTATAATAATAATGGTATAATTAATGATAATATACCATTATAAAATGACAATGACTAGCTAGATACCCTTACTGTTTAATATATTTATGAAGTACTGAGAAATTGAAAAAATGGAGACACAACCCATTATCGAAACGTTTAGAAAATGTTCATGTGCATCAGAGCTACATTTCGCGTAAGCCTATCTATTGACAGTGTTAATAAAACAACAATGTGTGTGCAGGCTATTTCTACAGGACTCAATACGGGAAAGAATATAAAAATTTTAAGCATAAATATAAATAGTTCAGGATAAAGCTTTGTGGAAACACCGCGTTACTTAGTAATCATTCTAGACGAAACTAGCAATGCATACAATAAAAACGCAGTTGGTCAAATAAATGTTCAACCAATCGCAAAGGAAGGAGAAAAATTGCAGTAGGAAGTTATTCTCAAAAAGACATTGTGCGAGCTAGTGTCAAACACTTTTGTGGAATTGGATAAGGGAAATAAAGACGTTTACCTGGCAGATACATACATGGGTTAAATTATTTAAATTGAATGGGTTTAAGAAAACATTGTGGAGCCCCGTGCGTTATTAAATGGTCCTTCGAAATCTAGTTATTGCTACGTATAGCTAGGAAGCTATGGTGGTAGAATAGGATTTAAAGCAGTTGTAAACAACAGGAACAGAGTACCAAGGGGAAATAGATGTGTAAAGTAATTTCGCGACATCACTTAGGGCTACTAAATAGGCGTTCTTCATCGCATGAAGAGCTAAAATGACTATATTATACATCCGACAGTGAGTGTTCGAGAATACGATATGCGAGTTAGGGAAAAGTTTTTGTTTAAAAGGCGGGTCTCAGGCTGACGTTTGACACATTCGACTGGGTTGTGCACAGAAACGAGTAATAGCTATAGATCGACAGTTTGTTGAGCTTTACCTCTAAATGAAAAGATAACTTAAGAAACGTCAGAAAACATTGAAAAGGTTAATTAAATAATTATTAGAAGATGGGAAATTATGCAATGTCTGCTGGAAAACTTCAATTGAAAAGCGGTAAGTGAACCAGTAGAATTGGCATGGTAGGCTAGACAACTAGTTCTTGATTTTGCTCGATGATAAAATGCTCAATGTGGTGTACAGCATCAGATCTTTCCTCTGCGAATAAGTCCACTTGCTGCTAAGCTTTTCACAACCCCAACCGCGATGCACCTCTCGCCAAAATATCACGATAATTTTATATCAACCCACGTAACTAAAGCTAATAGACGCGACAATTTTCAACACAATTTTCGCGAGAGATATATGCAAGTCGGTGATGCGAATCACAGTACTCTAATTTTCTTTTTGGAAACAAAACATAAGTTATGCTGATAATCCCATGTCATTCAGAAAATAGAGCCGCTAGGCACTCATGATGCTGGTATTTCAAATTCTCTGAGCTAAAAATCTACGTCATTTGGTTAGGTTATTGAAAAATTCAAAACAATTTGCTTTCTCTTTTGTTTATTGATAATCAACTGCTATATGGGTTCGGACCTCAGAAATGGGCGTGCCCGCAAGGCATAGCATTTCCATGGTTAGAAAGCTTACTAGAAAGGCATTTGTCGCAACCTTTCCCAGACGAGGATCTCGAAAAAGAGAATGATCCTCAAAACAACTGTTCAAAATTTAGCTATTTTTTGTAGCAAGTATGACAAAAAGTTGCCTAAAACAATAGCAATTTTGCTTCGCTCGCGCACTAACCTTGGTAATCTCTTAGAGGTTCTTACACCTGAATTATTGTAGATAGTTATATCAAATGGCCTGGAATTAGTTTCGATGAGTAAATTCTTGAACAAAACAGAATTAAACATTACAGCTAAAAAGTGCGTAGAAATTAGAATGATTGACGACAGTGGTGTGATTAATGTGTAACAATTTTTTGCTGTTCCATCAATATCGCTATGTTTTCTGACTGATGTTTTCTGATGACTGATTCCAGGAATGATCAAAGCTTTCAGAGCGTTTTTAAGCCAAAGCGCGCAAGCTGGTCGACCGCTAAGGGGCGTACTTACGACTACAAATATGACACAATTTCGACACAAACTGCTTCTCAGTGAATATGATTGTGCTCAGTGCTCAGCTCTGCTTTTAAATAGGATAAACATTATCACCACGGAAGACAAAGCTGTGAGTGCACCTCACATACGATGCGTTTGCGGATTCCGAGGGGAAATCAATAGGAAATACCAAGCTGTTTAACCCATCTGGCGGCTGACCAACCTGCTTATGAAGTCATACGCCGTTGTGAGGTTCAGTGAAAACATTTATTCTCACTCAGCTGTATGATCAGAGTCCATCTATTGCCGTATTCCATGCACTGTACGATTACCACGAGCCGTATGGCAGAGTACATTCAAGCTGGTGGCACGTACAACCGCACTGCAGCACATAGTCTTGTAGGTGTTATATGTTATATGTGCATAAATAGATTACGTTCAGTATACTACTTAAAGGGCTCACAGAGAACAATCCATTCATTCAGACTTTAGGACAATGTCGGCACGCTCTTTCTGCATACCCCGCTAAGACACAGTAGGATCTTTCTCTATAAAGATGTTTTCTCCTTGTAAAAACAACTATTTTTAAATTTAATTTAGAATTAATTAGAAAATGAAAGAAATTTTTTTAATTCATGTCCTCGCCACTACAAGCCAGTTTAATCCAAAGGTAAAGCGAAAAATTGTTTATATAGGCTAATAGAAAAAACCGACTTAGAAGATAAGAAATATGTTTAATACGAATGCCAAATGTGATAGGGTTTTTCAGCAATATTTGCAGTGGCTATGTCTTTTTAAACATGTACTCCATAAACTAGAATGAAAACATTTTTTTCTTATTTCACTACGTAGCCCAATGTGACAATTTGTTATTATTACAATTATTATTCATAATTCCATGAATTCATGCCGATTGTTCGCATTTCTTTAACCAAGGAGAACTTTTCACACATGAGCATTTATCTAATGATGTGTAATTTACTATTTTCAGTCATTTTTACCTATTACACCGCCATTTGCGCGTACTACCGCTTCTACAAAGATAACATCCTTCTCTTTATATATAAGCTCTAGACGTTTTTATGCGACCGATACAATTGAATATTTTTTTGATATTGAGTAGCTCGAACTAGGAATAACATAAACTGCATGACGGGACGATTTTTGTTCGTGTGATTATGCAGTGCAAACTTGTGTGCCTAGTAGAGTTGAATCCACGCGTACACAAGCTCTATTCCGTGTTAGAAGGGGACACACATGTGAAACAATGACTAGGTACCGGGCGTTAACGCCGAAAGATTTGTTTTGAGGCTATATGGTTGAATGGACAGAACAGCTCTGTCTGATTTCAAACATTTTTTGTCGGTAAATATATTCGGAACCGGTAGAACTGATAATTCGGATTTTCTATTGCCGATATTAGAAAATTTATAGTTTACGTAACAAACAACTCTTTTTCTAAGCTAAGTTTGTGTTAACAGTACGCTTCGTGTACACGACCACAACCGTACGCCTTTTAGAAGTTCGTCATTCCAAGTGGCGATTGTTGGGTTTATCAGACACCCAAACTCTGATATTTCTACGTATCCCTTCAGCAGATGAGTTTTTTTTTGACTAAAAGATATAATCAGTTTGACCCAGCAAGACACGTTGTTTCCTTATGTAAGCGTAGTTATCAACGTATAAAGGGCCGTAACGGATCGTCTGACCCATACGTGATTTTGGGTCCCCCTTGAAGGACGTGCGCAACCTTTGGACCACGCGTTTAATAATTGCGGAGGACTCATTCATTTGTTTGTCTTTCCTGATGTAAAAAACGTTACACAGAAATCGACAATGTTCGCTCTTGTTCTTTATCTCATTTCGAAAAAGCGCAACGGATAGTCGCGATTTACTCGTAGATGCTCATAAACGAATAGCTTCTACGTGATGCATAACTTTTCTTTTAGAGGTTTGCCAAATAATACAAATCGTACAGGCTTACAAATTTATTCAATACTACTCATAGCTATTTAGCTCATAAATAAGAAAACTAAATTAAAGGATAAATGAAATACTCTTAAAAAGCTGAATTGAGTTATTTTGAACTTTTTTAAATTATATTGAAAGAAACTTTCAAACCAACATCTATGAACCAACGATAAGTGCTCAACTTGGAATATTTACTTTGAAAACGTGCAAGAATGAGCCAGGGCCAGTACAGTACATTTCATATGCTATCAAATATTGTTTTCGCTGAAGTGTTCTACAGTAGTCTCCGTACTCGGTTAAATTCAAACGATCCGCCTGGCCTGCGGCCCCAGGTTCGTTTTTTGTCGCAAATGAAGTACCATAGAATAAGTAATTTTGTGCCAATATTTGCTGCTTCGGCAGGTTGTTCATTACGACCGATTCGATCAAATCTTCAAAGACACTCCATTGCGATAATCTGATTAGGCGATGGATTATGAAGAGACGTCATTGTTTCGGCACACCCTAGTGATGTTCTTCTGGTCGCGCTCGTCCATAGATGAAAATGTGATTTACATGGATCTTAATTTCACCGTAAGTTCGACCTACTTCCACAACAAGGAAAAATAAAGTCTCAGGAAATATTCGTAATTCCTGAAAAAAAATTGGTGCGACTTGATGTTTCGTTTCCTAAAGCCGCCCACGCATATTATTTCAGACTTTACGGTCCCTTGACAAAATGTTCGGGCTGCAAGATTTATTGCTAAATGAAGGTGGGTAGCATTTATTAAATAGCTTGCTTTGTTTTCAGAAGCCGCACGCCCTAACAGCTGAAGTTATGAATAATTTCACTGCGGATTATTATGATAGGCCGTCCTCTATATTTCGAGTTCTACGTCCGGTATGACCCTTAACTATCTCATCAAACGGCTAACCCCCAGCACGAAAGGAACTGTGTGTACACGCCTGGGCCCGAACCAAGATCACAACATGTACCTAAAATTAGCACGCAACTACATTGTCCACTAAGTTATCACAAGGACGGTAGGCCGTCCTAAAAATACATCAGCCGAGCATCGTCTGACCGAATCTTTAGGGACGAGCTACTTTATATGTAATATGTAGCGCTACGGATTAGTTTACTGTAGTGAAAATGCATGATACCGTAATTTAAATGTTACATTTTATATGTGAACTATAATCAAAACTGTAGAAATAGGACGTATGCGGACATTATATTTACGACGATCAGAAAACTCTAAAATAGTCTAATATAAATGCTCCATTGTTTTTAAAAGTTTTGTGATCAGCACAAACTATACTTTTTCAGAAGAGTGGTTGATTTTTATCTAAAACACTATCGGGATACGACGCGCGGATCTGCTTATACACGTGCAGACCGATGCAACACCTTTAATCTTGCGGTTTATGTTAGCCAGCACACACACTCTCAAACACACATGCACACATAAATAGCAAGTTCTTCTAGCTTGTAGTAATGCGCATATTTTGATTCACATAGCTCATATTTTTCTAGCTCATTTTTTTAAAATTGAAGTATGTCTAAAAGATGGCGTTGGGGTGAGTGAAGACGCCCATGACTAAGCAAATATTATAGTTGCTCGCCCAAGTGTTTTTATGCACCAGAATCATAATCATACTCACACTACGGTTTTTACATTATTTACCATAATTACATTATTCTGTGTTACAAGTGCATCGAACCAAAAAATACCCGACGTAGCCATCATTTTCTCAGAAACTAGACTTATTCCGGTATTTTCGGCATTATGATCTACGGCTAGGTAACACTGAGCTGACACTTAAGATCTGGCCCCAGCAGTAGTGCTCCCAGTATCTGGGTGAAACTTATCTTTTTCTTACTTTTTCTAGTTGGTTGATATTTTTGCAGAATAACAAGCCTAATAACTAATGCGTTAAGGAGATGACGAGATCTATCCTTCCGTGGTGCCCATAGAATTTATGAAATTCTATGGGCATCACGGAATATAGTTACTAGTCATCAAGGAGAAATATAGCAACGAATCGATCTCTTTTTTGTATTTGTTTTTTTTTTTTGTAATTTAGTTACACACTGGATCGAAATATAATCTATCTCATTTCACTCGAACGTTGGGATGAGCTGAGAGACTTTTGAAAAATTTAACATAGTAATTATTTATGTGTATATATTCAAACCATGTGACCTTACATAGTAGCCAAATAACAGAGCTGTCGTACCATACTAAGTTTCAATCAACATGTTTCGTACACTAAATTATATAAGCTTTCAAGTAAAAAATGTCATCTTAGCCTATGTTTCTTTAAGCATATATAAAAAGGCATTGGACCAAAAATTAGCGGCACCCTCTCTCAAATCTTGATATTGAGAAAATAGATCCGAAAGTTTTCGGAGCAGACAAAAATAAAAGCTCTACCTGATTATGATTTATGATTTGCTACGATTTGTGTGTATCAAAGTATCCGGTAAGCACATCCACCATTGGCTACCATTTAAGGATGAATGTTCGCCGGAATATGAAAACATGCAACTGGCTTAGTTACATGGAGAAGGAATTCGACCGTACATTGATTGACTGAAGTCATTGTAGTTCCAGAAGTAGTTATAGGTAACATGATGCGCGTAACAAGCGAGACATGGTGGTATGACCCATTTGTAGAAATAAATTTTTGAGCTTTTAGCGCCTCATGACTTATACAATATCTAAGTTCAAACTAATTTTTTGATTTTCAAAAAAATCGCTTCTGCATTTTTTAAAGCTTTTTCAAGCTTGGATGGTAACGTGGCCGCTTATTACTGTTAACAGCGTTTAATTGTTAACAGGCCCTCGAAGGTCGGCCAGGAGCGTCGTCTTGCAGTTTCCAGCTTCGGCCACTACTACGAGGGGTAATCGATCTCGTGGTTTCGCATTTCTATCATCTAAATCAAGCCTCTAATTGCCTGCTGTCTTAGGCCGTGTCCGCGTTTTCCGTTCGTGAATAATTTCACGTCTTTGATTAAACTTCGAGCCTGCTTTCGTATTTTCGGCCCTTTCCTCATTTAAGGAATCCGCAGGTCAACCAATTTGTTACTTGCATGCGACTTTTTACTTTGAATTTTTTCATGATGAATACCTTTGCAAAACGTGTTTCGTGCATGTTTAGACCCGGAGGCACAACTTATGTCAAACTGGTTTACGATACGAGCCTAGCGGCCGGCTCAATTATCACCGGAATAATCGCCTTAAACTTCACTGCTTATTGTTCGGGCTAATTTGAATTTTCTATTATCTGGTATAAATAAAAGCAGAAAATGTGTCGCATTCGATTTCTCACACTCAGGCAGTAACATAAAGATAAGTTCGGTAGATGTCAAGGAATAGTTTTCCTTGGGTAACCTGAGTTGCGGATATTAAAAAAAGCACTGACATATGCATGCAAGTGCATTTTCGTTGCTTTGAAATAGCGCACTCATCTACGAATCATAAAAAATAAAATACCTATATATATATGTATATATATCTAGCCTCCAGTAAATAATTTTTCATTGTCTCCGAAATATGGCTTCTTCTCTTCCAGAACCATGCGACAAAACATTTCTTTACTCTAACTTTACGCTAACTTAATGCATCGCGTAACACTTGGCTCATATAATGATACTATTGAGAGACGGATCTGTGAATCGAATGTTAACCACATTGCAAGCAGGCAGCAGTGGGACGAAGAAAGTCTTTTTTACAGGGCACGAGGCTTTCTACAAATACTACGCAAGTGGTACGCGTGTGCGTATATTTAAGCAAATCAATTTTTAAGTACTGCACTTCTTATTTCATATCGTTAGTTACTTAAATGTTGCTCTGGATAGCCGTAGTTATTTTGTGGCACCAGGGGCAGTTGGAGCAACAGACAACCACTATAGAATCATAATAGTGCTATACTAATTCTCTTTAAATTGTTATGTTATGTGTTTATTGTGACATGATAATCTTCAGGCACCGCGTGAAACCCGTGCCTTCATGTAGACAAATCTACCAAAGTTACGATGAACAACAAACTCAAAATGGAGTTCAACTTATTCAAGTTTACTTCGCATTTTGCTGGCATATATCGTGATGGTATTAGCATTCCATTTGGTGCTAAATCTGTTTCAGTAAAATTACGGCACATTAAAATTGGTTCTACTGCAGTGGCGGGGGCGACTACAGATTTATTTGTCGCATTCGGCTAGTTTCTAGATCATGATCTAGCAAATTCTGCGATTTCATTATTGCGCTTACCAATCCACTCAGTGGTTGCTGCGTTACTCCGTTTGTTCCTCAATATTCAATGGCTCTAAATGTAGCGGAACGAACACCCGTTTTATCAGCGTTACAATGTAACCTGTATCAACTTTATCAGAGAGGCTCGTTGCCCATGCAGTTCAACTTGGGCACGCCAACAAACAAGCACTGCCTAAATTGACCTACGGAAATGACGGACCTGAGGTAAATTCTCTAACTTACGGCGTCTTCCGACTTTTTAGAGAAAAAGTCGGAAAATGCCGTATCAATTTAACGTTGATGGTGATGGCATTTTGCTGCCAACAAAAGTATTAACTACTTTGCATATACTTTGTTTGTTAACCCAACATAACAAACTCAACCCTAAGTAGATGAATAACCGAATATTTGAGGAAGCTAGAAGGATAAATATAGCGCAGTTTCAGGTAGTTGTCACAAGGGAGTTTCTATTATTGCTATTGAGTGGTACTCTTCTCGATTAGAAACTGCTATCTTTTAATCATCTGGTGATTCCTTGGAAGCAGGTACGTTTAACTTTATAGCTAGCTTCTGATTGCATACAATGATACTCGAATGACTTGCAGCTGGTTTGATGTTGAAGTTCTTTGATGTCGACTATTTGTTTCGAAAAGGTTCTGACAACTGCACACGTGTTATAGTATCGTTGATCTCCTCTAGGGATAAGCCAGCAAGATTCCTAGCATCTGATATCGTTGCCCATCATCACGACACTGACGGGGATTTCGATTTAGACCTAGTAGCAATCAATGTACAACGAGCCCGTGACCACGGTCTACGACCTTATGTAAACTACCTCGCACATTTGCAAAATCGAACAACTGAAAAATTTTGTGATCTACATCAAATAATGACCAAGCACTCCTTCGAAATAACGCGGCAACTATATCGAAAGGTTAGCGATGTCGATCTTTATGTACGTGGCTATCTTGAGAAACAGTGCCATGGGGTACTCAGTGAAACGATTGCTGATATTGCCGCAAAGCAATGCGGACTCTTTATCAAGGCGGATCGGTTCTCTGTGAATGGAGGCCACTTTGCTAGCGTACAACTGGCCGATATACTATGCTCAGCTATTGATCTAACGAATGTATCAAAATTTCTACTTAAGGAACCTTTTGACTCGTACATTTGGCACCGCGAGCAGATGTTAGTGCACTAAATTCAAAATACTAGTTGGACGAATCTTAGCATGTATTGAAACAGATATACTATTTATCATTTGATTTAAAATCTTTTTTTTTTTTTTTTTTTTTTTATAGTTATTCTTAACCTTCACGAAGATATCGCGTTCGGCATTATTTAGTGCAAAATAATCTTATGCTTTTTACAACCAATACAGATTGCGAATATGGGCTTTGTGAGGGCTAAGGTAAGCCAATTTCGGCCACAGATGCCGGACATTCCCGTTTGTAGATTAAAAATCTTCATGTCATATCGCTTCAAAAGCTATGTCATAGTTAAGGTCTAAATTAATTTGAGTTAAAATTTGAGTGTTTATACTATTAGAGCTAAAAAAGAATTGCAATGCGTTACTACTCTCTCTGACTGTTAACATTTTTCTTTCATCTATTATAATAAAACTTTATTTCTTCTACAGGCTTTACGCACGTATCACTTTGTTCTAAAGAAAAATTCGCCAAGACAGCATAGAATATTTCGTAATATAGTCGATCTATTATGGCTTGAACAAAGCCATAGTGCAGATGATAAATACTTAAACTGTTACCATCTAGAACTTCCAGTCAAATCAGTAAATCTAGCAGTAGCCACCAAAATTAATTTTATTCCTATTGGATATATTATGTGCTGTTTTTGGCAGTACAGTCATAGTCGAATCCGTTTTTTTCAAAGGGCAGTATGATACTGATGTTTGGGAATGAAGAGAGCCGATTTAAGTGTTCCTAGTACTTGTCCTTCATGATATAAAGTTTAGCGTTTTATATACATATATACATGTTTCCCTGACGGAGTTCAGTACTATATACACCAGTCGCTTATCTACATTAACAAGCGGATATTACAAGAAGTTGAAGGTAACAGTATTTTACCTATAAGCGTCTTTTTCTGATTATAACATATAAAACTTCGAGGCTTCAAACTATATGTGCTTAATAATATGTTCAAGAACTGCAAACTAAGTACAATGGAGTTGTCACACAGAACAAAACAAGCTTCCTGTGTGTACAACATAATTATTTATTACATGCGTATATATGTAGCTTGCATCGATAAAGGCAACTTAATTCTTTGCACCTAATTTTGATGAAACAATATAAAAGACACCCTATGTTATAAATATTACTCAAAGCCCATTATCATATGTATAAGACTCTTGTATATACAGCTTTGCTTACTTATGCCACATGGAGTATCTCCACAGACATTTGATTTGTAAATCCGTTGCTGGATATGTACACGAGCTATCGAATACCCCCAGATTTATTAGCACAAAAGGAAACTCATATTATTTTATCCATCTTTTTAGCTATCTTCTTCCCAAATATGAAACGAATTAACTTAGAGATCCGAATCATAGGTCAGTATCGTTAGGTTCTACAGGGTCATATTCTTGATGAGATTCTTTGATATTCGCTAGCGGTTTACCAATATGGCGGCCAAGCATTAGCAGTCCAATAGCGGTCGCGGTCATTATGATCGCAAGCGCAATATTCGAGAACATCAGAGCAATGGGATGGCTCTCGATGAAAGGCGCAAGTATAATTGGTGGCATCATGGCACCAATGCACACGAACATCATAATTGCGGCCATATAATTGTGACCGAGAAATACATACTGAAGTGCCCAAGCGCAAACGTTGCCGAAGAAGGGAGATAACCCAAAAGCGTAAAGTGCAGTCATTGACCAAAGGATCCACTCAGTTCGAGGAAGGACGGTGAGGGTGACTGCTGCGAACATTACTATAATATGGCTGCCACACAACATTGTCATCGGGTTTACTTTGATCGATAACCCCGTGGCAACGATTCGGCTGAATGTGAATGCTGCCCAGAATACCGATACCAAAAACGCGCCTGAGCTTTTCGAGAAGTCTAAACTTCCAATCACGTAAACTGAGATCATCGAGGCGTAGTTCTGTTCGCTAGCAACTCCCAAGAGAACGTAAATGCACAGTCCAAAAATAATGATAAATTCCATGCGTCGTGAGACCTTACGATCCGACAACTTTGTTTGTTTTTTTTCATTTTGACGAATGTCAGCGCTGTCGACCAAATACGAGAGAAACATTAAGACTGCACAAATTGCATAAAAAGCTCCGAATGCTGCAAATGGAATGAAGATACGGGAATCCGATGCGGCGTCCTCAACAAGACTAAAATCTGCCAAATCTAGACGAAAGTCGATAGGCGCAGTGGTTCGGTTGAACGTCGAATCTGTTGCGTTTTCGGTAGACCTGTAGATATCATTTCGAAAAATATGCTGCTTAAAATGTCGTCTAATAGAAACACGCATTAGGGGACAATATATACTACAGTCGTTATGATATTATTGACTGTAATGCTACAAAAGAAAAAACTGATAGAAATTCCATACAGTCCATCTGGAATACAATATTAGTGTAGTTATCTTTCGTGTCGTCAAATAGGAGCCGATAGCGCTATAGGTCGATTGCTACATTTTGGTAAAGTTGATTTCTCGGTAACTTTAAAAATTATTAGGTATCTAAACTTACGAAGAAGCAATCGGGGATAATGGGCGTTTCTTGCTGAGAAAAGGCTCGGCGCCGAACGGAGAAAGCATAGCTCCAACGCCAAACATGAAATGATAGAACTGCAACATTGCGGCAGATTTTTCTTTCCAAACGGTGATTAGCCACACATTGCAACCTGTGAAATAAACCTATAGTCAAATATATCGTTTCCTGCAATCGACGACAACAGCAGACCGAATATCGAACTCAGTTCTAGATATTGTCACCGTAATAATCGTTCCCCTTGCATAGCCATTCGCTGTAAATCAGTGCGTGGAATTAGGTAGGTATGGCATTTTCATAGTCTACTTACTTTTCATCTTTATACTAAAACGATTGCGCCGGCAGTTGGACATACCATTAAATTAGTTCGATAGTTAATCACGCTAGAAAACCTACTTTCCCATAGCTGACAGCTTTGGGATATCGTAGTTCAGCAGCACATTGCTTCATGGAGCCCGTATCAGGGTAAAGTAGGGAGGGACTTAGTTTGAGCAGGAAAACGGATTATAACTATATTTATAGTTTCCGGAGTCGCTCATTATAAGTAAAATAAGTAAAACGTTACGACTGCACAATGACGGGCACGTGCCAGAGAACCTGCCCGAGAAGCCTAGATAGAAGCTACCTACCAATAAAAAGGCTGGAAAACCAATTGCAATTGATTTTATATGTAGCGTCTACCATACCAATAGCCTCTGAAAAGCCGAAACTCCAATTCAATAGTTTTAGCTGACGAGTGCTCATAAAAAGAGTTATGTCAATTGGAGGGACCAAATATTCAGGTATACAATATACTGGTGCACGGTTTTTGGTCTCGTCTTCGCATCTATCCGCACCGTGTCCACCTTCATTGTGGGCCCAGTAAATCTCAGCTCAGCAACCTTATACTTCATGGTGCTTTGAAAATAAGCGAAGTCTAGCGATCACGAAGCCTCGTTGGTTCATTCAACTCTAGGCCAGTTGTTCTTTGAAAACGCACGTCCAGTTACATCTTAGTGGATTCCCGTGTGTCAGTAATATGCAATACGCAAATATCTCATGTAGCTCAACTTAGCTCTTACTGCACCCATTTTTCTTTATTTCAATACGAGCTTCGTTTGCTACATACCATAGTACAATAAAAAGGTGCTTGACAAAATAGCGGCATACAAAAATAACGAGTGTCCTAGTCAATAGTAGCGGACAACTTTCCAATACTTACAGACCTTTCAAGGTCATTTATGCATCGACTGAATAGTGAGTATTAGGATGCTATTACTGTAGCATATGTATATTCTAAATCTCTGTTAACGTTTACTATTTCCGTTACTGCTCGAGTTGTAAACCTGAACATTTCTGAATTGCCGTTATTCTGTAATATATATTTCTGACGCTCAAAACATTCGAGTTCGTTTCTACTCTGATGTCGGATGGATAAATCTTCACCGCAACATGGATTATATTTCTTTTGCAAGTCTCTGTTATATTCTTCAAAGTTAATTTGGTAAGGGTTAACTTCGACTGGTGGGACCTAGTTCTCTCAAATCTCAAAATCTAATTACGAACGATATTGCTAAATAGCTGAGTAGATATAAACCTGCTTCTTTGTCTAATTACAAAGACATTGGTACCAAATATGGACTTAGATCTACTTCAAACCAATACAAGTAACTTGACCATGTCCGATTTACATGAGAATCCTATCTATCTGCCTTCTTCTTACACCTAGGTTTCTAGATGAAAAATAATCATAAATGATTTTCGCATCCCTCAATTGAAACTAAGTTAACATTATTCGAAATTTCTGTGGAGACCGAAACAGGTAATCGTCTGATAGTGCAGGAACCAGGGTACAGGGCGGACGCAGGAAAACATGAACGTTTCTGTAAAGTTTCGCGAATCGAAAGACGCTCGGCTGTCGTATCCAAACATCGACCTTCTATTTATGGCCAGATTTCAAGGGACTATTTAGATTCTTGGCGACGCAATGGCTGCTTACATCTTACTTAACTTGTAGACTAATTTCTCGTTACCTTTACATTGACAAGTATCTTTAGATTGACATTTCCAGAACGAAAACAATGGAACCATCTTCGGACCGTTTTCTTCGATACTGCACGCATTTGTGCCTTTATCATATAAAATGCAATAGTGCAACCATTTTTTTTCCCGACATTTCATTCATCATCAAGGCGCTCCATATTAAATCTAAATAAAGGCGAATTCTAGCACATGTACTATTATCGAACCTCAGCTTTTGAGTGACACCAATGTCAGCCCATGTTGCCTATCTTAATTTGATAAACCCAATCCTCAATACATTTAGCTAATCCTTTTATAATTCATTTATAATACCATTATGTAGATGTCTTATTCGAAAAAGCTATTCATCATACTTGCCTTAGCATTTGTGTACGATGCTTGATAACGCACACAGATAAGGAACACTAGTAACAAGCTTCAATACGTTGACATGTGCCCCCAGAACGTCTAGGCCCCTTTTTAGGTTTCAACGCTGCCTTTTTGTTAAGAACTGGCTACTATTGTGTGATGCCTATTAGTTCAATTAGTACGTTTCCAATTTGGCTAGTTTTTCTTCTTTAAAACAACATTTTTTCGGTTTGGTCGTGTTTATTTCCTTTCTGAATATATATGGTATTGTGTATCATTTAAAGCAGTACGAGGGGTATAGTTGTAGACATATAGGTCGACGTTTGGATTTTGAAAGTCGTCGAAAGATCACAAATATAACACATATCCGTTGCGCGATTAGATCAGATGCTTTTAGTGTAGTTTCGAACTTAAATATTTTAATGCACAAAAAATAGTGCTAGTAATATATTTTTGAAATGTACCGTACCAATCATATAACAGAAGTTATTCGATGAATTTGCAGATCTTTAGTCGTTATGATTTAGAACCCAGACGTAAAAAAATAATGGTGCTCACCAACTTCAAGAAGTCCGATGGTAAAGCCGAGAACGAAGCAGGTGATGTGACAAAGAGCCAGCGATGGGCAGACTGGAACAGCTATTAGGCAGAGCCCACCAATGAAAGTATTGAGCATCACCACGAGTTGAATATTATAGTACCGGAATACGGTGCCAGCTAAAAGCATAGAAGGAAGATAATTTCTATTATACAGTGGCCCCTTGTTGGAAAACTCAATGGTTTCGTTAAGATTAAGGGCATATCAGAACATGGACGCAATTGCTCACGATACAATCTTTATGCAGGCCCATATGTATTCAATTGCAAATCAAATAGTGTATACGAGACGCATATGCAAAGCAACTGTTAAATTTACTGTGGTTGCACCATATGATGAATACTGCTGCACAGCAATGAACAAATGGTTGCATGCTCTATATCGTATTATACGTAAGGGGCTTACTTTCAAAATTTAGAGCTGAGCAATGGGGAGAATTTTTAAGGTAGTGGGTAAACAGCTTGCGTACACCAAGAGATTTTTTTGGGTTACTGATACATTGGGTTGCCGAAAAAGTTGTGACCGTCTTTAAAAGTCGAAATTTGACAGTAGTAGATGTGATTCAATTGTTAGAATGCTTTGATTCAGATTTAAGATCTAGTGTTTTAAAGAAGAGAACTTCTTCAAAAGTCTCTCTATTTTCGAACTGGATTATATTAAAGACAAAGGAACCGTCTGTATATGCCTGTTTATAGTCAAGGTGTGTTATCAAAGAAAACAGCCAAATACGGTTGTGCCACTTTCGTTCTAAAAATCCCTTTGTGCAAGATCCTCTTTGGTACACCAATTACGAGAAAAGCCGATGAAAGTATTGCAAAAATGAGAAAACACCAACACGTGGGTAGCCACGGCACCGCCAAGGAACTAAATAAACATCACAGAATAGTTGTAAGCCATTTGAAGAAAACTGGCTATGACTTGAAAAAGCTCGATAGTGAATTGACTCAGTCGTATTTCCATCTGAAAAACTTTACAGAGCTACACTGAAACTGCGGAGTCGTTTGTCACGGGTAATGAAAAACAGACCATGCACAACAATACTACGTAAGTAAAAAAAATTTGCAAAATATACCTCATATTCTGTGGCAAAGCTTAAACTGATGCCAGGGTGCAATGCTATGTGTTTGGTGGGATCTAAAAAGGAACCATGCGTTCGTTATAGGTTGCTGCCGCCTGGCATTACGATTGATTCGGACCCCTACTGCTAACGACTACCAAAAAGAATACAGCAAGCCATTTAAAGAAATCGACCGGAACTAGTGGACAGCAAAGGCGTTGTTTTCGTACATGAAACAATGCCGGACCACGTACGTTTTCAGCTAACTGGAAAAAGTGGAGCTGAACGAACACTATCAATGGGTCAGGATTATGCTTCATAGTATATATCTTATATAACGCATGAGAAGCATATACAGTACTGTCACCGTGAGGACCGATTTGATTGTCAATTGAGATAGTTTTTGTATAAAAGCACATGGTCACACTTATTAAAGGATTGTCTTCCAATGAGCGACTCTATTGAAGCTTGTGCGAAAGCAAGCCTTTGAATTGAATATACTTAGAGATGATTAAGCTAATACTTCTTCAAAGAGGATAACTGAATGGTTTATGGTTCAAGTGCGGCGTCTCGTTGCCTCCTATCCCATTTCCTGATTGAGGAGTGTTTACGTTAAATGGCGCCGTTGTCAATATGCAGCTGTTCTGTTCTTTCGCATTATAATAAAATGTATATTCGGTAAGATTCAGCTAATGATTGACAGACGTTATATTTCTCGCATTAGGCGCAACTATCTAATGGGTTCAGAATTTTAATGATACGCTGTTGTACGTAGCTGAGATATCTCCATGAGTAGTTGAGCATGAGCTAAAAAAATCGAAGTAACCTATATAACCGGAAAAAACCTATGCCAGTGTATGAGTAATGCCTGTCCTGTATTTATTTTGGCTAGTATAAGTTGGTTCTATAAAAAAAATAATAATTTCATTCAAATAACTATTATTTACTCTCGATGATAGTTTACAAAGTGAAACACGCCTTAAGCACTAATTCAACTACGTTGGCTAAAAAAAATTCGATCAATTTATGTGAGGTCTAATGTCTATGACAAGCAATTTCTCTCAGATAAGCTGCTTCGTATAGCTCAACGTAGCGTTAAATGGTAAGTCAGCGTAATACCGATGAAGCAGGATACAATAGATCCAGCCGAGCGAGACGAAAGAATATAAACGATGATGTCCACACGCGTGTCATACATTTCAGCTAGATCAAGTAAGCTTGTTCCGTACAGTCCAATGCAGAGCCCCTACATAACGAAACAAGAACGACACTTTCCAATTATTTTTCATGTCCGAAACGCGTATTCCCGAAACGTGTGAATGATTTTCGTAGTGGTTAGGGTATGCCAAATTGCCCGATCCAGCAAAATAACTACCTCTATTTTTTAAAGCTTTTATAAAACGCCAATACTATACCCTCCATAGACGATTCAATGCAATAAACGAACGTATATATTTTTCAGTTTTAAACGCTTCTTTTTACGAACGGTTCTTGCGAGATAGATATTAACATATGGAAACATTCTTAGTCAAACTAACACTTACTACTGCGAAAACCGACATCGTTAGGTTTACGGTCTGCCATATTCGAATCGTCTTTGGCGTGAAAATCATTTTGATGCCGTGAGTGTTTCACCTGTAAAGAGTGTTAGTTGGGAAAAAGGTACCTACTACTTCTGTTTGTAAACGGTCCATTAGATATTGTTGGACATGTTAGCACTTGTGTGATGTGTATAGAACATTTATGAATAACGTTCAGATTCATGGGTCTACCCTTCGAAGATGGCTGCGTTCACGAAGCGAAGTCGATCTTAATGAATGACTCTGTACCTTCCAAACAAGACTATTGCCCTACGAGGGCTATCCCAAGTTAATTGTTCGCACACAATACTTCCAACCGATGTTGCTAGATGAACCGATTTCTCTTTAACAAGTATACAATGAAACGCAAATATCAGCTCAGTACTGCCATGGCCTTACCTGAGTTGTGCTGCATTCGACTGTATCGAGCTTCACCCGAAGCCGAATAACTGATTGCAGAGCGCAAAAGTGTCTCGGGCCTCCTCCAAATGTCGCGCCACGATCACTCATTTTGCTTAGAGTTAGTCAAGGATAATAGGAAATGTGCAGGAAAGGTTTCTAAAGATATGCACCTTTCATTTATAGCCTGAAAGTCTATATAATCTATAGACCTTACTATCATCCACTAATATTCGAGTCGCATTTACAGCACTCGCTTAGTGTTTTTCCATAAACGTCCAGCTAAGTAATTATACGTTTCTGAGCAGTCACGATTACGTCATATATACTTGTTGTAGGTATAATTGTACGAGCAGTCCGATATGATTGGCTTTGAACCTGCCCTAGATTTAATGTATTGCTTTATTGCTTTTTCCTAATAGATAATGTGACTCTCATCATTTCTAGCATTTTGGCATACTGTTACGCCATCCAAGTATAGCCTTGGCTTATAGGAGAAATTTACGCGTCTATTTCCGTCAACTGGGCTTCATTAGAATGCCTTCTCATTTTACATTTAGCCAATTGATGTGCTTTCTCGTATCCTGTACGATGCGCGGCGTTTGTATCACCTTAGCATATAGTATATAGCTGACGCTTGTTCTTAACGAACCCAAAACAAAGAAAACGCTGATCCTGAACGTTGAGTTATCTACTATTTCAAAAAACGGCCTGTGAAAATATCGCATAGTTGCATAAATCTCTGGTTACGTCGGTAACGAATACTACTGTAGCACTAGTAAACGTTGCAGATAGATGCATGCGGTGTTTCAAGAGTAGCTGAACCTCTTTGGCTAAAAAACTCAGGTCCTTGGCTCAAGGCCCACCAATGATGTGTACCACATGACAGGTATTTATGAACGAAAAAAAAACATTTCCACATATATTTGTGGTGTTAATGAATTTTAGTTTAGCTATAATAGTTTAGCAAAATATAGTTAATACTATCCATCTTTCAGACTAGGCTAATCGGGATATTTTGCGCTGATAGTTCTTAATATGTGTTATTTACATTCCATTAGAACTATTACAACCCAGTTCAAAATAAATATATTAATAATAAAATCTGGAAATAGGGTACTTGCGAAATGTTTTATCAGGAATCACGTACTGTTATTATCACTACTGTATAGGTTTTTAGACCATCGTCAATAGGATAACTAAAAACATTCTGAAAGGTATAACTTGCAGAAATTCAGGCTTTATTATTTCGATGATTGCTGTTGATTCAATCATTGTCCTATAAGTAAAACATGAATGTAATAAATGTAAAAAAGGTTTATCTACTTCAACCTGAAAGAGAAAAATTTCTTTTGTAAAGCAGCTTCGCATTAGGTTAGATCATATTCGCTAACACATCTTGGTCTGTAGAAGGTTCGATTTACATTTTAAGCGTTCCTTGGCAAACCCCTCAAACCCTTCAAATACTCCGAATTCGAACTCCAGCCCATACTCTGCCTTCCGGGAAAAAGCAGAGTATCCGTCGGTGGATGGTTTTAGTCAAGCCCGACTGTCCTTTGCGCCGAGCTAGCACCGCTGATTCGACCGACCGTGAGAGGCCAGGTCGGAAAATCTAGCGCCTAGAAAGTGTGGCTCCACACATACGAATTTAGCCACCTTTCCATTGTTCTACGCCAGAGCAAGCCTGCCACCTCACTGAAGCGTGATTACCATTAGAACTCAGCGCGAACTTGCCAGTTGGTGCGTGGTAATTGACGTGAAGTTTGCGCCGCGATTTATAGCCTTATTCCCGGCTGTTGCGATGCGCAAGCACGGTAGCGCATCGACGTTGCCGTTCATCGTGCCACTCCAGTATCGGACTTCGAAATTACTACAACCAGCCCCAAGGCCCACCAAGCCAATGTTGGATAGAAGTCGTTCCCTTGCGCCTTCAGATACGGATAGAACTTTTTTGTCGCCAAGACGATAGTCAAACATTCGACCTGTGATGAACGTCATTTCGCCTTTTGGGACGATACTCGACCACTATGTTCTCCAGCGTGCGGTCATTTCCGCTGTACTTGACAAAAAGCACGCCCTGGTTTGGACACACCGACTGCGGCCTGGCGCCGATTGCAGTCGGTGTGCACCTCAATAGGTAAACCCTTTTGGAAGTGCAACAAAACTCGCCTGCTTATGAAGCCAGAAAGGAATCTTGGTGCGGAACAACTGAATGCTTGGCGGTTTAAGCCTCGCACTAATCGACGGTTGTATGATGTGAATCGTAGGTCGTTTGCATCAACTCAAGCGGATAAACGAGGCCGACTGTCAGTCGGCATAAATGACTTGGCCATCACAAGATTGTATCGTGTCTTCTCGCCTCATCAGTGCTCATCGACCGCCTTGATGGAATGTTCTTATCTGTACACTGTACTCAGGGGGTTTTACAGCTCGAAGCAGGAACCGATAATAGGCGAACGCGAAAGGTTGGGCCAGGAGTTTTCCGTTCTAGAGATGACCCTGGCGCTCCAGATCTTACGCTCAACGAAGACAGTGGGACCGGCAGGATTTGGAATGAGCACCAAAGCCACCACGAAACTGACATGGTACTGGATTATCTTTTCAACGAATGGCTTCTTTCCAGACTGTGTCTGCCGCACTGGCGGGATGCAGCGCTTCTTGTTATCCCGAAATGTAAAGGTTATCCAAGCCAAGTGAGGTCATGACGCGGAATCGCAAGGAAAGCCGTCCGTTATAAATTTCTCTTGTATCTTCTGGCAAGGAGACTTAACATGTTCTTCAAAAGTGTGAGTGTGAAGCCCAGAGAGCAACACTGACTAAGGAAGGATCATTATACCGAAACGACATGCGAAGTACTACTTGCCCATCTCAAACGAAGTTTTTTAAGTAGCCCTCGACAATATACCCCTGTAATATTCATTGCAAAGATATCTGGTACAGAGCTTTTTGCAGGACCAACAAACATTCGTACGATTCTGGGGTTAACTATGCAGTAATGGTGTTTCGAAGGGCTGACTTCTGGCCTAAAGTGGGCTCGTCCAGGTGTGCATTGAAATCTCCTTGCACGATGATGAGAGCGCTGCAAGCAAGATTCACCACGACCTGCAAGCGGCCGATAAACTTCTCCACAAGAGTCAAGACGCACTCCTTATAACTTGCTAGCACATATGCCGCCGTAAGCTGTGTTTTGAGATCCCACAAGGCTATAAGATTGTCTTCCACACGGCGGAGGGTGAGGTCCCGAACTCCATGATTGTTTAAAGACTAAGATGCCACCACTGCGGCACTCGCGACCTCCTGCACATGGCAGTGGACGGAGTGAAATTCCGGTAAGTCAAACAGGTCTTTGTGAACACAAGGATATCAACTGCAGTCCAGGCTGCCGGTGCAAGTAGCCCTAATGTGAAGGTCGCCCGAAGTTCCATTAGTTGATCTTTAACGTTTCCTAGGACTTTGTCTCCGACCTTTGCTTAGAAAGCATGCTTGCGACTAATTACGAAATTTGGAATTATTTTTCGTAGTCTGTGTTTTCAGCGCAATCAGGACGTAGTTCAAAAAGTCTTCGATCGTCGGTGATGGTGGGAACTACGGCGATCCCATGCTGGGTGTCGACACGCCCTTCTGTTTATTTGAGGAGTCCTTTTCGTACGTATGGGACGTTGACAGCTTTTTAGTGACCTCCATGCAAAACTTGGATGCTCGAAGCTTTTAATCCAGACCGGCAAGCTGTACTATCGAGGAGGGCCACTGGCGCTATGGATGCACACCGCTCCTTGGAATCCTTTCGATTCTCGCCTCTTAAACATTCGCTTCGCTTTGAGATATTATATACAATACTTTTAACTACGTCTCCCTTATAGTTGTATCGGCCACTCTCAACGAGTTGCCGCTGTGTGATTAAAAGAGGCGCAACAGCAAAAGGCGCGCTCTCCTAAGCAGCCCTTCTGGAAATATTTCATTAGCGGCCTTGCAGTCCAACTTGAAAAGACGAACAAATAGGAAATGCATATCGGACTTTGGGTGTAGACCTTTCAAATTCGTAGCAACCGATTAAACTGCTATTGGCTATGAATTCGTCCGCCTCAAACTCTACGGACTTACGAGCGCCTGTCTATAAGAAGACACCTACCGGGGTACTTAATTTCGAGTTGCTTACTCGCTTCGGCTTAACTTGATTTCGTGGCTCCACGTGCCGCAATGTGAGTCTAAACAGACTACCTTGGCACTATACACACCCCATCATACAGCGTGGTGAATACGGATGCGCGAGGACTGTGTTCGGCGCCGTTCGTGAACTTGGAAGATCACCTCATCCAGGTAACCGCCTTCTGTAAATATAACGAGCCTGAAGAGATTCCTGGGTACGGCAACAACGAATAGGATCTTTCCTCAGGCTAGGCGCGGGGCTGACAGCAAAGCAATGCAGCTGTTTTATGAGGCTCTCGTGGATCAATACGGTCATGCAGACCAGACAGACTTATGCATCCCTGTTCGGCACACGATTCGGCCTAGCGATTTACTCCGATCCACTTTCAGTCACGTCTAGTGACATCCGCGAAGAGGCAGGTCATAGAGAATGAAGTTCCAGCTGTGCTACGCAACAGTTTCATCCAGCCCGTGGTCCTTTTTAGTAATTTTAGTGAAGACAAAACGCGAAACTCTATGTTTCTGCGTGGAGGACCGCAAGCTGAGTTCCGTCACGGTGGGAGACGTGTACCCGCTGGATCGGCAACGTTGTCGTCGCTTACCGGCGCTCTGTTTTAGTGCTTAGACATGATTTCATGTATACTAACGGATTGGCATGCACTTGGACTACAAAAAGAAAACGGCACTCCGCACGCCAGGGACATACCACTTTTATATATTAAGCGCATGCCATCCGGTCTCGCCAACGCGTTCTTAACGTTTCAGAAACTGATAGACAAAATCGTTTGGATCTTGACGTGCCAAATAGCTCTCGCTTACGTCAACGATGTAATAGTCTACTCAGCTGATTTCGACGCCTGCGTAATTCACCTTCGAAAGGTACTCACGGCCATCGACTGGTCCGGCCTGCGGCTGAAAGCAAAGAAATGCACCTGCGAAACTTAGGCAATGGTGTACCTAAGCCACAAGACCACGGTCGCCAAAATTTTCTCTTAATGAAAATTATGCTCAGTTTCAGTATTTAAATAGAATGAGACGGCAAAATCGAAATGTTGGCACCATAGGTTAAATCCTGGTCAGTAGATCCGATCGCAAAAACGATCCTAACAGTACTAGTTAGCTTCAAAGTTTTCCATCGCGATCAAACGTATGCTGTGATTGAAGGGTGGTTTTTTGAGCACTTGTCGCCATATCGCCGATGAAATGGATTGCTCGAAATCTGGCAAGATCCTCAATTGTATCGAAATAAAGATATGTTATTAACTTTCACAAGTGAAGATTGTTTCGACATTGTGTCAGCCCCATTGACGTTTTGGTTGTACCAAATGGAAAACTCAGAGTCTGAGTAAAGCCAGACAAATATTTTTAGCTCTTCAACTATAATGGTAAACTATTAAGCGATTTTATAATAATGTGTTACCAATTTTTTTTTTTTTTTTCATAAACCTCAACTTCTAAGTAAAATAAAACTCAGCGTCGAGAAATTCTTCACACTAATCCAGTATGATACAGGATTATTCAATTACCTGATACGTAGAGCGACAAGATCGATGCAATTGCACGGTTAACGAAACAGTTCTTAAACAGTTGTCTTTATATTCAAACACAACGAATCATTCAAACAAATCATAAAGCTTCAAAAATATAATTATCGAACTGTCTAGAGCAAATACGGTCATATCAACAGTTAAAATGAGCTGGTCGAGGTAGTAGACTTTGCCTAGGGAACACAAGGCATCGCTTTTTATAATGTAAATAGCTTCCCGGCATCTTCCACGCACGAGACATTGGTCACAGCATATGTATATATTCGAGCGAGCTGATAGAGCTGGTAGAACGGACTGCGCAAAAATGAATCGGTCGTACAAATTTATAAGCCATGTAACCCATAGAAAGTCTACAGTTGGACTAACTGCCTACTAATTACGATACACATTCTCAGACAGGTTTTTAAAGATGGATTCAGTCGGTGTTCAAGTCAATATTGACAAATCCTGCACACATCATCTTGCTTGCCAACGTCGACTTCTAAATTAATGCACAAAAGTAGCCTTTACTAGTAAATGTTTAAAGTAAAATAAAAAAAACTAGTAAAATTGAACATGATTCCATCGAATAATAAAATGCAACACCAAAAAACGCGAACAATACCTTAGGCTGATGCCCCACTCAAGAGAACCTTCAAAACTTCCGTAATATTAATTTGCATACGTACAGGTACGCCAGTAGACAAAGAAAGCCAGTAAAGTAGACCTCTATTGAAAAAAAAAAACATTCGTATTATTATCTTTTCATCACTTTATTTTTGCGGAAAAAAATATTAGCCAAAATCAAACCATACGTTGAACCGAGTCGGGTTCCTTTACCCTGTCTGTATGTACCATTGTATTGCTGGACCTTCGTGTGCAATCCTTTCGAGTCACTGATTTGTTAGATCAATCACTATACTTCAATTTGCTTCTCATTAATTTGGCGGTAGGAAAGGGCACCGCCTTCTTGCACCGTTCTTCTCGCTTTTATTGGGCAAACTAATAAAGCATTCGGTACAGATTTCCAAGTAAAGTTTAAAAGAACTTGCTGCTTTTGTATTATAGTGACCCCGTGACTTACACCCGAAACCTTTGACACTCCTTAGCCTCAATATCGTTTAAGAAATTAGCTTTTTTATTGTGTTTATTCACCGAACCACTAATCTGCATGCCCTATAGGTTCGGCATTTATGGTGAGGCTAATTTCGTAGGCGATTCATGAGAGCCTAAAATAAATAAGAAGTCGAATAAATAAAACAAACAGGCAAAAACTCAAAGGTAAGGCACTTCATTTACTCCCAGATCCATTGACCTCCCCAGTCTCTGCTTTATGTGGACGGCCGATCATAACTTACTGTTATAAAACTCTCAGTCAATGCACTATTATTATTATTTACGAGCAAGAGAGGATTCTTGTGATCGAAAAAAGGTATGCCTCTATCTAAAAAGTTTTACCTCACTACTATTGGTTACACTTTGCTTAGCATTAAGAACTGAGCAAATGATAGTTTGGATGGGGTGTTAGTACTTGAAGGGGCAATAACAAAAAATAACGATGCCGTCAACTTGTTGCGTGATAACAGAAATTAGTTTCATTATTGAGCAGTGACTGAGCGCTAAAGGTGATTTAGACAATTGAGGTGCAGGAGGGAGTCAACAGGCTAAAGGACAATTGTACATACAGCCAGAGACCAACCAAATGAAGAAAATATATACAGTGTCTATTAGACATAGAATGTCTTTTTGGTAATAAAATACAGTGAAACATGCATGCTTTCAAACATATAGGCTATATGTTCATGTCTGTATTAATTCTTGTTGCACGATATTTGGATCTGAAGCTTTGAGGTAAGATTCGGTGCCTAAACTTGCTAATTTCTAAAATGATTTAATTAAATCAATGTGACTTATGCGTGCCTGTTTTAGATGCTGAATGATACATCATACGATCCTGATTGACAACATTAAAAACATTGTTTTAAATCATATAACCGTATAAAACGGTTGATTCGAGCTCGAATGGAAAGCCAAACGAGAGACGATTACATGAATTTAGCATGAATAAATACTGAGCTAAAACTAAGGAAGAAATGACGTTGTATTTTATTGTCGAATGTCTAGGTAACAGCGCTTACTAATGCAAACCTCACTAAAATAACGACACTGAAGTTTACTGTTTGTAAGCTGGTTACTTGCCACTACATTATGTAACAGCAACGATGGGCTCAATTTATAGTCGAAAAATATCCAAAGCACTGGAAAATTTGGCAGAATGCTATGTGATTTCCTAATCTAATCTAGTTTCAAAGATTTGTCTTACGCGATCTCTTTACGATATCTAAATTAGATGCTATCAATTTTGATTGTTGATTACCAAAAACGCCGACCTATGCCTACACAGTTTAGGGAATAAAAGTCAAGCCAAGTCAATTATATAGGCGAAGTTTGAATAATCTTTGTTTCTTATGATGTGAACGACTATATACATACTTAATACGCATTTCGTTCATGAGTGTGATTGAAATAAACGGCTAAAAATTCAATGATTAAAATCTCTTATTAACACTTTTGTTGTTAATCTAACATTAAAGTCTATATATATATATATATATATAATCTTCGTGATGAACTTCTCCTTTTCATATATATTGATGTGCTGGGTATACGTGTTGTATTCAAATTACGTATTGCTATACGATTAATGTGGGGCCCATTTTAATAAAGTTTACCTTTGTGTGTAAAAATTGTTTTCTTTTTAACGGAAGTCCGACTGTTTGCGCGGCGGGTTTTTATGGTTAGGGGGGCATTATTTTGTCTAGTAATAATCACGCAATAAAAAAAACACCTTTAATCTTTAACGATACACAAAAGGCAAGAGGTTTTGGGGCTTAGCATACATCTCTGGAAAGAGCCGACCAGAATGCGACATTCATTGAAGTCTTTTCATTTTTGTTATAAATAAAAGCTGAGTTACCTCCAGTCTCTCTCACGCGCAACGTGTTTTCTCTCGTAGCAATGACCATTAGTTACGTAGCCTGAAGAAACAGCTACTAGTCAATTAGTGCGCGACCACACCAAAAAACGTTTACGATATACGGGCTGGCCCGCTCTAATGACAAATTTATCCCTTTTAGAAGATTTTTCTTAAACTTCATAAGTTTTTTGGCAGACTACGTACCAACCGCCCTAATTTGGTGGTATTAGTGGTGAAAAGTACCGGCTTAAGGAACACGTCTCGGTCTGGTGCTTATTAGAATTTTCGATAGCAGTCTGCAGCCTTAGTATGAATTCAATACCCAAATATGGAAAGTGGGTAGTTATCCGTATAGAAATCTGAGAGCAGGAGGAGGGAGTAAAGGAGAGAATCGTTTGTGTGTAAAAAATTTAGCTTGACAGGGTCAACTGACGAATATACGCTAGGCATATACACGTGTTTTGCTGTTCATATATTTTTAGATGGCAATAGCTGCATGGCAAACGCGGGAAGAGTTTGTTCACTCGCTTTAGAAAAGACTGGTTTCCTTCTAGTACCAAAATAGAGGATGAACGCATGCCCCCAACCTTTAAAGTTTTTCCAAATTTGAATACTCCACTGTTTACATGACGGAAGTTTAATGGTAACTTATCCCAATTTCATTGGCGCACTTTATACGAATAAATATCTATCTAACTAGCAACCAAGACTAACTTGAGACAACTGTTTTCTCATCAGTTCATAGCTAAAATCGTGTTTCTTTTCACCTCTTTCACATGACGTTTTTGCGATATGAGGTCTTTTGAAATAACTAATAATAATATAATATAATAATAATATAAGATTCCTAATATGAATAAGTCCCTAAGTGCACTTACATTCTGAAAAAGTTATTGTTAAAATCACCTCAGTTATGGTAATGACGATTGTCGTATTACATAGCCAAGCGTTCATTCCATTAATCTTGTTTCAAAAGGAATCACGCCTATAATAATAATAATAATAATAGAAGAGAGCAAGTTGGAGTTCCATTTGCAGATTGATGCGTCAAAAAGGAAAATAATATGCATCTGCACTGGGATTACGTTCACCGGCTTAGCTGACGTAAGATTTCCCTAATAGAGTACCATCGTAAAAAGAGTGAGTTAGTGATGCTACTCATAAGTTTACTCTAAACTCTAAGTACAAACTAACTATGCGAAAAAATAAGCCAGTCTACCCTATATCACTATTGGAACATTTAAAATTACCAGAAGTTAGAGAATCGCAAGTAAATACACTAAACGTATGCCTTTTATTTGGCCTATATGATCGACAGATCGAGAGAAAAACGAGGAGTCGTCTATTACTAATACATCACTAAGGTATGAAGTACACTTTTCATTTTTATTTTATTCTACATTTGTGCACAAATGAAGCGCGTAAAGTTCACATAATTTATACACCTTCGCTTGAAAATAAAATTAATATAAACATTCATTAAAATCGTAACTAAGAAACAGGCTAGAAATATAATGCATATCACATAGATTCTATTGATTATAAGTTACTTTAATTTGCAAGATAGTTCGCTAAAGTTGATACATTAGCAGTTCATTGATTACATTATCTAGGATGAAACACCATCCTTGTATTCCCTAACTGAATATCATTCCATCCAGAATATACAAATCACAATTGTGTTTACGTATTGAATTGGCATGTCTCGTTCACGCGGGTTCATCTGCCATACAAAGCAGCTTGGGATTGGACCTGATCTAAAGACGCCTCCCCGAATTTATCTTGATTTTCCTCCATTAATTTACAGATGGCTTCCAATTGTTGTCGTTGTACCTGTCAATTCGGAACGTAAATACATCGTTCGTAAGAGCCATAAATCAAGGTTCTTTTCTGGTTGTTTACTTGAACCTCTTGAACAACTGTTACATTTATCCTATTTATCGTAAACGTAGTGTAAGTAATGGCGCACTATCATGTCCTCATCTTTATCGAAATCGTTAAATATCCTCAACTGAGTGAAATAGATTCTGAGGGAATTTATGTTTGTCAGCAGAATCAATATAGTAGTTGTAGTGAAAGAAATTGATTAAATTTAGAATAATTTTAGAAAACAATTTGCTGGAACGTAAGAGCAAAGGTGTTATAATTTTTTTTACCGACGCCTGTTAAAAGCTATGTAAAGATAACTTTACAGTGGCTAAAATAAATAGAAATATCACAAACACTTCAAATATCAAATTTCACTGAGTCAAATTCAAAATACGCCCGCTGACCGTTGGTTACATAAAGGAATGCTTGATTTGTCCAATTAAGGGATCGTAGCCGAGGGAAAGTTAAGTCGTTTCCCTTGTATCAGGTTGTGTAATGATGAGTTTAGGCGATGATCAGATTTTTCACCTTAGCATGTTTATACTTAGTTGTTCATAGTAAGGGAACGTCATTTACACATTACTGATGATAAATCAGTCATTATACAGCTACAGTGGCTACTAAAGTTTGTATGGGGTATCGTACTAACGAAATCATGGAAACGATAAGAAGTACTTAGTCAGTCATACTGTAAAGTTATGCTTAAGTCGAATATGCTTAAGTCGCAAATACTAGTAAAGCATCCAGCAGTAGTATAAATGACTTGTTGAAAGAATCCTCAATAACAATAGCTTTCGTAAGATTGTCGTCAACAGTAATGTTCTTCAAAGTATCTGACTGTTCATACGATTAGGGTAATCTTGTAAATATTTCTTAATTGTTCATCTTATTATAGCTTTATCGCTATTTTATACTTACTTCTGCTTCAGTTGATCTTTGTCCTCCAGTTAAGCTACGCGCGATCAATTTTTCAGCTCGAATTAGCTCTGCTTTTTTTTCTGCCATAGTGTCTAAGGCAGAGTCTGGCACACTTTCAGAGAAAATAATTGGTCGTGATATAGGCTGCTTGTTGATAACTGATCCACTAGTACCACCTAAGTACGATACAGATATAATTTTAAATAGTCTAATCTTTATATTTAAAGTGAAAGAAATTTATTAAATACAGAATATTTTTCAAAATCGAAAAATAGAACACGAAAATGTCAGCGCTATCTCATGATATTATTATTTTTATTACCGACGCCTGTTAAAAACTACGTAGAGGTAACTTCTCAGTGGTTAAAATAAATGGAAGTATCACGAACACTTACGGGAGTCAAATATCTCAAACCTATTCTTGCAATTTTTGTGAGCATCTTCTTGCGCCCGAATTCTTTGGCGAAGGATGAACATGCCCGAGAGGACCAAACAAATTAACGTGCTGAATGTCAATACGATAACCCCATGGTGGCGCTGAACTAGATCACCGAATAGCTAGTAGAAAGGAATTAAAGGAAAAACATGTACGAGCAAAGGTCAAATTTATTCAGTCAACACGATGCTATATATAACAATTACCATTGAAAAATGCAGACACCGAATGAGATCTCTAAAATTAAATATGTGGTGCATTTAATGTGAAACGATTTATGACACCATCTGGTACGTTGAAGACAAAAAACAATGAGGATAATGAACACAAAGGTTGATCACAAGGAAGAACAAAATTATAAGACGATATGAAATACATTACAGTACTCGACCTGTAAAAAAATGTAAAATTATTAAGGAATATAGTAAAGGTTTGAGGCAGTACATTATAAAACCATTCATAGCACATACACGCTATACAAATATTAAATACAATAACTACATTGACTGTACTATTAGAGGAGATCTGCAACAGACGTTATTTGACCGTAAATTTCAGCGGTTTGATGCAAATAAGAATCAGCCGAATTTAGATCGCACATTGAGACTAGTTAAAATATTACAAGCGTTCGTAGAGAATATATCTAGTTAGAAACAATAAAGAAGCATTGTAGAGCTGCGCTATTGGAATCTCCATTTTACCTAGGTAGCCATTGCGAGCATCGGTTCTAAAAAAAAAGAAAACACTTGAGTATGAGTGTTTTTTTTTTAAAGAAAAAGCACGCGGAAGTTGTGATATTATTTTAAATAGATTTATCTCTGTAATACTCCTATTATTATGAAAGTTGACCAAATTTTCACCTTCAGTAAATTATAGCAAGATTACCTTCTTCGTTGTCTCACAGTTACGGAGAGCACTAAGAGATAACTGAATTGCAGGATTTTAAAAAAAAATTAACTAGTAAAAAGAAATTTGGACTGATATATCATTTTACATAATAGACACGAAAACCTTTTGAGTTGACAATATAAATGTTTCGAGTTTTACATCTGGCACCGCCGTTAGGCATTTTATTTTACGGCTGGCTCCCAGTGCAAAACAACGCCCGGATTCGAACTGAGACCACCACATGTCCCTAAGATGAACAGACACACACAGAGGGAGGAACCGACATTTCACCTGTGTGTATGTTATAATACTGCATGTCTCGACCAATAGCTAATTACCGCCACTCAGCCTTGCCGATACTGGCATATCTGAGCGAATGTCCACAACCGTCCATAAAATTGCCCCCTGGGACGTACTAAAAACGAATTTTTCTGTCTTATCAGAATTAGCCCCTAAACAAATAAAGAACCAACACATTGATAACAGGTCACAGATACTAAATGACACTGAAACCTATTATAGTTTTGAATGCCGCCCCCTGGAAACAGATTATTATATGCATTATACTCGGTTAGCAGAAAACACCTCGTCGGACTCGTGTCATTGTTCGACTGTATTTGCTATTATGACAATGTCTTATAGAGATAACTGTTTAAGTCGACGATATGCCAGGGTGCGGCAAGACCGGAGCCCACTTAAATTATCACCGATATTAATGTGACCACACAACTATGCCAAAGATCTCTGTCTCTAAATAAGTCGCCATAATGCCAACGCTTTAAATGGTCAAATAGAGCCTGAAAAATGTCGACTTGCATATATATGCGTTCTTGTTTATTATTGACAATATTCGAAGGGTCGATCACAGCACGATCAAGGAGAAGATCGGAATAGCAATACTAGCGCTAGTTACTATTAGAAATACTCAGAATACCTCGATGGGCAATCTACGATAATTTTATTCGACGATAGCATAAAGTGCCACTTATATTATCCAAATCACCTGAAACAGTTAAGCGTCTGAGATTTAACGATAATAGACAGAGTTGAACGCGCATTTTTAAAATTAGCACATAGTTTTTGTACGGCAATCCGAGACCATCTAGTGCATCTGCAAACCGCTACCTAATTGTTAATTGAACATATCCGTAAAATTTTCGTTTTCCGCTAAACAGTACCGTACCATATCCCTATGAACAGGATAGAGGGGTAAATTAAAGAACACGGAACCGAAGTTTTTTGTCAACAAGGTCTTATAATGGCTGAAGAATTAGTAACAGGAACAGCCGTTTCCAAAAGTAATTAGGTTTGCAATTCAGATTTTATCACCTGGTTCGCAAGACGTAGCAATACCATAAGCCGGACTTCTAAAGTTTGTATAACTAGGTGCTGCCGAAGCCATTCCACATTAAGCAGCCAACCAGATAATTACCCAATCCCTTAAACTGAGCAATAGCCGCAAGGTTTGTGTAACTGAAATAAGGTCTGAGCTTTTCAAAAACTATACCAATTGCATGGCACATAGCTATAGATAATAAACTGGGTATCTATAGCTATGTATACTTTTTATACATTACTCTTAGAAGTGTAACATAACAATAAGCACATGATTTCTGCGTCCACGCCTGTACTCAATTTTTTTAAATACATGATGATATGATTTAATTCCACTCAGTATATAGAACGCAATTCCTTACTTAGCAAATATTAGTTGAAATAAAAAAAAAAAAGCGTAATTTAGCTAGCACACTTAAGATGTACAAGCAAAAACCGTTAAAATAAACTCACTTCAAGAATTTCCGGTATCTGTGATTCTGAGTATTGTTTTTCTTCTCCCCTGGCCATTGTTGGTTCCACTGACATTACGTTGAAAACCACTGCAACTGTCTTCACGATACAATCTGCTCTCAGTGTTAGTTATTGCGGCCGAGATATACTTCAATTCGAATATTAAATCGCAAAGCTAGGTCCTGTATTATCACAGGGTGAGCTAGTTATATCTGGTATTATCGGTCACGCACAGGTCTCTTTCGTCACTATTCGGCATTAATCTAAAATCAGACTGTGTATATATCGATTAACGCTGGGCCTGCATTTGCAACAACATTACCGGATAATCAGCTGGTGTTCTCTGAAGTCATGTAACAGAATACAAATGGTGTTTTCATTAGCGCAGTGTTACGTTCAGCAGGACATCTGAGAGAAAGAAAGGGTCTGCCAAAAAAGGGAAAGGGCACTCCTGATTGCGCGAAGGCTCACACCCGCCGTATTCAGACCTGGTGGCAGTGACGATAAGATGGCTTTTTTTTTATCGCATTTCGTGTTCGAGAAAAATTCTTCACCGCACAGAATGGAGACTTCTGTGATCAATTACGTCTCCTTTTGCACTCTCATTATGAAAGGCAGCTTAGTGAAGTTAATGAGATTTAACATAAAACCTCTATATAAATAATGTCTTTTATTTCCGAGATAATTTAAGGACTCGTATTACTACTTAATGACATTAAAGACGTACGATTTATAAATTTGCTACAACTAGTATAAATTAGAAGAAGACAAAGCTAGGTAGGGAGTTCTTCTAGAAACAATTCGCTTCACACCCTATATATCTTTAGAGTCGTCTGCTTATTTATAAATAGAGAGGCTGCACACGTGTTAATTAAGTGCTCCAGTAGGTAGCGCTGATCGACAAAATATTATGGAAAGATTGGGCCCGCAAATGCGCATTGTCCTCTCTGTAGATTTCAACATTGGGTTTGCATAGAAACTCACGTGTTACATTGTTGGCTGCTGAATAGCACAACTGTTTGCGGCTGTGTCAGGTTAGTTGTAAGCATTATTTCCAGCTCTCCATTGAACAATTAGCTTGATATATTCTAGTGTAATAGGAACGGCATAGTTAAATAGTACTAACATGCTTAAAAGTAGATGTTCTATTTGTCGCTTAAGCTTCGTATGTGACTAAACATCTTATTTGTTAATATCATTATTGTTTATGCCGAATTATTCAAATTTCGGAAGCTTTCAAGTAACCTTTTTGAAAAGAATTGGAAATTTTCAAGCTTACGCGCGGTCCGGCTTACAGTGCGTTTTTATTGAATATTATGCATAAATAGACTCAAATTTCAGTATATATTTATATTGCACTGGTAGAGCTTGATAAATGGAAAATAGAACAATTAGTGTCAAATAATGCAACTTAAGCCCTAATATTTAAAAAACCTTTTTTCAAACATATATATAAAAGATGGAATCATAGTATGTACGAGGGTGAGTACCAGTTCTTCATTCACATATAACTTCAGTTCAAACATACACATATAACCAAATACAATTTGAACCTGTTTGATTCGCTATTAATGTGGAGATGACATATATTGCTTAAAAATTGCGGAAATATTTAAATTGAATGCTAATTCACACAAATTCTATATTCTATTAGGTAAGATGTTAAGTTTACGACATAATTGACATAAACAAGACGTTTGCTAGTACAATACATACACTTTTATTGCTGCTTTTATGCTATTCTGTTTTGTCAATTAGTTGTTGGTTGTTGGTAACAAGTTGTTGGTTGTTTTGGGTAAACAAAATATGATTTTCATTTGTGTGCTCATAACTTGCAGGAAGTGGAGTGAGATGTCCGCGTGGATTCAAACAACTAATGATTTCATCTTATTGGGCGTTGAGAACAAACTATGGCTTGTAAAGAATATATCTACATGCATGTCTTCCAAACTTTTAACTGCGGGAGAACACGATATCGATCAAAACGATGGGTTTGTTCTTTGGAAACAGTTGAAAAAAATGTTGACTTATTAGTAATTTATTATAGACATTGATTCAATGTAAAAGATCTGAAGCGAAATTAAACAGTAATTGTGCTATACACGATTTTTAGGTCCTCATGTATCACGGAGCTTGCATTGCCTTTTTCAAAGTCCAGCCCGGCGTCTCAACATATAAGAAACGAGAATAGAACAGAAAATTCAAAAACTGATAATACCGTAGGACAGGGGGAAACGCGTGAAGTGGCCTATCCTCAGACGCCGACGGAAACAATGGGTATCGACGACGGATTAGGCCAGGCGGTAGAGGAGGTACATTTATATTGAATAAGAACGAACTTCATTGTATAGCACAGTCAGAAACACTTGCCATTAGTCCCGGAAGAGTATTGAAAAGTGTCTCTTTTATTGTTTAAGACCAAGCGTTCTCCAAGTGTGCTTATTAGTATAGCAGTTTCGAAAGATCATTTACTAGCGTAAAAGGCTCCTTAAGCCTTTCTCCTAGGTTCGTTTACATTTGTCCTTTAAATGAACGGCCTGCTTCTCCACATCAAATGTTGCGAATGTGAATTACGCCGACACCGTCATCCTCATAAAACAGATTTGCAGCACGTTTCCTACCGCAGATATTTGTGACTTGTAAAATGAAATGGTTGTTGTTAAACATAGCTGTGATTAAAATACTAAGAAACTGAATCAATTTTCGTGGAATATATATATATATTGCTTAATGATAGGTAGCTTCTTCTGTGTTATTAGACTGTTGTAAACGAATCCGGCGGACTTACAAATTTTTGAACTAGTTGGGCTTGAATGATAATTTATTTTAAGGCTCTTTTCCTTATTATTGATACGTGCCTCAGCACTCTGGCAATTTTTAGACAGCCATATACTTGTCATTCGCGATCCCATATCTAAGTTCTCTGTCTATGGCTTCTTGGAGTAAATCGATAGAGGGCTATGTTTGCCCTATTTAGGGAATAAAAAGCTTCATGATCATACGGAATGAGCGAACTAAAGCTAACGCATCCAGGAAGTAAATAAGGCATGACAATAAAGTGTGGGATTTTCGTCAAGTGATCAGACTGTGTGCCTAGGCAACAGTCCTAAGTTTCTTGAAAAACTCGAAATAGCGGGCGGCATTCATTGTTTTATTTTCGGCGAGTGTCTCACGGTAGCAGATTCCGTGATATCCACTGCAAACACTATTATCACCTTACGTCCGAACCTACTCGGCACTACCATTATACTTGCATATTTACCTTACGGGGGATTTCATCCTCTTTTTTGGTCCCTCTCTGGCTGGAAGTCGACATATTGAATCTCTTACCTACGGCGATGGTATACCTCAGACGGATTTTTTGTTGAATTAAGTTCCGTAAATGACACGTAGAATACGCTCCGTATATTTTTAACTGACCTGGAGTGAATTTACGAGGGACTCATTTCTTTTTCAGCGTCCGCATTTATAGCATTTGGAACGAAAACTCTGTCATACGTTACATGTGAAATGCCAGTTTTGGTCGACAAAACCTTAGACTCCTTTTTTTTTTTTTTTGAAAAGCCTGTTCGATTGCGGCAGTGCGTTCTTATTTTTCGGGTCCCAACGTCTGACTACCTTTTCGCTAATCTTCAACACTCCAGTCTCCGTTCTACTCACATACTGTATTTTCGCTTAAGGCTTCCTTGGTTAACGTTTCCACCGATTTTCGCTGTGGCTTTCAAGAAACAAAAACATGATTACTGGATGTTAATTTTTTGGGAATAAGAGCTTTTTTTGGAACGAATTTCTTCTGCTCAACCGGTGTTTACCCACTAGTTTCTGGAAGGTTACAGTATTTATCAGCCGAACTTCATCTGCTAGCGGCGCGTTGTTCAATAGTTGTACAATCTTAAAGTCGATCGGATTCGTTTGAAATTATTTAATAGTTAATGAGTTACATAACTAGCTATATGAAAACCTAAAACCTAGTTTGCTTGAAGAGAATTCTCAGCTACGTAAACTACTATTGCTATTTACTTGGTGCATCGATTTCAGAGTGGAAAACAAACTAAGCCAGCCCATTTAACAAGTGTGCACATGCCAGTCTGTCAAAGCTATGTGTTGGCATGTACATCTGATAAGAGACTCCTCGTTTGGGCTCAGAAAGACCGATGTGGCAGTTTCCCGACGAGTATGTTGATTGCAACGTTTCTTTCGAATCGTTTTTTCCTTATCATACGATAATAACTAAATAAAATAAAAAATGCTAAATAAAATGCATATCAACAACATGTTACTGTAGGTTAACAGGGAAAAGCTATTGCTTATATTACTCTTTTATTCCCGCAGGCAATCAGTGGGAACTTCACTCAGAACGAAAAACTCCTCGGAAATGTGTGCAGGTTCGACTAACGGGACAAGTACCACCTATGATTCTCGTTGCCGACAGGTAAGTTTTCTCGTCACTATACGCAAATAGAAAAATCTTTCTCATATATTTCTCATAGCTATCTTAAATAACGCCACCAAGTACTGTTATCGTAATGTTCATATTGGCTCCTATAGGAAGTCCGTTCCTTCGGACCATATTACGTATAAAAGTCTCTAGCTTCTACAGTATTTGTAGGTTTTCGAAAAGATATTTGGAGCTTAGCCAAACTCTCGGATAAAACACAAAAAAAGAATGTGTCGCTTTTTGAAAGAGGCAAAGCGACAGAGTATCGATATTATAAAAACATTCCTACGTTGAACGTTTGATGTTAGATGAAGTTTCTTGTAGGCGCCCCATGCACAGCCTTGTAACTTGACCTGCACATTACATGTCAACACTGAGCTCAATTATTTCCTTAAGAAGCAGGACACATGCAGTGCGGTGACAGATCAGTGACAACGGCACGATAGAACATTTGGCTCAGAGGAAATAAAGCGTTCTGGAATATTTTAATAAAATAGCGGTATAACTATTACAAATTAAAACATAGCTGTAGGGTATATTAGATGTGACCAATCGTTTAAATAGGGCAACAGAATTACTGTACCAATGTTACGGAATCACTAAAGAAAGGTAATAAATCGACTAAATAGAGAGAAGTACGGAATGGCGGAGTTAGTGCTGTGTTATCTCAGGAAAATCGTAATTAAAATCGTCAAACATTTAGGTCTACAATCGAATTGTGAGTTGTTCAGGTAGCTAAAAATCGAATTATATCAGTAATATGGCTTCTTAAGACGCTGTAATACGTTTATTAGTGGATGATAGCTTAACCATGCGAAACAAGCTTGTCCGCTGCTTCATGGTTTGATCAAAAGAAAGGATTAGTCTACTTGTGAATAAATGCTCAACATTCGAACCCAAGATGCAATATAGTAAAGCTTCTATGAAAAATTTTACTTTTCATGCAAATCGAACAACCCTTTTGCAGGATACTATCCGGAGTAGCTTTGATTGTTATAATTATCTTAGTGTTGAGTTTGTTGAGGGTTTTAAGTCTACGAAGTTCTACAACAATCAACTGACTACAAACTAAACTTATAATAAATCCTTAATGAGTTTTTAACGTATCAATCAATGTGTTATAGCATATGAGGCGACGGTAACGAGATATAGTACCGACTTGGTATCCACCATTAAAATACCTTGGTACTAAATCCGCCGCATTGTGCCTTATCTGTGTGTCGTAATCCTTGTAATTGACTACATGTTCATACTGTATCATAAAGCATGTATTTTTTTGTTCTGTCTGAACGTATTAACATTTGCTGCACCCTCTCAAAAGCTGCTACCACAGCGCCCGAGGGTGAGAGTTGATCAGATGACAGAGAACCACTTATGCTACCGCTGACTATAAGTCGTGCGACTCGCCATCTGTTATCTACGTGTTACGGCTTTTTGTTTCAAAAATGTCACGCAGCTTAATTATACTGCTAATTTTAGACTAGTGTAAATTTTAATTAATTAGCTTTTTTTTCACTTACAAGTGCACATATTAACGGCACTGGAGGAAATGTAAGGACTGAATTGAACCTTTGCACCGATGGCTGCTAACGCGATGGAAGTTGATTTTGCGTTGAGATTAAATTGGTATTAAGCGGAATATCTTCGAATACTTAAACAGCTGTTCTGGAAGTGTTTAGATTAGTACTGTAATTTCTCTGATAGATACTGTAATGTGAAGGAGACTTGTGCATGATAAACACTTTGAGTATCTAAGAGCAAAGAAAGATCAGAAGAACCTGCGCCTCTCAGAAGAATGCTTGAGCTCTCAGGGATACTGTGGTTGGCTGCCGTGGCAATTCTCTGGGGCTTCTCCACTCCGTTACTTCGCCACGGCTCCAAAGGCCTTGAGGAGATCAGTGGGCGGACAGTCTTTCACAAATGGTTCAACGAAGTGCGTTTTCTAGCTCAAAAGCCAAGATTTGTTATACCTTTCCTTATGAACCAGTCGGGTTCAGCTATTTACGCCTTGTCACTTGGCTCGAACGATCTCAGCCTCGCAGTCCCATTAGCAAATTCGATGACGTTTGTTTGCACTACACTGGCAGGAGCATTGTGTGGAGAGAAGGTGCACGACGGTTTAACTTACGTCGGCATAGCGATGGTCACGCTCGGCGTAATGATTTGTATTACTGATAAAGCTTGGACGTGACTTTATTTTTGCCTAGCTGACCGAGCTTGAGCATGCCAGAGAGTCTGTGCAACAAATCTAAAACGCGCCGAAATATTCGTGGATAATCGCGTATTGGGATCAACGGTTTAGAAAGAATCAACTTATATGGAAAGTTCACCATTTACTATGAGTGCATTACCCTGCAAATACAGGAACTGTCAATGCGGAATAATGTTTTTATGATGATAACTAGCAGTGTAAAAATAAAGGAGCAGTTTGTGGAAGATAAACGCAGTATTTTCCATTTTACTTGACTTGATACTTACACATTTTAAGTTTAAGTAGGCTAACTTATTTCAAAACTTTGTTCATATTTGCGGTACACCATGCCTGCGCCAATCGCATCAAATAAATGTATGTAATACATATCAGTATTATTCTTAAAAACTTTTGTTTAGATAAACAGATTAAGACAAATGTCTCAGACTAGAAATAAATATAACGCGATAATAAACAGAGGAAAATCCAGGAGGAGCATGAAAAAAAATGAAAAAAGTATCTTTTAAATCAATGGAAAACTAAACGAAGGGAAATACTTAAAACGCGGAGAATATGCATCAAACGTCATAACTGAAGGATTTACTCGAATTTAATAAGATATTGAATTAATAAATTCAATCTTATTCAAAAGTATTAACTAAATAAAATGAAAAATTCGGTAACAAAAAGCAAACTTTTTGTAACTTATAGAAATAATCTCAAGCAAATAGCAAAGCTCAAGCAGTTAATTTCAAAATAACCACTTAAAATTCATAATTTAACACGGGAAATACTAAGCGAATCAGTCTAAACTTCATATAGGATATTTGCCTTGCAAATACTACGCGAAACTGGATAAACGAAACGGGTGCGTGGCACCGTACTTAATCGGAACAGAGTTTATCAGGCAGAATCACAATCTAAAACTCTCTTTTAGCGTACCAAAATACAACTTTGCGGACAAGCTTATCTACGATTTTCAATATTTTCTTTGGCAAATATCGAACAACTGGGTTCTATTGCATCTATACTAAATTTTCGAGTTATCTCGATCGGTCCTTAAAAAAAATTCTAAAAACTTCCACTTGTATAACAATGATTATTTAGACATCCCCTGCGACCCTATTAAGACGTTTCCTGCGAAACGACGTATTACAGTACATATATAATACCAGAAATTGACTACCTGAAACAGAGGTACGCAAGCTTCGCTAAGAGTTTACCTGTCCGATCTTAATAATTACCATTACCTAAACACAGTGTACACTTTAGGTGTTTCGTCTTTACTCGATATAATTTTGGCCTAAACTCTGAAACGATAGTAGTGTCTAGTCATTTTGGATAATATTATTTTCGCGCCATAGCTCCTCTGGTTTGCTGATCGCAAAAAGAATAAATATTTTTTTTTGACGCTTTGAGAAGCTTTGCAGAACTTTTTAGTTTTACCTACATAGTTAACTTGAATGATCCAAAAATTTTCACAACCCACATTCACAGGAATATCTGATAATATGAACATGGCTGATGAGAGGCTTGTACATCATTTGTGTCAAGTACGGCTCCCGATTAACGATTGTAGCCGCCTCATACAAAGTCATCATAAAACGTAGGAGCTTAAGTTTCTAACTATTAACAGATTTTCTGAGATAGCCCGGTCGGACAAGCCCACAGCCGTTTATACTTTCCACTACAATTTATATTAAAAGTATTTTTTTCTTTAGTAAAAGTGTTGTGGTTTTTTTTCATTAAGAGCCTTCTATAATGCACTTAGACATCAATATTTCTTTTTGAAATTTCAAGCGTTATCTGAGGCTACGCGTTTAGGAGTACTATATCGCTATGCAGAGTCGATTCATTGTTACGGCAAACAAATCCTCTGTGACCTCTAGATAAACAGTCGTGCAAGTAAAGATTGTTTTTCTTTCCAGAATGCTTTTCTTGAATATTTATCGCAGACCACAAACGGTCCGATATAATTAAGTCCCGTCGTTTTAGCTTTGAATTGTAAGCTGGTAAAGGCGCTCGGGCCACGTTAGTTAATTGTACACTGTCGTTGGCATTTATTGCAAGGCTATGAATAGCGTACTTCATCACTTGACGCATTTACAGGATACTCCCAGGTCGCTTGTCCCTGTCTCTGTTTACATGTAGAAAACTCTTCGTCGATCAGCAATCGCTTTACCTATTAGCAAAATAATGTGGCGAATATTAAATAATTCGTCTGCGATTCGAATGCGGCCTCCCTTTCCAATTAGACTGTCGTTGTTGGCGAATGATTTGAAGACGTCAATTACTGTACTTATGATAGGGCTACCGCTCATATGCCTATCCCAAAAGGTGAATTTGTGTCTGCTTCAAAAGATGTTGTTACTATGCACTACTTTATTGTTCCTCAAATTTTAGTATTAGTAGGTAGGCCAGCATGCGACAACGCTCTTGCGAGCGTATAAAATGATAAAAAGCATTCTAAATTTATCATCGGGTCATTTTTCGTTGCTAGCATGTAAAATTTGTTCAGATGTTGAGTTGATTTACCATGGTATAATTTGGGGCATAGTAACTGTAGTAATTAAGGGAGTGAAAAAATATAGTAACAAAGCTTAAATGAGGATCCTTAATGACTTAGTATTTGAATGTTCGTCAATGAGTATGCGATTGCGAACGCTCTCAAGAACTAAATGAAGTCCTACAGATGCTGTAAAAATGTCTAGCCAGTAGTTTGGTACCTCCAAAGTATGAGCAAAAACGAGATGTGGTAACCCATAGTACTGCATAACTGATACGTGTGAGAAGAAACTAACGGAGTAAATTTGGAAGCGGCCTGTTGATTTAGCACACAGCATTCATTCGAGCACTTTATGTTGTGTTTTCTTTTTCACATCAAAGTTCATCTCAGTAACTTGCCAAGCCTTGATGATGAGAACTAACTTCCATGACCGTAACGTGAAATCTACGATGATTAATAGGCCTCCGCTCTCATAGCTACTTAGAGAGTTGTGGTTAAAGGCCGATCAAGATCTGTTATATTATTTAAAAATAGATCAGTAATTTTTCTAGAATCTACCAGCAGCGGTAGGTGTTCGGAGTACCAAACCGGCAATGAAAAAACTAGCTACCGTTTTTCAAGCTTTATAAAGCGTTATAAAGCCTATAATTTCGCTTAAGCTATTGTAAGTAAACGTACTGGTGATTTAGTCGTACCAGCTTGATGCCGTCACTTCGGGTTCTTCTAATTTATAAGAAATTCTGTGTATATGTATTACAGAAATTTTACAGCACATATTAACTAGTACCGTCGTCAGAATTCGGACCTTTTGGCTAAGTAGTGCAGAATTAGTTTTCGGCTATGCAGGGAGCGATGCTGAGTACGACTATAGAAGCTTAATGTTATGTTGATATATCTAGGTCACATTATCGAAACATTTAAGTTATCTTCAGCTTTATATGATTTCTAAGGCTGTACTTCTTGGATAAATAGCTATAGAATCAAGTGAAATGATTTGCAGTATGTACACGATGGTCTGCTGAGTATAGTAAATGCGAAGCCGTAATTGTGGCGTTTATACTTAATGAACAATGTAGATTCTATGCTATCCGGAAAGACATTTTCGCTTCAAAAGAACGCGGACATAGGCACACTTCGTTACGTGCTGAAAGCTAGCCGTCTGGTAGAATGCCTATATGGAGACACCGGATGTAGATCCCGAAGCTCATTCTCAATGATGAGGTCTCTTAAAGGTTGATTGGCTGCCCTGATGTCTAATTGTATTATAAACTCCGGTAAGATTTTAGCAGCTATTAGTGTAAGTAACTCGAAAATTGCCACCATAGATACATGGACCTGTAACTAATAACATTCTAGTGGTATCTATTTTAAAGGAAAACATGTTTCGAGCATTTCTGTTGAGACTAGATTAAACGTCGGCAGAAATGCATTTGACACATATATACCCGTTCGCTTTTGATCTTGCCCCTCGGATTACGCGTTTCATCTCAAAAACAGTTGACTGCACAGGCATTTGCGCGGATGGGAATCGTTAAAAAATATATAGAGTACATTTTTATGCAGTACGTCACATCCGGACAGTCTCTTTCTTTCGCGCTAGAAGTGTTTTTGTAGACAATTAGGTTCAGTGTTCCCACATTCAGCGTCTAAGCTACATTTCTCTCGATGTATAAAAGCCACTATTGTGGTACTCATCAGAAGGATCTTTGGCTATATAAAAAAAATAGGTCTCTAGAATAATCATAATTGATCATATATATGTCTATTGATTTATGGACAATGTCTGAGCAATCGTCGAAAAGACGCAAATAAGGAAAAAAAAATGTTCCGGGAACATGAACCAAAACTTCTGGTGATTTTAGGCCTTTTCCGCGCTGACGTCTACATAAGTTACTACCGATACTGTTTTTGCCTGAAAATGTCGTCGAATCGTGATGTCTGCCTAAAATAGCTAACCTTGTTGCTAACATCACTTTTTTTTTTATTATTGCATGTAAAGAGCTGGAGACGTATATGAGTTTTCCCTCGACGACTCGAAGGCGCCTCCGAATCTGCTCATGGGACGAATGTCAATGTTGCTTGACATGGCTCTCAGTCCATCGGACGATTTCCTTGTCGTGTGCGACCGTGACGAAAAAATTGTGGTTTCCCATTATCCGGAGGCGTATAATATCATAGCATTTTGCCTTGGACATCGTCGGTTTGTAACTTCCATCGAACTGCTACCAAATCATCCGAACCGGCTGGTAAATATGCAATATGCTCTACTAAAGCATGACACTTCTTAATTGATTTTAGTGCTTTTGTGAAAATACATCCCTATAAAAATACTAAGACAATTAAAAAATCTCGGATTTACCCACTTCTAAAGATATTTTGGCGCTTTCTGGTTTCAGCCATTAGAACAGGTTATTTCTACTAACATAGGTACAGCCGTTTGATAGATGTCTGACGGTGGTGTTGGATGTAAAACTCGAAACATTTTATACCATAAATGCAACCGAAACTTATTTTCTATATTATCCTAGAACTACGATTGTTGATGCTACGAAATTTTGCAGATTCCGGAAAAGATCTTTGCCTACAGTGTCAGATTAGCAGTAACGTACTATGTATTATGTCTACAGGTATCAGTTAGTGGGGATGGCCTCCTTATTTTATGGAATCTTGAAGCTGGTGGAGTTCAGTTGGCATCCGCCAATTGTTGGGCTGAGGCTCAGACTGTTGATCAATTGCTACCCTTCGAACAGTTTCACTCACGTAAAGATGACCAAGACGTCCGACCTCCGCTAAAGAAGGCAAGTTTATAAGATAAATGAACATTCCAAATATATTATGCCAACGAGAAACAGTACTTCAATTTTAATTCTGCGCTTGCAGGTTTGCCAATGGACTAGATTACTATTTTATTATCTGCTAATTTCTCGTGATGTACGGCTGCATCATTCCGCATTTATTATACTGTTGTAGTCTATTCACTTGTAATGTTATATTAATAAAACAAGTTATTTCAATGACAAGTAAAACAAAAGTGTTTCTATACTTATTTTTCCTCTCTTAAAAATGGGTGCGTAATATCTTTACTTACGCCTTGGCTTCCTGCGCACTGATATGATGGATATTAGTGTATAATCGGTTTTTATCGCTTGAACAAAACTCACATGGATATGATTATACAATACCACAAAATCGTCAACAATAGTTCCATCGAAATCAACCACCTTCAAACTATAAATTTGCTTTATGAACGTTGCGGATAAAAATTTCTTTCCTTTCTGTTTGTGCACAAAGGTATTGTGCCAGAAAAACCTGGTGGCTGTTTTATACTACCGTGTTCCGTACGTGCACATATTCCGGTGTGACGGTTCATCGCTGGTCAGCTGCGGAGGCGTTGTCACTGAAGCAGCTGTATGGAGTGCTGCCATTGATAATTGCTTGAGGCTTTGGGTACGACAGCATAGACACGAGATTTACACACTACGTGCGTGTATGCAATCCGTATATAATAGAGTGGTAGCGAGTTTAGTATAAAACCAAAGCTTTATATAGGTATATTTCTTTATTAAATAGAAACATAAATAAGAAGATGCACAAAAAATATTCATAATTGCAAGTTTTTATGTTAATAATTTTAGCTTACACGATAATTTTTTTTCGGTGATAATTTTCCCTATGGAAATGTTTACGAAAAACGCAGCTTCTAGAACTCCTCAAATATTTCTTTTAACCAGTGCCTTTAGGTACCATGTTCGAGTTCTCTTATATGTGCAATAAATAGAAGTGTTTGAAGCTCTCAACTTTTCAGAAATTTTAACTTTTCATCTCGCCGTTGACTCAATTAAGTTACTAACTTTTTTTCTACAGAACTTGCAATGTCAAGGTGTACTTTTAAGGATTCACAAACTATTATCTTCACTATTAACTTCTATTAACTATTAATTTCTCAAATCTATCTAAGCATGCTGACGTTTTTAGCGATGTGTCTAATATAACTAGAAATCTATTTCGTCCATTTCTGACTAGGATTTTTCAGCTTAGGTTAATGATAAAGTTAGATAACGACAGGCGCAAAAATCATAGCGCAAAGTACTCATTAAACATAATAGCTATTCACATTGTAATCTAACTGCAACTGGCCAATATAATTCTCCTTATAATGTACTTTGTAAATTTCCTTGTTCTTTATTGAACAATCCCAGTTATTGAGCCTTGAGCGTTAAACTAATTTTCGGACTTTCTATTTTTTTTAATACTATAGGGTGTTTCATGTTAACATGTCAGTTACCTGTGTAGTTCTCAAAAACTTTTCCACGAGTAAAACCGTTTGGATGGTAATGAAGTGAACAATTAACTATAGGGTCCAATTTTCTACCGAAAGGTTAGAGAAGAGGTATTATTTACACGTTTGGCTTATAGGTCGTGCAAAAGTTAGTTTAATTATTAACGCGCGATTTTGTTCTTACTATGTGTCGCTGTTGTGTTTATTACGTTCCAGGTGCTGACACCATCACTGTCTGTATTTCAGTTGGATCAATCTGGCAAACACTACTCAGTTAATCTCCCATCAGGGCTTACTTTAAGTATGCGTAAGGCGCTCAGTCCTCTTGAAGGTACGCGGCGCTTACCTTTTTCAAAAGTATTTTATGATAAGATTGGGTTTACAATGGTTCGCCAACTTACACTATGATCTGAAATATATGTTTAGTAAGTTTTGTTTTTTTGGTGGACACCGACAAGAAACTAACGTTTATCTAGTATCAACCAATTAGACGTACAGCTGATTTTAAAACTAAAGACGTACACCGATTCTACCGCGAGGAAATCACAATGAAATTTCCGGTTTTTCAACTAAGTTGTATTGTTCAAATGTCTGATTTTAACAAGGCATTTGCAGAATGCCGTAATGTAAAGTTTATCCAGATTAAACATTTTTTTTTCTTGAAGAAGCTTTTCTACTCATTTCTTTTCGTGTGCTGTATAAATTTTTTGTCCCTTTGCTAATGTAAATGCGTAAGGTGCGTTGGCTTATACCGTCTTTTCCGGCTCGTTGTTAATCTTTGATATGACTTGGGTCGATAGGAAGAGAACATTTTAGCAACGTCGTAATTTCTTTCTTCTTTTTTTTATATTGAGTCTACCTAAATTGGGAAAATCGCTGCAAAAGAGGGGCTTTCTTTTCGCGAGTACCAAGCATAGGTTTATACCTAATTAATAAAGAAGGCTAGCAGTTTTTTTTAATAAATTCTGCACAAATTTGGATTCATTCATTTGCTCATCGAACGGATGTCCACAAGCAGTGTTGCCACTAGCTCTTTTTTCTTAATTGTAGAATATTCTTGAATGCGAACGCGAATTTTGTTGACTAGCATCCCTAAAGATGGAATTGCATAGTACGGGTAAGATATGTAAGTCTTAAATGCATCGTAGTTAGTTAGTTAGTTATCATGTATTAAAAGAGCCGCAAAAAACAAACAATTGGCCTTTATTATCTCCGGCTGCCATGTCGCGCTCAGCCCGAAAGACAGGAATTATTGTGACCAGTTTGAATAAAGGTAGTAGTAGTAAAAACCTTCATTGGAAATGTTAGGGAATATATATATACTCTATGAAGTTGATGCGCGTTTGAACACCAAGGATCTGGAGGAGCCCATCACTCATACTAGCTTACAGTTTTTCGTAATGCTTTCAGTCCATCTGTCAATCCAAACTGTTCAACTGTAGCTTCCTTAATCAAATTGTCTATGTATATTGTATAGTTAAGTTGTCAGTATTTTTTTTTATTTTTTCAGTAATTTATAATTGCTGCCGTAGTCATAAATTTTCACATTTGTTGCTATTTCTGCCTACTCAATAGTAGTTACTATAAGCTATTGAAGCGGTTATCCTTGTAGGTTTACTCTTCTTTCCCGTCGATTCATTGATGCGTCGTTATTTTGCATGAATATTGGACTTTCTTTTGATCAGTCTATATCGACGCATTTTGGCGCGTTTCGTCTTGTATACATATAGTTTATTTATTTTGAATGAAAAATTTTTAGATTGATACGTCCGGTCAGAGAGACTGCCTAACGATGTTACTGCAAAGTATGACAGCACATGCAATATTGCGTCACATCTTATACAGATATACATAGCCCCTGGCGAATAAAAATCCATTGTCCTACGTATGATGTGATGAAACCCATATGCTGCGAAACGTCGAACTATGTGCCGGTTTGTTCTTTCCGGCGCTTTTTTTCAGGCTGCATTAGTAATAGTTTCCGTATTACGAAAGTCAAAACAGGTTTTTTCATTCCCCTCCACGGAAAAGTTTTGAACGGACAGAGTGTGAATTTGCATTTTAAATCTTCTACAAGTAGCACTAGGTTGCCTAGACGACACACATAATCATTCAACGATGAAAAATGTGTTCTTATGGTATGCTATAAGAACGAAGATTTGATTTGGAAGTTTGTCGAACTGCTTTGATAAGAGACATATGTAGGCACTTTGGATTCTGCAAAAGGCTATCATAAGCACCATTACTTAGAAGAAAACTAGGAAATGATTTGACATTATTATATTAGAAATCCTCGCTCATTGTACTCCGTCCATAATGTGCTGTGCGAAGGTTTGACCGTTCTCTGGCATGATCCCTCTTAGATACTCGACGGTATTCACATATTAGAGGTGATTCTGCCTACGGGCCATGCTGGAAGCAACACAGCGACCTTCACCAGATAGAACTTCACGGCTCTGTTTTGCCCATGTTGATCAGCAGTCCAACGTCATCCACGTAACAGCGAGAGTTTGCTGGCAGTGGATACGTTTTTCTCTGGCATGTTCTTAATTTTAGAGGGAAGCTAGAGGTATATATTTAGAAAAATATAATCTATGCATGCTAGAAAATACGCAAAGTTTAGTAGTAGTAATAGTTCTTTAGAGAGATATCGTTCAAATACGTTAGCCTTTCTCGGGCATAGACAAACTTCGTTTCGTGCTAGAAGCTAGCCATCTGGTCAGATGCTTAACGCCGATACCGTAGGGAGGAGAAGACGTAGAACTCGAAACATAAAGGCCTTCCGGGTCTTCGGAATCGCTTTCAGTATAGTTAAAGCAGTGAATATGGACGGCGGTCGAGTACGATTATATTTATTGAACCGCTGAGTTGGCTGAGCTTCTGTAGATAGCTTCGCATCGTAACATTTTAGACAACTGAACCATCTATAAGCCATGCCCAGTCACACTTGTACTCAGCCACTTGTCAATAGCTTAAATGCATAGGATCTGACATATAGACGAACGTCCGCATATAAGTGTGTTATTCTGCGCCTATGTATGTGAAGTCACGCATTACTCATGCTAATATGTGTTATGATGTTTGAGGGGATCTTGAGAGTGAAAGTTCAATACCTATTTGAGTCTACTGGCAAGGTCTCAGTCGCTATCAGCATGTGCCGCTTTTATTACTGCTTTTTTACATTATTGCATGCATCGAATGCAACATATTGAATGCGCATGCTATTATGCGTATGATGTGTGACATCACTTCAGTCCTACATTCATAAAGTTCTTTAACTTGAATGTACGGTAACATCTTAACGTATCTCTCGATGTTTACTGTTTGTACTGTAGCAACCGTTGGAGATTTTTATGAAATAAGGGATTAAAATATACAATGCACTTAGCAATAACAATGATAATGAATGTGGAATTAAGGTTTCGTACTTTTTTTCATTTTAAGTTTCTTCTTTAAGATAGACTTCTATAGATGACATTATTTCAATTGAGTCATCGAAAAGCCTGATGTAAGTCAAAACGGTGAATGCTACTGTCAAGTGAGCCTAGTTAACGCCGAAGAATACGTGGTTTTAATGCCAAACAAGAGATGAAATGAAATTAACTGTATGGTACTGAAGTTATGAGTTAGTTTTAGTATAACTGTTATTGCAACCAGGGGCAGACTCGACATTTTTAGTTAATTTATTTATTGCATTTATTGATGCACAAATAAATTTTTTATATATTTAGCCTCCTCCGAAGAAAGATTATTAAAGATTCTACTGGAAACATCTTTTTTATTCTTATTAAAGGTTTTTATTTCGTGCTATGTACTACAACGTTGCCCTATTTAAACCTTACGAAGTGATGCCGCTACAACTTTTCTGTTTTGTAACAGGTGTTACTGAAGTCGACCCCGATCTGGATGTTCTTTTCAAACAATGGTTTGATAACGTTGAGGAGTACTTCAAACGTAAAAGACGGCGTGAAGAAATTCAAAGAAGAAACAACGTAAAAAGTACTACGGAAAAGATCTAGCAACGATATTGAGACGCATGCGTTAATAAACCTGTGAATGACAAAGAATCGCAGAAATGATTTAATGAATAACTGCTAAGCGAACGAAGCATACCAAACTTGCTGATTCCAGAAAACCAACTATTTTATTTACAACCAAACTATGTGTTTGCTCTGACATTGTGAATGTTTTTGGCACTAGAATTGAAAGTACACGATAAGAAGAGGCGTTGGAAATGTCGTCCCGTTTATCTTCTTCATAGCATACTTTTCTTATTAAAGCGTATTTTCGATGGTGCTTGAGCAGAGCCCTCTCAGTCTAAAAAGTAGGTATTATTTGTAAATACGGTCGTACCATAAAAATCTGTAATCCATATGAAGGACTGTCATAAATGTGAATCCATAATAAAATAGCATGTTACTGTTGAAGAATGTATAACGGATACTTTCATTTTAAAGAAGCTGTAGTATACTCAGAAGTATTTAGGTACTTTAATTTGCTAATTAGAATGATTTCGTGTAATTAACAACAATTACACGAAATCATTCTATAATTATAGTATTACAATATCCTATCCAATAATATCGAATTATATCGACAGACTAGCGGCAACAGTTGATTTAACAGCCTTCTTGCCGTCGTGTTTGTTCTTTGTGTTCCACCTGTCTGTACTCTGCTACCACTCGGAATTTTTTTTCATTCGTAGCAGGCCAACTATATAGAAGCACAAAAAAGCTCCATATTTGTTGCTCAGCCTTACTTCAAACTGGCCTGTTGATCGCCCTATCCATGCAACGCTCTCTCTAATCTAGTGAGCTCTATGTAAGTTTAACTGACTCCACTTTCGCATGAGTTCTATAATTATCCCACGTGATTCGTGCAGTTACGGAGTTTAAGACAAGCGTAGGTGCACATCGTAGTCATGCCTGCGTGTTCAGTTTTCATACCTGCAATAGAAACGTTGCGATATACGCAAAGCCGAGTCCATATGCGCAATAATGCTTTGAGTTTTATGTCCGATCTTTGAGTCGTTAGGCAGTGCTTTAGATAGCCTGTCTAGAAAACATCTAACCTGCAATGTATGGGTCTTACCTCAAGGCCACTATGTTGCAGTTCTACCAACAGGTCTTCATCTTCACCCTAGCATTCGCGGTCAGTCCATGTGTTAAAAATATTAAAAATGCTATGGTTAATAACATTTATTGGCTCGCCACGTTTCCCTTTCTTAATATATAGCTTATAGTACAGTAATTCATGTTCTGAATAAGATCGGACAAACGTTACTGCACGCAGAACCGCCAAAACTCTTATTTTAGGCGAGATGTTGCTAGAGTACTTTTCAACAGCTTTAAAATGCTTTTGGTAGTAAGCTGCTAGAGTAAACTAGAAAACAAGTAAAAAAAAAAAATAGAATGCCCGTGTGTTTAGAAAGAAAATTTGGTTTTAAGTTGTACAGTGTCGTGATATGTTTGGACATTTGTCTTCATTAATACCCTTTATGATCTACTAGTTCAGTCTTGATCTGTTCTCCCATTTTCGTATTCCTTTCCTTTTGTTGATCAATGAGCTGAATTCTTGCTGGTTTTTACTAGAACTTCCGGTAGAACATCCTCCTAGAAGTAAACGCTTGCCTATTTACGCAAAGCTTATGCTTGCTGCTCCTGACTTTTGTCGATTCAGTTATGAGCTTTCGCAACTCATTTGACATCTAAGCGTGGACCACACAACGTTTTAAAATTTTGCGGGTTAATGGAGAGGGCACTTGGGGCTCCCGTTGGGCTCACTGACGACCAGCTTGAGCAAAGCACAACAATAAACAATACGTCTACCATGTAGTTGGATCGAACGGCGTTAATGATGAAATGTTTTACAATGTTTTTATGCTATTCTTGTCGAATCTATCCAACAATGTTATGTCGCTGTTACTAATGTTAATTCCCTAATTACGTATATTTCAGTATTGGTAAGTAAAAGCGGTAATTCTGAATTTGAGTTGAATCCGCCCCAATTCGTCTCATCGATTTATTAATGTTAGTTTTATGAGCATCCTAGGTCGTTCAGTATAAAATGCCGAGATAATAATCTTGAAATTTCTTCAGAGCTTTTTCATAAGCTTATTTCTTTCACTTTCAATTGAGCTATGAAAAGTCGATTATCTACGCGGGTAATGTCCGCTGAATATGGCAAATAACAGAACTCGTTCAACCGTAGCCATCGGATTTTCACCATCTTGATCTTCAAAGTGTAAGGTCGAGCGTTATCGTGCGATATAAATGGTTTAGCTCTGCTAATTAGCTTTAGTTATTTATTATCTCCCTTGTTAATCATTCCGTCCAGTTGTTGAGGTTACACTTGAGCCGTAGTGTACGAATCAACACTCATGAAGTTCTAGTAAAGAACACCTCTATTAAACCACTAAATAGATACAGTGAACAGGTGTACATTTGCTCCACCAGCTTAGTTGCGTGCCTTTGTCCGTGTGACCATCTGCGGTTATCGTGAAAAATCCATCACGAGTCACAATTTAATAACGTGAGTGCAAAGAGTAACAAGCGTTTCTACGTTTTTGTTTTTGATCCTCGCTTAAATCATTTTACAATTTTTTGTCACACTAGTTTCAACAAGGTGATAAACTGAGTACTGTATTTTTAAGTACGCTAAACCTGAGTGCTAACACTAGAAACTTGAAGATGGGGTGGTTTCCAACAGATCTTTCAACACTTATTACTCGCATTCACATAGCTTTTTCCAGAAGATCTAATTGCGAACTCAAGGTTTCCTAAACCAACCGCTCACTGTGCTTTCAGTAGTAAATCCTTCATGGAATGCAGAGAGGTTGATACGGCGATCCGTTTCTGCCCCTGTAGTTCCAAGACAAAACCCGTATGGGTAAACGTAAGTTTTATAATTTCTCATGAGTTTCTACAACAAGTCTGCTAAGAGCTTGACTAATTACCTCCTAGTGAATGGTTTCAGATTCCAGCATGTGTACGTGCATCTCAAAAACAAAAATAAAGGTTGCGCCGTTATAAGCAGAGTTATCTTGAAATACAAGAATGGCGTTTCTTTTTTATACAACTGTAGTTTATTATTTAGGTAGAGAATTGGATTGGTTTCGAAAACAAATTGAATTATTGTCGGCATCCTGAATAGTTGATAAAAAATAAGGCTCTTAGGTATAATGCACTTATAAAATACTTGATTAGTCCAACGTTTAACATTCTTAGAAACAATATTAACAGACATTTTCAAATATATAGGAATGACATGTGAGTGGAAAGCTGCGGTTTGGTATCTTATTGGTAGTAGAACGAAAAATAAAAAACGATCGACTTTTAAAATTGCTTAATATGATCATAGCTAACACCAACAGGTAGTGGAACTTTACTCCGAAAGTATTCACTATGTTCTTCCCAACCTATAAAAAGGCAGGTTCCTGTGGAGCAGTTAGCCCTGGCTCCTTTTTAAATTCAATTACGTATTTTTCTTTTTAATTAAACCGCTCATAATTAGATTTTGTAATAAGAATATTTGAAAAATCCTTATTTTCTCACAGCTTTCAAGATTGTTTCTTTTTTGGGATTTCTTTTCGAACTGCCTTTAAAAGTTGTTTAAAAGGTGTCTTAATTTAAATATTTTTCTGATCCTTTAATATTTATTTTAATAAAAGCATTATTCTGCTGAAACCTTATTATGACTTTATCATACATTGCAACTCATTATCTTCTTGGAATAACGTCGTTTGACTTTTTGTGAACTTACTGAACCCTCTTTTCCCCATGCTATTCATAGCGTACTTCATTGGCTATTGCAATTATAAAAAGCATTAGGACCAGTACGGACGTAGTGCATTTTACTAAATTAAGCTTATCACATATCAAGTGCTTTCAATACCACGATCCACGGTTCTGAATCAGCGAGAGCATTGGCGCATTTCTTTATGCCCAAACCCTGTAAAAGCTCACGTTTGAAATATATGCTATAGACTTATATTTTAATTTCTATACAAAAACACCTAAACTTTAAAACGGCACAGAGAGCATAAAACGAAAGATTGTATGATGTTCCTAAACTGTATAGTAACTTAAAGCTTTCATCTCACGTAAAATTTTTTCACGAACTGTGGGTTCCAAGTACGAGAATGCTGGCGTGAAGACTACAAAAGCATCAGGCCGTGAATTTCTCAACAAAAAGAAAGCATTATTTTGAATAGAAACGTTTTTGCCATGAGTAGCCATCTTATAAAGTTAAGTGAACTTATGAGAAATTCATCTTTACAGATGGAGTGCGCATATTCTGTATCGGAACGGTTTCGGCGAGATTTCTCGCTAACGCCGTATAGTTTATCTGTAGGAGTGGCTGTGTTGGGCCAATGTCATCAACGTTTGCTGCAGATAAAGCCGTTCGATTCAGCGCAGCTTCCATTGAAATTAACTAGAGCGCAGCAGCGTAACGCAATGTTTCTGTTTCTGCGACTTATCAATCAGGCAGACATGGGATACCAGGTACAGTACTCAGGGCCTGTAGCCCTATGATGTTAATATAGGACCCCTGAATAACCATGACGTATTGATCACTTCTGCGTCTATAACTTGTTATATGATGAATGGTCTTCTACGAACTGCTGCAAACCATACGAAATTCCCACATTTGACTATGAAATACTTTTTTTTTTTGTCAGTTCCGTTAAATCATGTCCACGAGAAACATGCTCCTTACCCATTTGTTTAAACCTAGTGGCTCTACACCACATACTAAAGAAATGTTTCCCAATTTTATTTTTCAGGAATTGCTTAACGTGTGCTCGAAGGCATTACATCCTGCAATTTACGCAGGATTAATTCGTGATATGAGTTTACTACGTGCTGAGGGCATGGACGCGATTCTTCTTAAAATCAGAGAGATCGAAAGATTGTTTGCGGATACCAACATAAATTCGGAACTCTGTGTGGTTCATCGAAATTCGGCTGTTGGAAAGTTTCTTCGAAAACTTGCTTTAGCAGTCGGATCATTGGACTTTACTTCACATGTTCAGTTCGCACATCGGGTAGCACGATACGTTGATGAGGAAACAAGTGGACGCTGTCTTGCGGAGGTAGACCAACCTTTAGGTCAAGTTACGCTTGATGATGTCTCAATGGCTATTGATACGGCAGCAGATGACGGCGATGAGGGACCAAGTGTACTTGACGAGTCCGTAATGGCTCTATATGGCAAGGAAAAAGCACGAGCATTTCTTAGACGGCAAGGGCAAAAACTTCGAGACAACCCTGCTGCTGGACTTCCGCCGAAAGAACTGCACCGCGAAATTGTTCAAATACTACGTAGCAGTCCAGACATGGCCGAAGTGTACTATCTGTCATTTATGAACCATCTAACGTTTGGAGAATACGTATCCGCCATAGAGGACTGTCATAAGCATTTTCTATTGAAAAGAAATATTGCGGGGAAAAAGTTCCGCTATGCACTGCTAAACTTAGCTATGGTCCATAGACGGTTTGGACACATGAAACAGGCTGAGCTTGCTTTAAAGGAATGCATCGATCTTTCGCAACAATCTAGTGACAAGGAATGCCTTCAACATGCATTGGCATGGCTTTGTCGTACCAATCAGGATGTAATGAGCTGCTATATCAGGACTTCGATCGTGCAGAGCTGTCAACAACAGCTGTGGTCATTGTATAGTCTCGGATTGCAAACCCTTTCACGCTTGGGTGCTATGAGTGGTTGTCCGCCTAGCACTTGTATTGAAAGCTTAACAGGCAAATGCCCTAAACAACTGGAAGCTCCAGAGGTGCAGGTTAACCTTGCAATAAGCTCTGCCATTCTTTGGGTGGGTTACGGTTTTCATCAGAATGCCAAGCTGCATTGCGAGGCCATCTTGCACTTGAGTCAAACGCGGGTAACACCCTCTCACCGGGATTGGGTAGTAGTTAACGAAAGTACCATCATGGCCTTAGTATTCGTAGCACGTTACGCCGTACTGGACTATGATTATGAGACAGCACAAAAGCTTATAGACGTAGCACGCTCAATGGTTCCAGAGTACGCGGAATTGAAGCACCTTGTCGAGTTGGCAGCTTTATGCAATACATGTGAACGTGCACTTCACAGAGATCAAATAGAGGAGTGTGAGTCTGCTGTTGCCTCTTTAGCTTTACTGTCCACTTCGGATGCCCAGCTTTACCGGGTTAGATTATTGCAACAGATGGGCAATTATGAGCAGGCTGTAAAGCTGGTCAACTCATTGCAAAGTGAGCAGGATTCCTCAGGCGCATACTGTAATCTTGTGTCAAGACTTTTGCAGGCCAGGATTTTGATTGACGCTGGGGGAGACAACGCCATACAGTTGATTTTACGTGGTCTTGCCGTTTGCGACCGATTCCACCTGCGATATCTAGAGGCAATGTTCAAGCTCGAGCTAATTCGCGCTCAGGCAAGAGCTGGGTTTTCTCAAGATCTCTTACGGGGTACCTTAAAATCGGTAACTCCAATGATCTTATCGCACGGATCCAAGGAGGACAAACTGCTTCTTAGAAGCATCGAAGCAGAAGTGGCAGATGGAGAACAATCAATTGAAGAGATGACGGTATGCTTTGAAGAGTGGCAGGCTTTGGGAGACTTCTACAAAGCTAAACGAGCTCTGCAGTTTCTTGCAAAACGTTGCCATGACAGTGAAGATTTTAAGCGTCGAAACGAATTTGCTAAGATGTTTCGTCAGATGGTAACTCGAATATGATGTCAAAGCCCATGGCGCGTTTAATGAAGCATAATGGGACAGGCTTGATTAAATGAGAACTATGTATATTGACGTAAATATAATTTTTATAATGCTGCTTTGTCGTAATTTCGTGTGTTATCTAAGCACTGCTGTTTTTTTTGGAAGCAATGAAACAGTGGTAATGCTGAATCGCCCGGTTATAGGTTAGGCATTATGTAACATTGATAGGTAATTATGGTCAATAGCTTCACTCAACCTTGATACCCAGAAATCATTATTTTAAAAAATGTTCTATTCCTGATAATTGTATTTAACTAATAAACATAACTCCAAGCTCTATCTAAGTATAAAAATGGCATCGAGTAATGCTATACTTACTATAAGATTTAAGGCGGCCGATTTGAGCTAGAAACTCGAGCTTTTAAAAGTAAACGTAAAAAGTATGGTTTCTTTAACTTACAGGACGGCTCGAACCCTTCGCCCCTTAATTGAGCTGAAAAACCGGGAAGATTGTCGAAAGTAGGGTCTAAGGCGTTTAAATTTTAAATGTAGGTTACTAAAGAACCAGTTCTTTTGCCGTACAACACCATCGGTCCATTTTCTTCTGCCATTCATGGAAAAAACAAGCAAATCTCTAGAGAAAATAAATATGTCCGTTACGTCATCAAAGCGTCTAACAAAGGAGGTACTAGAGAAAAAAGCGACCTGATGCGGGGCAAATGAGGGATAAAGAAGTAGCAGTACCAACGGAGGCTACAAACCGGGACGAGAGTAAAGGGTAGACGCCGGCAGAAGGTACACTGAATATCTATGAGGACGACTGTACCCGACTTCAGCCACTTCTGTACCACACAAACGTTCTGGAACTAGGTAGTGGTGAGGAAAACGATTCTAACAGTTTCTAAAAAGTATAGAGGGGGTAACTGATCTCGGGGAAGATTTGTGCACTTTTATAAGAAAAATAGGCACCTGAACGTCAAAATCATCGTTGCCTATTGGTTAGTGGTAACGACTACACCTCCGGCGGAAGACCTTAAAGTAAAAGAAAAACGAAGTTTATTCCAGAAAACGATGGCGAGAGAAAAAAAGCAGTAAGACCAGAAAGTTTTATGCACCTTTTGAGCCAGACCAGTGTGGAATTTTTCAAAAGGGGACGGCGACTTAGACGCGAAAAAAGAGATCGTTACGCTGACTGGGAGCTGCGACTCTAAAAACGAGTTTGAAACGCTTATGTACATGGCCTGACCCGAAAGAATGTATAAAAACGCAACTCGATTAGAAGGCAGGATTCCAAAAGAGAGCTCTTCCATAATTGTCGTCGTTAAAGAACATGATCTCTAAAAAGCATGTGAACGTAATATCGCAACGTAACAAGGAAAGCTGCAAACAGAGTAGGCAGATAACCCTTAAGACAATACAGAGTACACGAGAATATGAACAGCTAATCACCGGAATCTTGAACTAATGTTGCAGCTGAAGCGACTCACACCACGACAAGATCGACGCCTCTATAAGGAAAGGATGACAACGGCAAAAAAAGCAGGTAATGGGTCAGATAGCTGTCGGCAGTAGTTCCGAAAAGATAGGCAGCTCTAATAGAAGAGAGCTCGTTGAGAAACTTAGGGCCTAAGATGAAAAGGACAAAGAAAACGTGCCGAGAAATACGCGACAGCTCTTCAGAAAGGCCTATTTCTTGGTAGAAATTTTCAAAGATCTTCACATCCACTCCAACCGCAACATTTTAATTCATGTTCTGATAGACAAGACAGCGTCTCAAAAAAAAAAATTAGATATATATCTGTTACGAGAGACAAGCGTTTTGACATCTCAGATAAACGAGAACTGGATGAAGGCAAACTAGCTGTTCTGTGTGTTCTAGACCATGACATTAAAAATAGAAGAAGCGGGTCAGGAAAAGAATTTTCCTGGATAACGCTTGAAGATATAAGCAGGTTGTTTTCGTGCTACTGTAGTCCAAAAACGTATAACTGGGAAACTAGGTACGCTGTTTGATGAGCTGATAGCCAACCTTGAATCTCGGAACTTGTTCAACAGGAATCAATAAGAAATCTCAATACTTTGACAATAAGCTTCTCGGGAGATTTTAGCGCACATTGTTAGGCATGGGAATCACGAGGGACCAATAGAAGAAAGCGAGCCCTAATGGAATGGTTAGTCACCCACGACTTAACAAAGTGGAAGTGCCGCTTTTCCTGTCGCGAGGAGACCTAGGCAAATTTCATGACATACAGAACAGATGACTGAATGAAAGGTGCTTGAAGAAGAGAACGCAAGTGACCATATCTGTATTGAGTGTTGCGCCACTGGCAGTAAAACTAGGAGCGTCCTAAATGAACCGCATTTGAAACTTCAAAATAGAAGGGAAACAAAAATAATCATTGGTAGCATCCTTAAAGAAGAAAAATTACCGACAAATGCCTCAGATCTACAGGGGGCCTTGCTAAAGAATTAGGATACACTCTAAACGGTAACTGCTAGTTATACCGAAACATTGGGGGAACCAAAGCATTGTCGATGTAAGAGAAGAGTGCTTGAGACTACAATAGTGCCTTAAAAAACAATAACTCCACAGAAACTGGGGAGATCAAGGTACTCGTTAGTAAATACAGTCGGCGCAGGGCTACACTGAAAAGAGATTCTCAGCAGCAAATAAAATTCCGGACAAGATTTTTTTTCAACGAAATGAATAACAACCCTTGGGGAAGATTTTCAGCAGTTTATATGAACGATCAAACGTAAAACTAGAACTGCAATCTCACCTGAGGCAAAAAAAGGAGAGGTTCAAAAACTATTCCCTACACACCTGAAATTTCACAAGACTGGATATAAGTAACAACATGATAACGAAAACAAAGTCCTAAAGATTGAAGTCATTGTTGGGGATGAACTTATAAAGCCAGGAAAAGCTTCCGGAATAAACCATATACCGTCCACTGTAATTCAAGTTCTTCTGAAGATATACTCAAACTCTTAATGATAGGGCAGGTAGGAAAAGGGGCATTCTTCGGGACAAAGTGGTTCCTTTTAGACGATCCACCTTCTCGAAGCTTTGGCCAAAGTACTCGAGGTGATCCTTGAGAAACGACTAGGGACTTCGCCGAAAACTATTGACTCCTATCGAATGTGCAGTACGGCTTCAGAAAAAATGGTCCGTCTTGGCAGCGATTCGCAGAGTCTTGTCAACGACAAAAATGACTATATCAACAATATCGGAAGCTCGGGAACTGTTCTTGATGATTTTGCGAGACGCGGAAGGTGACTTCGACAGCCTGTCTGGGAATGGGGTCTTAGATAAGCCGAGCTTAGATTAGCAACACTGGTCTCGCCGTGGTAACAGAATGATATCCAGCCCCTATAGCTAGGGGAAGCGATAAGAGTCGTTAAAACATTTCGTTAAAACACTTGACCGTATACCTGAACCATGCCATGCGCGAAACTCCCGCATATAGGCAAGCAACAGAAGCAACTAACATAGCCAAATTTATGCACAACATAACCGATTCTAAAAAAGAAAAAGAATGATTTCTGAACTCCGTAGAAAAGTTCAAACTGTCAGTACGGACATCCCTTGTCCTGTCAATAAGTACCAAGCGTACTTTCTTGCGCAGAACACAACTCATCCTACCGTTTAGAGATTTGTGAGTTGTTTTTTGGTTTTGTTTGTCTCTGTTGCCTATTGGGTTCATTTAAAATCGTCAAAAGGATCTTTAAGTACCCTTTGAAGAATGTTGAGTTTGGTTTTGGAATTGCAAGGTGAATTGAGTGGCAGCCTCGAACGGTCCTGCTGTATCCAAGGAAGAAACGATCCCGAAATAGTTGCAGAAAATTCGGGTTTTATTATTTTGATATTGGCTCGCTATATATATTTCCTACTTTGAACTAGAACATCAAATTGAACTAAAGGGATTGAGAAATTGATTTCCTTAATTGATTCAGTGAACTTAATGATACTGAAGGAACAGCTTTATATAAAAGTATAGTTGCAGAAAATGCTTCGGTCGCACAGTACTATACTAATTATTCATTGCATGAAAAGTAATAAAGATCATGTTTTTGACGCGCTTATTTAGTTTGGGGCATCCAAGGCGGTGAGGATCATGACAGCAGGCTCAAGCATATAAATTAGGGTGTCCAAAGATTCATACAGCACTTTTATGGTTACGACGGAATTAGCAAATGGTAGCCATCCCGGCCAGACCACTCCTTGCAGAAAGAAACGGACTGACAAGACTAACGCTTCGCAGTATAATCCAATATGTCAACATGAACCTCTTGCAAGAGATGAGCGATCGCTGTGCGGAAATACCCGCGTCGAGCTTGGCAGGAAGTCCGAAGGGTTACTCCGGCCAATTGACCCGAAAGAGACATGCCATTCGTTCCTACCAATCTATATTACCGCTAAACGAAGGGCAGGGTCGGTTCGGTGTATGCTAGTGAGTGGTAATCTCGGCGGAAATAAATCCAACCGTTAAAAAAACTGAACTTCACACTAGGCCCACGTGTAATAGGTTTGTTTTTCAAACAACCATGCTGGGAAGTTTCAGTTCGATACGATTAGCTGACCTGACGCTAACGCCATCTATCGGCTCCAGCGGAAGATTTTTTCTCAACCTGACATTTATGATATACAAGGCGATAGGTTAATATGCTCTGTTCGGGTTTTCGATTTCAGGGGAAAATGCAAACAAGTGCTATTAAACAAAAAAAACTCTAACTGTGCCTTCAAATAAAAACACGTTATTTGACTGGGTGGGAAGAATTAAGTCACGGCAATATAACTTAGGGAATTGAATCAAACTGTTTCAAACAATCTTTATGTTGAGAGTTTCTTAAGGCCATGTGATTAATAATAGCATAACTTATTGTTTGGTAGTTGTATAAGGCATGCGAATTTATTATTTTCAATAAGTGACTGCAAATCATGACACGTTTGTCGATATTTTAACGTTATATAATTACTATGCAAAACAAGGTGTTACGTCAGTAATAACATCGGATGGATATTTGATAGAAACATTTTATTTTTTCTTCTGTTGTTCTTGCAGCCATTGTTGTTATATTTATTATCGTCATTATGTTTTTCTTCTAGTCTATACATCATTCACCTGCCATGGTGAGGACAAAATACACTGAAAGACCCTAACAAACGCAAACTGGCTTGCTCCAGTGCTAACATCTCTCTGCATATCAGGTTGGCCTATAAAGGAACATAATTTTTTAATTAGAAACCACGTGGTCGCAAATAACTTCACCACAATTTTGTCTAGCATGTGCACGTATGTTGACGCTGAAATGTCGGCACAAAATAGGGATATTATTACAGAATGGGATAAATATTGTTAGCACTAAAGAAACAACCATAATTCAAGAAGGTTGAATAATATCATTATAATAAGTACCATAAAATAAAACACGAAAATGAGAAATAATATAATGTTGTATATAGCAATAATATTATTTAAACATAAGCTAATGGGAGGAGGTGCATGTTGTTTCTGAGTTTGAGTATAGCCGATTTCCCAGGCCGGAATCGAAGTCACTCTGATAATTATAGAGCCTTGCGGCCCACAAACATACTGCTCAAGTTCTGCCTCCCACAGGGGTGCCTCAGGCCGATTTTAAGGCGACCTCGAGGCTATATATCTTATAATAATAATTATTATTATATTATTATTAATATTTTTTATATCAGTATGTACAATGGGCAATGAGTATTGAGTGTCGTAGTGCGTTTAACGAGATACCACCGCCGTCCTGGAGGGCAAAGGGGACATAGTCAGGAAAAGGGAACAAACCGTCAAATAAATAAATCTGAGGGATTTCGTTTGCCTTCAAAGGGAAAGACAAACTCACAAGTGCTGGAGTTCCGCTCAGATAGACTTTGAGAGGGCCTACTGTGTGACTTACATTGCATCACTTATTACATATTGTTCTAGTTTCCTCTACTAACACCATTCACTTGAATGATACACCAAAGAATCTTTAGTAGCAATATTAACTATACATTCTAGCATATCTGCCAATGCTATTTACGTTCACCTGATCTCCTGCTCGGCAGATGCTGACGGAATAAGATGTGATCAATGCAAAGCATTCATAAAACGCCGACATGTGATGACGCTTTTCATAATCAGGCTTTCTTGACTGAACGATAATACAGGCTTCATTTCATAATGATAATCAAACTTCGTTCCGGCTGGCTTTGGCTCTCGCATACTGTATTCCTATACAGTCGACCACTAATCAATCACTATAGACATAGTGAGACGTTTGCATCTTCCGGATCATACGATAATGCTAGTAACTATTATGGCGAGGTCCTGCCTCGTCTAAACACCTAACGGGAGAGAGGTCAAAAGTCTTGCTTTATTGGTTCACATTGGACAACTCGGTACAACTTCGTTAGTGAGTACGCTGATGTCGAAGCTCACACAAATCAAGGTCATCGCGTTTTCCCTGTAGTTATGGTTTTGGTGGAGAGTTTTTAACATTCTGTATATAAAATCCAGAAAAATTCTCTGATCACATTGTCCATTTCTTCGAGCAAATTCAGCTACTGGCCACTTCTGTCGAGGTGAATATGTCCCTCTGGATACTGTTACGGTGAGTTCGAGGGGCAGAAAAATTGAGTTTTGTTGCTGCTGCTGCTGCTATCGGTTTTACATTGCTCTGGTCTGTTGTGTTGTATACAATGAGTTCCGGCTAGTCGTGCGATTTCGCCTCGCTCTGCCGGTATTCACTATAGTACATTATATGTTCCGCCTTCTTGCAGTATTAGTTGCTATAATATACCCTAATATTACAACTAGTATTTATATTACTCGCGTCGTCTGTATGTTTCTCCGTCGCCATGTTTATCTCAGCGCTCGAATATATTAATGTCTTTTCTCTGTATTTACTTCTCACACGAATCATATTCTCACTCTCTTTCACATCCAATATGTATATGTATATAGATTTATTTATATATAGCAACACAATTGTTACACATATTTATACAACTAGATAGTTTGAAAGGGCTCTATGTTAGGGGCCGTGGTTGTGATCCATAGTGTTGTGTCTATCTGCTTCGTGCCTTCGTTACCACAGCCTGTGTGTGTGTGTGTTCCTAACAGCCATTTTTGCATTTTGTTTAGGTTGACACAGTTACACTGCTCGTGTTTTCATAATGCAATTGTGTAGAGTTGTTGGCTCAAGGTCAGTTGCGATCCGTCAGATCTGTCAGTCGACAAATCGCACTGCCCTACATTAACTTTATCAAGTCGTCGTCGCCTAGGAAAAAGGTCTGACATAAAGTGGCTCCGATTAGATTGATTGCCGCGTTTTGGAATGCACCGACTCACTTGAATACGCGAGCGTGCATTTTAAACTGGATCAAATAGATGAGCAAAACAGACAAGTGTTTTAGGTGGATGGTACTCAAAGGGTTCGAATGTAGGGATATTAAAATACAGCGTTTACTGGCTTGCACGAAATAACCGATCCCTCATAGGTAAAAACAACTCTTAATGGTTAATGCGTAAATATCATAGATTCATTCCATTAGCTTTCGTCACAGCTCATATATTGCAATTAGCTTGATTTAACATCGGAGAAAGGAGCTGATAGTTCAGCAAAACCTTCACAAAATGGCGATCTTTACTTCAATTCACTAGATAATGAGTAAGGCTTTTCAAAATAGGATGACATATGACAGTTAAAAGTAGGGGTAGAGCAGTCGTTGTGATTTTTCGTCGTTCACTTCTTGTCATCCTCCTTCTTGGGATCGACTTGAGGGGGAACGTTTAGCAGCGGATTAGGTACTCCCGATACCCCGTTAGGAACACCGGTCGGGACCCCTGTCACACCGGTGACACCAGGTGGAACAGATGATACGGGGGTGTAACTTCCACTGAGATGTTTGTCGAGGTACTTGAGCGACTCGTTAATGCAGTTTTGCATGGCGGTACAGGCAGCCACTACGGCCGGCGACCCGAAGCCATGCGTGATGAGCGCAAAATGCGTAAGGTGCCGTTGAATATTTGGCTCAAGAACCACCTGCGGCCGAGTGTTGCACAGAGGTGTCCTGTAATCACAAATAATAACAGCTGAGACAAAACCGTTAACTTCACAGCCCCAGTCAATTAGATAAAAGCACTCATAGTTGTAAGGCGTGAAGTTTAATCAAAATATATGTTCATCTATTCTTTTATTCTTCTCTACCACTGATCTGTTTATCGTCTTCGTTAATAACTACTAAAAAGCTTAAGGCGACCTTAAATGTAAATCTAGATATCTAGCTTGGTTCTATTGGTAGCCACGCTGGTTCAATGGATCGAAAGAAAAATATTAACTTTTGTTCAAAAATGAATGAATCATTTATTACAGATTGGTATGTATTTATTGTAGTAAATATCGCCCTAATTCAAGTCATCCTCCTCAAGTCCTCCTGGGTAAATAATAATCGTCCAAATGGAACGCACTTACGTCACCGATTTTCTCGGTACTGAAAACCCTTTATATTTTCGGTCGTTAGGACAGCCGTCATCGATTTGTCTTTTTTTATTATCGAAACGTTCCCCTTTTAGACTTCGTCTTTGTTTTCGGAATAGGAAAAAGTTACAATACGGGGTTTCAGGCAACACGCACATCTGAGTTCCTTTGTAAACCACTGCTGTACCAGTTGTGAACGATAAATTTGTGTATTGTCTTAATAGACAATCCTCGTTGTGTCACCGTTTTGGCATCTTACGTATGACAAAGTCGTGTAGCCTTCTTAAAACTTCTTGATGATACTCTTTGACGACCGTGGAGCAGGATAGCATAAACTCAGGATGAACCTTTCCCTGACGATCGAAGAAGACCGTGAGGAGCACCTCAATTTTAAACTTAACTGCGTAACTTTTTTTTGTTGAAATTCATTTTTGAACCGATATTCGGAAGATTGCGTCTTGGTCTCTTCGTCGTGGCCGTCGTTACCCGTAACGATGCATTTAAGCACGTTTGCGTCAAGTGCCAAAAAGTTTTCCCAACACAGTTCTTCACACGCGTTTATTTGCTGGGAGTTCAGTTGCTTCGACCTAAACTTTCTCGTAAGCCTTTTAACGTTTAAACCGTCTGCTAAATTGGCTTGACATCAGCTCATTGACGTCTCGATCTTTTCTCTGGGTTTCTTATAGTAATTCGCCTTTTGCTTAGTACGAATTTTGTACCCTTTGCATGTTTTCGCGCGTGACTATAGCTATAAAATAAAGATCGCCCTCAATGGGCTCCTGTCTGTCTTTGGAACGCTTTAGACAGCTGATTCTTTTGAGCTTTACGTACTGCCTAATTCCCTCAAACATTCTGCAACTCTGTGTCTATGCGGTAGATTCTATTTTCGACAAAAACTCCACTTGAGAAAATTTGCAGAACGCTATAAAACGGACTGCATCAGATTGTTATGAAGTTTCACCTGTGTGTAACAGACGCCCTTCCCTTTGCCAAAACAAACAGATCTCATAAGCGACTACCCAGTGGCGCGAAAATTCTAACGACTAAAATAAATTTTTTGAACGAAGGGTTATAAACAGAAGGTTGCTTACCGATCTTGATTAAGAAGATCCATAAATTCTTGGATCATGCTTTTCGTAGCAAGCAACAACTCTTTGCGTCGATACACGTCCTGTGGGTCGCCGGCTTGTATTGCGTTCCGGCTAAGATATTCGGCAACCTGTCGAGACGGAAATTCGGTCTCGCAGACATAGCCGAAATCCCTGGCTAGGTGAATTGCCTCGCCTGTAATAATAATATATGAAATAATCTAGGATGAGAAGTGTGTACAAGCATTGTCACATTCGTTTTTGTGGGAGAGTTTCTAGGGAACATGGAAGACAAAACATAGCGATATATATTGCTTGCTACCGGCACTTATCATTTTTGTTCAATTAAGAACATTTTTTCCACGCAGAAGCCGCTCCGCACGTGCTTGTCATTTCATCATTTCTACTTTCGTAGTGACACATTGAAAATTATGCGCGTAACTCATCGACTGCGGTACACACGTTTTCTACAAACGCGACGGAACAGTGGTGTCCAAAGGGAACTGTATGTAAAAAAGAATGACGATGACGATAGAAAATTCAATTTAGCATGAGAATGACTTACTTCAATACGCACAACAATCAAGTACAGTCGCCTCAAATAACTACCCTTTTTGCAATAGTAAAATATATGAAAGAGTGCGGCGCTGCAAAAATACTGAACTTTTCCATATTCTTACCTTCTACGAGCGACGTGAGTAGTGTGACATTAGCGGCCTTCCTCCTTCCGGCGGGCAGATTGAGGCCGATTTTTTCCAGCTTCTCACGGAGGGACCGTCCTCCATTTTTTGACTTGGCTCTGCCGTGACAGAAAAAAAAACAATACGATAAAATGCAATCAATTTAGTGATGAATGCTTTGCTTAACGTGCTTAAGTGGCACATACAATTCTAAATAAACCAGATCGTTAGCTGTACCTTTACTTTAAATGCACAGTTTATAGTTCAGAGCCTTACAGAGCGAACAAGCTAGCTCAAAACCAGTCAGTGCGCTAAAAATGGGAGCCGCCATATAGTTGCTATACCTATAAATACACGTGTTCTATAGTTGCTTCAATTCGTGATGACTGATATTACTGCGAGGGGCCTACCGTTTTTTGTAACGTACGATCTCTCGTGTACGTCTGCTAGAAATTAAGCATTCATATGTAACTTGGTGGTGGATTGTCACCTTAATAATGGATTTGTAAAACATTACAGCATTTGCTACGGCATCAAAATCATAAATCGGATACCAACTTGCAAAACGATCTAACAGGTAAGGCATAATGCCATACCAAATTTTATATCTTTGACTACAGACAGACATTACCTGAACAACTTCCGTAATAAGTTGTTATGTGTAAAAAAAAAATGTTAAAAGAAACTGCAAGGCTGATAAGAACACACAAGTTCAGAGTTCGCTTTGAAGAAAGGGTGATCGTTAAGAACGTCACGTAATATGTGACAAATACAACAATGCATTGAATACAAAGGTCAGCATGCTATTATCATTACGCCTCTCAGCCACGTCATAAATTAGACTGCATGCACAAAATTTCTCTTTATACAAGTTTATTAATGGAGATTTTATGCTTCTTATTATTTCCGCAGCCATATTTTTGAGGTTTTTACAAAATATTTAGAAAAATGGTAAATCAATTAGATGTAGAGGCAGTTAAGTGTTAAAAACGACATAATCATTTAAACACTTTCAAGTCGGGTACTGCGATCAAGCATTGCTCCAAATGGCTGGCCATTGCTAGCACGAAACGAAGAGTGTGTACGCTTCGTTTCGAACCTACCTTTACGTTACCTTACGGGTCTTTACTTTACGGGCTTAGTAAAGAAATGTCTCACTACTGCGCCTTTGTGGGGACATTTTGGCCTCATTAAAGACCCTGGTGTTATTTAGAGCAATCACATATACAAATATGCCGGTATCTATATAGGTAAAGCATACAACGATGTTATCGCCATAGTTCAATAGAGGTCATTTGCGATGAATAGACTGAATCAATGACGATGGTCCTAGTGACCTGAAATTAGAGAACCGTTGAACCACCGAATCATGGCATCGTTGCGTAACAGCTCATAGTCGCCATACAATTGTCATTAATTTTGTCTCCAAGCCTTAACTACAAACAGGGACACTCCGTTTCACAAGATCCGCTGATATCACTGGTGGAGCCTTTTTTGCGGCTAGCTTTTGTGAGGTAATCTTTGTGATAATAATTATAATACCAGCTGTGTATGTCCATAAAGGCGCAAAACGAATATGATATGCTAATTTAGTTCATAGGATAGACAAATTTAAGCTTATTTTTTTTTAGTCAAGCGACATGATCGCTCAGCAAATGCTTTATATGTGCGTGTAATTTCAAACATCCTTTATATGGAAGTAATTATACTTCCATATTAAGGATCACACGTGGGACATCAGTGAAACAGCAGTGTTGTAGCAATGTGTTTACCCGCTTACTTAAGGGCGCAAGATGGTCTAGACTGGAAAGCAGGTCCAATAGATCCGAATTATCAAATATATATATATTTGAGGAACTCCTAATCAAATCACTAGTTAGTGATAGCTTGGTGAATAACATATGGGCTTGCTAATCTTAAAGATACGTTGTGGTGTAGGTTCAAACCCGGGAATAGACACACGGGCTCTCTTATTCTGGAAGCCTGGCGTCTGATGAAATGCCTAACGGCGATACCGGATGGGTAGAAAATGGAGATAGGGCACCCTTGCAACAATTACACCGGTTCTGGCATTAACTAGCGATGCACGTTGCAGCCCGCCAGAATCAAGGGACGGAAAGGGCTTGGCCACGGGTGCAGAAGAGAGGCGAAGGATCAGACGGATGTCCTACAGACAACAAAAGAAATCTGAGCGAAGTTAATAGATCCAGACCGTAATCACATCAGGCTGTTGAGGAACCAAAATATAATGGTAGTGATAATGCATCAAAATAATCTTCGCTACGTTTATTTTCAAAAAAATATTGAAATTAGTGATCTTTTGTCATAAAGCTGTCATGAAGGTATTGCAAAGCAAGCACAATGATCATGTTTATAACCAGTAGTTCTTCTGCTCTCAACTTTCGATGGAGTACAGCCAACTTAAGGGATTCTCGATCTCAATATAAGCTAGAAGCTGTTGTTATAATAACTTGGAAGTAATCTACAAACAGTGTGAAAAACCTTCGATAGTAATCAACCTGTTCTTCGCTTGATGGCTTTGGTAAAAGTTCAAGTTCTTATTATACTTCTATCTCATGTGTTCTGTGCACTTTTTCCTTTTTCATATTCGTCTTCCCTATTCTTGGCTGTATTTCCACTCTTTTCTCTTTCATTTTATTCATTTCACGGTTTTTCGTTACAGCGAGGCCGCCGCCGCCGCTTACAACACAGACGCTCACTATTGGTATCTTGTTCTAGCAAAACAGCACGACACCTGGTCGACGAGCGGGTCGACGTGCAGTATGTATATATAACGTTGTAAAAAATAGCTCGTTTTTCAACACGTTTGCTTGAGAAGAAACCTTTGCATGACTCAAACTGTCGTTATCATGCTCATCCGATTCACTGGCAACCTACGCCCTGTTAAGGGACGCGCTTCCGCTATGTTCCAACAGGAACGAAACGAGTGACGATAATCCTATGGCGAAACGGCGATTTCGTTGTTGATCACTTAACACTGTGATTGTTGACATTTGTGGTCATTACAGCCAAGCGTTTGGAACGACCTACTGCTTTTCTGTATTACCCTCATAACGTGTCATCCGTAGTGAATGACAGAATTTAGAACAGTAACTATACTGAACACCTCGAGTTACAAACACAAACTGCACAGTCTTACCTACTGTGTTAATAATAACAATAGTAATAATCATAATAATGATACTTTGTTTCTACATAGATGATGAACATTACACATTGCTGGTAAATGGGCATGGCAAAAAAACGCAGTATAACACTTCTTGAAGAAAAGAAGTTATGGCTCGAAATATAGAAAGAAAAATATTCCCGACCCCCTTCGAATGTCAACTAAAATTTAACAGCAAAGGTTGTTGTCTATTTTTTTGGTATCTTTATTAAGATGCAGTGGTCAACCCCAGTTCACACTTTACCGATATTTAAGTGTGCTCTAGGTTCTTTGAAAGGCCTGTGCACATGCTTTCTGTGGGCTGTTTAGCGCGTCATAGTGCGTTCATAAACTCGCTCTTCATTCGCGTACTTGCCTACTAAACTTAGGAACGTAACTTAAAACGGGGCATGGACACACCTCGTTTCATGCTGGGAGCCATCCATATCAGCAATACTCAACAGCGATGCCGAGCCTAAAACCGAAACCGTTATTTTAGACGAGACTTCGTGGACAGCTGGCATATTGCCTTAGCTAAACTTTTATAAATACATATTATTTAAGTACAAAATCGCTAATATACTTTCTTTTTATTATAAATCGATACGACGATCAAATAGCCAGGCTTGGCCAAGTCGCTTGTTTTTATGGGACATTACAATCGGAAGATCAGGGGAGAGATACTCTCTTCAGGAACCGGCTCTGTACGTTAGGTTTCATTAAGGCGAAGGGAAAATACCTGTGGAATGTTTGAAATATTATTGCATTTCAATTGCCACAATACGTTTGTAAGATAATTTTTCCACTCGAAACTAAAATGACTTCGCTTTGCTGCCCAGAAACACGGTCGAATTTTTGAAATTGTTCGGCGTACATTCATAAAGTTCAACATTACGGCAAGACTAAGGAGTTATTTCATTAAGAGATAATTCTCGTCATGACATTGTTGAGCGAACTTGTGGGCTTATGCCTTTAGGTAACACGTAAATGCATACGGCGTGCGTAATGTCAACGTGGTATGGATCCCGCCGTACGGCATTGAGCGGCCTGCGTTAGCAGCCCTTAGTGAAGTTTGATTCCCCCCGTTCCAAAAAGTGGAGAAAGACGAAATGACAGGCAGAGAGCCTTAGAGCGCATGTCCTTTTATTCTTCCATGCCTCTATAGCAGTAGGAGATGCAGACTAGTACAATAATATGTGTTAATGGTCTGCGACTAACTACTAGTCGTTTGCTTTGGCCGATCTTATTGCTGTTTCTGCTGGCGGGCGTTTTCGGTGGTGCTGGTTGACGTAATAGTGAATTCCTTTTGTTTGGTGCGATCAGCCGTACCACCCAACTGGTAATTGCTTGAGCATTCGCCGCAAGTCAGAGTTATTTGATGCGCGAAGCTCTAAGCTAACCAATATATCTTCGTCCATAATACCACAAATTCAGGCAATGAGTTCATAACATTGCAAAAAATCGAGCGATGGCTGACACGCGGAGTCTAAAACTTCTTACAGTGTCCCTCCGGACTAAATTTAAAAGCGGCTTCATCACTTCGTGGGCCGCAACCATCGATGCAGCTGGCTAAATGGGACCACAAAAAGAAAGAGTGTAACATGTCATGAGGTCGGCGGCTAGTAGAGTAAGATGGTCCGTACCAAAGATGGAATTATCTTCTTGTGGAATGATGTTGCACCCATCTTCCTACACTGTTCTGAACTTCTTTTTTCTCTCTTTTAAGTATGATACGCTATACATGAAGGGATGTAAAAATATCTTCATACAATTTTATAATACTTGCAGTATTTCGATGACAAAATTCTGTAATGTGTTTCCGATTATAATTAAGCATAACATGCTTATCAAAAAGACTAACCTGTGTTATACGCGCAAAGAGAAGTTGCTTTTCCTCAAGCATTTTCTAGCTTTGTAGGGTAAAAACAGCACGCGTATCCTACAATTTCGGTGGACACTTTTATTCGTAATCAACAAGTAGACCTTATAAACAGGGAACCCAAATCAGCCTTTGCAAAGGGTTTTGCTCGCATGTGTATAGTTTTGTTATACAGCTCTGTTATTAATGCTTTCGTATAGAACAATGCACGCGCAGTAGAGCAGTTTTCACAGATTTAGCGTATAAATATGTGGATAAAAATAAGTTTTTGAGAAACAATATCAAAGTTATTGCGGGACTATTTTTTCCGAGGCACTTGTCATCTTCAATTGCGTGAGCTACAACCGCTCTAGCGTCGAAGCTCTTCGCTAAGCGAGCATTCGAACTCGAGCTAATAGATGTTTCCGTTCAGCCATTTTGTGGGCTGTCTTGATTTTATGTTTAAATTCGCAGCTATCTGGTAGAGGTTTATTCACGTCTACTATCTCCCAGTGAGCCTTTCAATCGGGCATTGTCATGTTAAGGATCTGAATTTCATCTTGATTGAACTGACAATACTTTATGCTTCGTTAATCGAGTAGATTCACCTACAAATGGACCGGTTCTTTTCTGGTGCGTTTCTCATACGTCGCACATTCCCGCCATTTTTGAACTATTAAAAATTTTGTTTTGCGTTTCCGAATATGGCTTGAATCAATGGTCCCTTCGGAAGGTATCAACTGTTCACTGTGACAGCATGAACACTTGATACTATATACGTAAGCATTTCTTCAAAGTCGATCTTAAACTTGAGTTTAGTACAGTCTGTTTATAAATCTATAAATATACCCACCGTTGTGCTTAGGTAGCTTGCGCCGCAGTGTGTACATCTCAAACTTTTTACAGAATTACTGATAAATTTTCTTAAACGATCCTTACTTCTTGGTACGTCACCATTTTATTTCGATCAATCTGTATGTTTTATTTATGTTACGTATCAGAAGAATGATCAATTTACGACTCCGTTTGTCATCGAGGCTATGTAAAATTTGTTTCGCTGCTCAGTTACAGTTCTCGTATATGTGCGTAATCGTTTCGCAAAACGATCACTCGGGCTGACCGATAACACGAGTCTTCTTCCTACTTGAATAGCATTTCGGAACAATTTCGCCTTCTACTAATCAGGAAACTTAGCAGCTAGGTTACGAACGAGCTAAACGAAACATGTGACAACTTATGTCACAGACAAACTATTACTACTGAACCACTGCAGTTTCCATGATAATTCTTATGAGAATGTCGTGGACTCGTAAAATCGAAATAAGAAGAAAGGCCGCCAACACGTTCTTCACAGACTCAGTGTTGACATTAAGCTAGAAATGATGAAGGTTCGAGTAAGACGAGGTATCGATTTGTAAATCGGATGAATGTCGAGAAGACTAAGGACTGAAGCCAAACGCCAGCTACAATTTAGGGAAGCGCTGGATAAATGGCGTAATTGAGATAGATGTGACACATATTAGTTTCCCCAGAGGTTATTTCGAGCCGAGCAATTACCAGATTCAAAGTAGCTGCCTTAATTCTCACTATAATTCTTCATGTAGTGTGAACATTTTCTAAGTAACCTCAGTAGGGTAATGAACGCCAATGCCCCTTACGAGGCATCCCAGTCAGGGTCGTCGTTTGAGCTTAGCCTCTACAATGGTATAATATACATTTTCGGTATTACGAAGAAGCCAATAGGAAAAGTTTGTGATCTTATTTGTTGTTTTGGTATCCGCTCGGACCATTTAAATTTCGCTTGGATGTCGCTGTAATAAGCATGACAACCTGTCGCACCAGCAAAATTATTAAGTTGCTTCCATCTTGTTTATGTACGCAGCTCGCTCCCTTTGGTGTGAACTGTCTTTATCAGATCGAAAATGGAGCGCAGCTATTCAAGTGGAGCATTGACACGTTTGTCATGTTGTCTATTGGGACGTTTTACGTCGAAACGCCATGGAGGATGAACTTTCAAAAGGCAGTAACGCGTACTGATGGACAGGCGAATCCTCAACACGAAAGCGAACGGTCAACCGATAGACCGGCCACACCTCTCGTTCTTTACTGTAAGCTTTGCCCGATGAATTAGAGAAGAGAGGAAATACATTTGTATATCAAAGGAAAAACAGATACCAAGAAAAAGAAGAAGTCGAGTCAGGGGAACCAACGGGTTGGATGGATGCACATGTTACATCAGAGTAACGCCACTGCCGCCATCGCTGCTGCTGCTGCAGCCGAACGGCGAGTGGCTGAGCAGCTAAATGCCTTCACTCGATTTTTCGACGTTGGACAACTCCTTCAACAGGTTCAGATGGATAATTTAGCAGAAATCCGTGCCGCGAAATTGGTGAAGACCAAAAGCACTCACTTGTACGAATCGTCGACGCGCGTTGGAACAGCGCGAATATGGCAAACAATGATATTGGCGTGTTCCATTCGTAGTAACAGCTGCAGTAGCAACATGGCGGGCGACAATTTTTGTGAAAAGCAATTAAACTATGGCTTCTGTCTGCAAAACAGCGCCTACTGTAGCATCGTTGCTGTCACAATGCGACGGCGCGCTAATGTAACCAGCTAGTATGTTTGCAAAACCAGATCAAAGAAAGGACTAGAGGCAAAATGGGTGCAGGGGGGAGAACTGGGTGATATGGGGTGAAGGGCGGGCGAACGCAAGCAAGCTGTAGACCCACCGGTTCAGCTAGCGGCCAAGCGACCGAATAAACGAACGAAGGAAGCAACAACTAAATGCATATTACTCCTGCTGTTGCCGCCCGCTTTGTTGTTGCAGTCTACCCGCTTGTTGCCTGTTAATGTCTGCTCCCTTGCCCGGCCGTCTAACTGACCGGGTTGGTTCGTTGGCATCGCCGCCACTTGTTTCGTTCATGGCTGGTTCGTCCACGCTACTCTATGTGGCCGATCGCGCAAGTGCACGTATGTAAGCAGACGTATAGTACTTATTTAAACGTGTCTATGTTTCTTCTATGTGTATCTGTGCTGGTACATTTGTGCGCGCGTATAATATGTATATCACGGCTCTTGCTGGTAGATGCGTAGTGCGAAAAGGAAATGTAACAGATCTGGACGACGATGAGTCGGGAAGCTGCTGCCAAGTGCAGGAATAATATGTACGAGTATAATGTTTGCAACTCTTCGTGTCACCGTTTCCTTTGGTGAAAGTGATACAACGCCCATTAAGCCTTTCAGTAAAGAAATAATAGTAAGCAAAAGGGCTCTTTTACAATTCAGGAAAGCAAGCATACGACAAACAGGCTCTGCTACCACACTGGTACACCGTCGTGTACCAAACAAACCAGTATCTATTGAGCCAGCTGCAGGCACTGAGCAGACCACCAACAACAACAATGGCTCTGTATTCCGCGTCCACGTTGTTCCATTGTGCAAGCAAAAATGAAAAAATCGAACCGACGATTTACAGATTGGGCAATGTAACCAATATAGGCATCTTAGGTTTGCATGTATTATCAATTGCAGGTAGATACGAAGTGTACACACAAGTCCGCCTAGCTAATGACAACAATAGTTTGCCGAAACCGTGCTTTCTTCTACTCTTCCGATGACGATTTCGCACTGGTCGTCAAATCAGTATTACGAGTCGAACCCTAATGAACCCGCTGCAAGCCAAGCAAAAGGCTTGTCACTCTTAAACGCTTTCGAAGACTATTTTTCTCACAAGCAGCATAACCGATGCAAATTACTGGGCGTAAAATGCTCCCAGGAGACACACTAGGCATGTTATGTTCTGTCAACATAGTACACGGAGAGTACGCACGATGGATTGGAGAGAAGAGTATTATACATACCGCCTGAGGACTCCACCGAGCAGGGACGCGTTGAGACATTCGGGGGGCGAGAGTCTTCTCTGTACTTCCCCGATGGTCACCTTGTACTTGGACGTGGAGCTCAGGAGCGACAGTCGACCCGGCACTGAACAGAAAACGTCCGTCGACGTTACCTGACCGGGAAGCATGCCAGCTCCACCACTCGTCATCATGCCATCTTTTCCTCCATGAAGGCCTGTAACTCATGAATGTGTACAATTACGGTGAAGGCTGCAGCAATCGCTAGGGCCACAAAAGCGCTACCTAATAATCTATGCATTTAGTAATAGCTTAACTGACGTTGTAAGCTTCCTCAGTAGTATAAGCGACTCCTGAAGTTCTTAAAGTTCAAAAGCATTTTGTCTATGTTGGGTAAAAAGGTAATGAAATGAATAGCCATATACGGCTTAGAAAACGGTTACACCCGATGGGGGGGGGGGGGGGGTAGATTTACGTATCAATAAAACAATAAAAGTTATCACTAATTAAGCGAACATCAGTTAGATAGATCCTGCAGCCGGGTAGAATATGAAGCTCAGCTAAGGAAGTTTATCAAACTACTCTAAAGCACTTCTCTCTATCCTGGGTTAGTTATAGCGAGCAGTACTTTTTGAAGCTGCCGCTGCCCTACGCGTGTTGGGGACTAACCATACATTAAACCGTTATGTTCCCTTCAAGATGTACTTGCTGCATCCTCGTGTGATAAGAACTTGAAATAATCGCATCTTTAATAGTGTCAATCGACAAAGAAGCAAACGTTCAATACGTTATTAAGTGAACACGAAGTAAGTATATGAGCAGATCCAGCTGACGCCCCGTCCCAACATTTTCAGGTAAGTATTCAAGGTAGTGCGCTGTCGTCACGTTCTTAGATGCAAGTATTCAGCCATGACGGCGGCGGCGGCGGCGGCCTTATCGTTACCCAGCGAAAACTGAGTGCAAACAGAAAGTGATATATATCCTTTTAAGAAAAGCTTAGCATACCTTGCATGCTGGTCTGTCTGCGGACTGTTAAATAGTTGTACTAAATAATCGTATTGAAACGGCCGTTTTACTAGTTTTATCGTTTGACAAAACCCTAGTTCCGTTAAGAACGAAGCTACTTTTAAACCAGCAAAAATGGCTGTCACAGTAAGATTTTGCAATTTTCATGTACTAGATCTTTCTATTTCTATCATTTGCCCCGTTGCTAAAATCTAATACGGGCTTCGTACTAAGCGACTAGTTGTGCATTTCGAATGTTATACCCGTGGGAAGGTAAATTGCTTAAGATCAACGCGTACGGTACAATCATGACTGTGAGGCGACGCGCCGATGTCAACGTTCATGACGCCTGTGTCACGTTATGGAGGTAAGTACTACAACTATTATTGTCAAAATTTTTATGATTGTCCGACCATTGCTTTATGCTTATAATTTAGGAACTTTTACTCGCCTGTATTTTTACAACGTTTGCAAAATCCATTTATTTTTCGGAGCACAAAGAGGCGTAGACAATAATCGGGAGCTCCATATGTATAAGTTACAGATCGAAGATATTCTTATCAGCTCTTTGTAGAATGATTAAACGCAGAAAATCGTAGACACAATACTGCATTACATTGACTCTGCTCAGGTCTAGGGCCTTCAGTCTCGATTGCATCTTGGGTTTCTGTCTCCAAGATGAAGTGCACAACTTTTCGTGGAGAATAAGGCTCGTAGAGGCGTGCTCCATACTCATATAGCTATCTTCTATAGACAAGACAAGGTTGTATAGACACCATAATACATCGGATTACCCAGCACTCATCCGCTGGACCCTAGACTATAAACAATGCGCTCTTTAAAACTATATCTTTGCTTCCACAGGGTCCCATGGGGAGGTTTGAGCTTACTCAGCCTTTGAGCATTTCGTGGGTCAGTCTTCACGCATCTTATTACCCGGTATTTTCACTCTACTGATAGAAATGTTTTCTACAAAAACATCTAGACATGCATAATATTTTTGTAAAAAAAGATTCGCATGATACTTGCCGAACCATACCTAACCTATCCTATTTAGAGTGAACTCTAATTAGGAGCATTTACATCATATTGATTGATGTGTGTCAAATCGATGACAGTCTCAACTAAATTATGGCTAACTATCGGAAAAATGTCTATTCTCTCTCATACAACGAGTAGTGCTTGGGTAAGTTGTTTGCTGCCGAGAAGAAAAGAACCCATTTTTATTTAATAGTTTTTTTTATTCCAGAATATGCTAACGACCAGACAGGATGAATGAAAAAACTGACTATTAGGGAATTTTTCATAGTTTGACCAACCAAACTGGCGAGATGCTGTCATACGGAACAATACTTTCCTCAATGGTCATAGGAATGACGGTCAAATTAATCAAAAACACTAACAGTACTCATTAATTTACTGCTCACGTATAAAAAACTGTATAAGATAAAGTAAAAATTCCCAGCTATACTTGAAAGCGTGTGATCTGGCTATAGAACAGGGCTGGCAGAGATAGTATTTGCTGGTCTTTATGCATTCAAACCACAACCGCTATTACTAGCACTTATGCACCGAACACACCTGATGTATATCAAGTGGCGGGAGCACAGAGCAAGCAACTTCCACACAGTTACTATTACTTATTCTGTGCTTTTTAGCACATCGGTGGATTTATTTATTTTTTTTACTTAAATGATTGCGTTGCAGCGATCTTAACATGTATGGCACAATTTATCATTTGATTAATTAAATGACGATATTAGTAATAGTAAAATATATATGCTTGTCAATTAATAGAAGTTTCGCTCGCAGTATCAATCTGGATAAATTTCATTCTCTTTGCTATAGATCCAGCGACGAAAGATTTCTAAGTTCATATTTGCTGCGAGAGCTATTACGTTAATTTTTTTTTTTAACTTATATGCTTAATTTTAGGTTCATAAATAAATTTTCCTTGGTTTTACTAATTTTAGGAAGCTCGGTTACAAGAAGTAACCAGCGTCTTGAGGGTTTTATTATCTTCGATTATGCGTACGATCTTTTCTTTGTTGTGACCTAGTTAGGCTTCTTGAAGGTTCACAAACGTGAGAAGGCCAAATGAACACAGCGTATGAGCTAACGTAGGAACGGTGCAAAATAGCTAATTAATCAATTTTGTTCGTAATTAAAATAAAATAATGTCTTCAACGGCTTACATAGACATGTTTCATTGTTGGCCTTCGGCAAAGTGCTAAGATAATAGTAATGATCTTCTAACTTGAAATTCATAGTATGTTTGATAAAAGAAGATGGATGACATGAATATGATAACTGTAACACTGAGATGGTATGTCAAGCAATGCTTCACTTGATAAAGCTCTATTTGAATATTAAATATGCAAAACCAGCCATTGTGTGATTTTTGCCAATCTACATAGATTGTTTTTACGTTGAAATCATTCAAAGAGCGGCGAGTAGATTGTTTACCTTTTCGTATTACGCCATGATCACCGAAGATGCCGTCATCCACGCTAGCACCCTGAAATGGACGATACGTAAAAAAACTTAGAAAAGTTTTGTATTGTTAAAAAAATCTTAGCTAAACAAAGTCGGCTCTGCTTATTAGATTCTATAGCGGCTACAGGAGCGAAACATTTTGCATGTCCAGGTAAGTTTTGGAACAATTGGGATTTGTTAGGTAGATGTATAGCTATTATCTTTTCACAAAGAAACATTTCGAAAAATACCTTTTTGAAAAAATTCAGCTGTAGCTAAATATTCGTGTGAGCGACTAGTGTTTGATGGAACACTTGGAGCATTAAACTACTACGAAACACCGGCTCAACCTAGGTGTTACTTCTATACATCGGCCATTTGCTCGTGTTCAGTACGCAATCGTGGAACAGCGAATTCGCACGAAAAAGTAAATCCATAAAGTTTCAAATCGGATCTAACTACACGCTGTAGGATGCAGTCATGTTGAAGACCCATAGGTAGCGTTGTTTACTTCTTACACGTTCGACTGATGCATGCAATGATCTTGTTGAGGTGACGAATATTAGTTGGCCCGCGACTTTTTTTATGAAACAGTTGTAAGAAGTGAATAGCATTGAACGCATAGGCCCTACTAAACTTCCGTGATCACGGCTAGTTCTTCGTTTTGAAATTTTCAGGGTGAAAACATTTTCTGTATAGCCTTCAGTTTCTCAATTTCCGTTGGTGAAATTATTGCACCATTAACGATGCATGGCTTTGGAAGGCCAAAGCAAAACCCTGCCTGTCAATCGGTGAAAATGGATTTTCGATAGATTCCATTAACGTTTGATAACATTGTGATAACGTGAGCTGTTCAGTGCAGTAAATAATCACGCAGTGATAATTTACTACACCAAACAATATATTGCCTATGTACTTGCTTAATCAAATTATCCCCAAATATTGGATGAAAACATTGACCGAATTCGTCTGCTGCAGGCGCGTAATGTAGAAGTTTTGAATTTGCTAAATAGCTCCGGACAAGCTGATAGGTTTGTGCCTGATAAATTGGAAGCGGTCTGTTTTATTGAAACTAACAGCTCTAGTGCAAGTATTAGTTAGCTATTTAAAATTGCCCTGCTTGACCTACTTGCCACACCAAAGACCATCGATAGGATAGGTTAAGTATCACGCGCGCTAGGTTACAATACGGATTGGTCGGTAGGTTTCAAAAATTCATAGTAATAATAGTTCTGTGAGGAAAAAAAGACAGATCAGCTCTCTGCAGGCAGGAAGACCCCTGAAAGCTCCCAGAGGCAGAGAAAGAGATGCATATGCAGTGGTTCGTTTCTAGCCTTTCCCTGTATGTGCGCCATGGGAACGCATGTGGGACTTCGTATGGTTTCGCTGGGAAGAAAGAATTTAACACTACATTTGAGAGCGAACAATTTAACACTACATTTATGTAGCGTTATCTAACTAATTCATAAATTAAGTATAGTATTGAACGGCAATCAGACAGTGTCGCAGATAACTGAATGACAGGTATTCACATTTACAGAAAAAATGCATGCTAATAGGAGACCTAGATCATTTTACGGATCGAAAAGACCACTTCTGGCGTTCAGGATGTCGTAGGGCCTGTACAATGATGGCTAACTTCGTTACTGGACGCCGGTGTGACTTCGAACAGCTCCATCTTCCCGTTAAACGTTAGCTAAAACGCCAGTCAAAGCGCTGTAACAGACTAGCTTTGCTAACAGAATAATGATAACAGATTAAGATACTAGAGTTTTCAATGTATTCTTGCAGTGCTGTCTGTAGACTGCCCGGCTTTCCATCACGTTGAGTTCGATCGAATGACTTTCAGTATTATCAAAAACTAATAAAAAAATCCGCGTTTCTTCTCGCCAAAGACAGTGCTCCGTTATTTAGAAGGGGGTACGTTTGAACGGATGTATACTTGATTGGTGAACTGTAAAGCAACACACAGGAAGTCGTTCTCGGACAGTCCTCCCTTTAAATAATATAATGAACATTTTAAAATCGAAATCGTGTTGTGCTTTACAATGAGCCGGGCAAGACTTGAGACGAAAAAAACGTATTTATCAATTTGAATTTTCCTGTTAAATTAATTTTGCTGTCAGTATGAACAGGAATCGAGCGCGTTCCAATGAATCCTGTCACCCTACTATCAATTCGCCGTGTTGAAGTTAAAATTAGTTGGAAAAGAACGCGTCTGCGGGCATATATGTGAGGACCAAAGTCGTGACTCAATCGTTGAAGAATGGTACAAATTTAAAACGGGGTAGCACACACGGAAGACAGAAGATAACAACAAAAACGTCTAAGACGAAAACAGAAAAAGACTAGTCAGATTGCCTGTTCACATTTGAAGTTAAATGCTCGTTCGTTATTTACTTATCCTGTGAGGATAAAGAATATATGACGATATTTATTTGCATTGTACTAATGACCATGGATATTAACTGATCAGTTATGTAAGTTATATATATATATGTAGTAACCTATCAATTATTATTACGATACTGCTTATGTTTTTCTACTTGCTTACAGTGCCCAGTTTGCGTGAACAAAGGAAGATCACAGATCGGTGTATTGTCTAAAGTGTTTCTGTTGCCGAACTTCTTCGTCGGTTCAAACCAGATGATCGATGCCGGTGTGGTCCGCTTAAAAGGCTCTCCGAATCTAGAAATTGATGTCTTTTCATTAAAATAAATTGAATATATTCAGTTCCCTTTAATGAAACCGTTTTCATGTGTGCGGTATGTTAAAGATAAAATAACCGTTAACAGTGAGAATTTAAATTGTGTGTATATATTAAAATCCCTGTAGCCAACTTGTCTACATATTACAAACATGCCTAAAATTGTTTTAGCCGTTGCATGCTTGAGGACAGCCAGCTGCCATTGATATTGCTTTTCCAATTTCATTGATCGATCTGTGGCCTAAATTAACTTCCATTCAAGCAGGTAGTAACTCGCTTTTGGTAGTAGAAATTCTCTTATTACGTTCTGGCTCATGAAATGGCGAAATCTTATGCAGTGCTCCTTCTATTTTCAGCTTATCGTGTTAACAGGATCGGCAAGCTAGTTAAAAGACCGTTGATCTCTAACCTTCAGTATGGGCAACTAGCAGTTTAAAGGAATTGGGTCACCATTTTATAATTTGCTATTTAACGTAAGGTGTGCATTGTAGATTTTGTCAGGTCAAAGTCTGCTCGATAATAAAAATGGACGTATGATTTATTTCTGTAAAGCACGAGGTTGCCGTCATTGGAGCACTGCATGTACGGTCGGTGTTGTCCGCGTATGCTGTTACAATTATAATGATTATGCGTAGAGCAGAAGCAACAGCTGACGGCTAGTGGTGAGCTTAAATCTTCGTTTATTCGAAATCTTTTCGCTTCAGTGATCGCGCGACCAGTTCGTTGTTCTAATGCCGTTCCTTCGGATTCCACGACTGAAAAGTCATTGGAAAGCCGAAAGGGTGCGGAAAGGAGCGGTCGGCCGGTCCGCCAGTTTAATAAATTTCGTCGGTGTGCGTGTTCTGCCTTCGTTCGTCCATCCGCTGTCCGCTCGCCTTCGTTCACCTTTACAGTTTCGAATCGCACAGAGAATCGAAGCGGTGGGGGTGGGGTTGGGGCGGGGGAAAGAGGTGGTAGAAGTAGGGATATAAGAGAATATCTTTTCCTCGTGATTCTGCGGCTGAACGGTCGAAGCCGTTACCGCCGCCACCGCCGTTTCCGCGGTTGTTCTATACCAAAGAAATGCTGCAGACCAACGAGGCTTAGAGTGCAGACCCACCGCTTGATCTTTGTCCTATCCTCCCAACTAATCGTCTTACAGCAATAAAGGCGCGCAAACGTATAGCTTAGTTCATTCACACATATTTTTAATGGATAGCACGATTGCAGATTTGCCGGTAGATACCATTTCTATGTATTAATATGTCACCGTAACCGAATTATAAGTGGCGGTAGTTGAAACGGCCTGTGAACGAAGCTCTGTTCATGCTGTTGATTCTATCACCTAAGTACAAAGTAGCACAGGGTTTCCTTAACTTAGATAGTAGCAGCTAGTCAGTTGGTGTGTGTGCCGCTATAGAATCTCTAGTTTCGCAAAAACTATTACCGAGCTTTGCACTTATGTAGATAATGGCTACTGTAAGGACGAAGTCACTGATTGCAATGGCCTTCGTGGCGTCCTGACCGTCGCCAATTGGACATCCTCGAATATCATCATTGGGCCCAAGGTGCGTTTCAGCCCGCCGGCCAGCGCGTCCTGTATGTCAATCTAATACGACAACAGAACGCACATTGACTCCACAAACCAATAAGTATACACTTAGCCCTTTGTCGCGTTATTCATTGCTTTCCAGACAGTGAACTTCTACCCGACGTGGACTTTCCGTGCTATTGCCGTTTATTGTCAACCCTAAATAGGATTTAGAAATGCTTTATGGCATTTCTACCTTGGCAATGACTAAATTCGGATACTTTATCTAGTCAGATATAATACTGTATCTAGCTGAAACGAATCGATACTACGATCGCGACTTAATGTGACATAAGGTGTCACGTGTACGATTTCTCTATTACTGGTCTAAGTTCGAAGCATAAATGACCAAGCCTCTACGCGCGAAACTCGCCGCACGTCGTATTGTAGAATACATTTAGGCCTTTTTATTACTCTGATGTATTTTTGTGCAGTACATACTATCTGACAATGCTTTATAAAGGAACTAGGGAAGAGCTTGAACGTGTAATGTCTATCTTCTAATTTGTACTGTTTCAATGATGGTTTTCTGACTGGCCGATACATCTGATTGGAGCCGAAGCGTCGCACTTCGTACGACGCGAACTGTGCTCGCGTAAGCATCATCATCATGGTGACTAACGACTTTGTCGCTTAAATAATATTGCTTGTTTTCGATATGGAAGAGGGCCTGTTGACACGAGACTCGATGCATCGTCGTTATGCATTAGCTGTAACTGACATAACCGCAACGCGGCTAATTTTAAAATCGTTCGACGCCATCGCA